GAAGTGTATGCATAGCTTATTTTTATAATATGATTGAAATATAGATATATTTTGACACGCATAAATACCATTAGTGCGTAGATCTATATTACATTGTGCAATGAACACACATTTCATGACTAAGTATTAAATTTGAAAAAGTCAAATGCCCCCCCACCTCCACCCATTCCTCTCCACGAAAAATAATATCTTTCAACCGACACAAACCCCAGAGCATATGGAAACATATAATGAGTGTGTCAATGAACAATTCAAGATGGATTTTGAAATTATCGATTATGACTCAACATTTATTGAAACATGGAATTTGTTTTACATTGCCTGCTCAAATATACAGTTCAATTCATTGTAGAAAACAGGCATTAAACACAAACACAACAAACACATATAAGTAAATGGACAAACTAATTTTCTTAGTATCAATACAATAAATTATTTACAAACTTCAACAACAAAAGAGGGGAACCCCGTTTACATTACTGTATGTACCACTAAAAACATTGCGCATCACATTAATGCATAGTAACAAAAGTCTTTGCAGATTTGCAAAATAATTCTTTGTTTAAATTTTAATGCTTTAATTACAAATTATTTCACACTTATCACTACTTTCTTCAGGTAACAAGCATCGAACATTCTGTACAGCCATTATTTAAAATATATAAAATTTATGTTTTCCATTTCAAAAGAAGTAAAAAAATTGTTTTTGAGGCATTATGTGCCTTTTAATGAAAAATAATAAGAAAGCCAAATTAATTTTAACTTTCACGTGAATGACAAGGGTTTATTTTATGCTTTTGAGTGGATCACTGATTTATCCGTGAAATTTTTATTTGATAATTTCACAGATATATTGACCTTAGACTCATTCATTTTTCGGAGGTATTTCGTTAGTTTCCGTAATTTATTATGATTTACGCTTCAGATTTTAATGATAATCTCGATGTGTTTATCAATAAATTCTGCTCGATGTCCTAATACAATGTAGTAAAAAATGAACGCAGGAATTGGAATCACATAGTTGCAAATTAGAATGTTGGACAAACTATGGTTTTGTAGTTTTTGATTTTTGATTTGTTAATTATACGAAAGAAGAGTTGATAAAGTGTTGAATTTTAAGTTTTGTGTATTGTAATTGTCATCAAAATAAAACTCTAATAAAGAAATAATAATGTGATGTAACCCAATGTATGTTTTCTTACATAACCTTGATACTTATTCAGTCGTAAATGTCTTATTTGTTTGGTTATGTTTTACTTATGATATGTTGTACCTGAACCTTTACCCCTTTGGCTTCCTGTCCCAAAGAGTGTCTTTTTTTTATTTTTGCAATGCCCAAATGGTAATATCATCGCACAACATTCTGTCTTATCACAAATATTTTAGCGTAGTTAAGGAAATAAACAGTAAGTTTATATTAATTACACACATGCACGCCAATAAGAACTTTTTTGGAAGCCAGTTCCAGTTGGTGTGCACGAGTGTAGTTATAATATCATGCAGAATTTAGCTCTTTGTATAGAAATTAATTTGAATTGTGAAAATTCTCCATGAATGTATAAGAGCACGTTGAATTTTGACGCTTTTCTACCATTCTATGAAAGCAAGGTGAAGTCCTTAAATGATGAATTACAAGAAGAAAATGATAGAAATAAAATGAAATCGACATTTAAACACTTATAACACAACATTTTGAAGGATCTAAAATGTACTACTCAACCTTTGCTAAGCACCAAGAGTATTTTGGTACCTAAGAAATGTTGTATGTCAAATATTAGACTTATTTCTGTTCTAAGATTTATAAACATCATTAAGGAATTTGTTAATTTCATGTTTATTTGTTTTGATTGTAATGAATTTGTGTTTAAGACGGATATGGTGGAATAAGTGAAAAACTCATTTTTGCCCCCAAAAAGCTATGCAAATAAATGATTTTGCTTTAATAGCGAGTATGTGACCCAGTCTTGTCAATGACAGCTTGGCACCGTCGATGCATACTCCTTATTAGGTTTCTTAGGAAAGCTTGTGTGATGGTATTCCACTCGTCGACAAGGTCGGCACCAAACTCCTGGGTGATGCTTCTTAGCTTGATCTGACGGGCTGATATACGGACCTTCAGCTCATTCAATACATGCTCAATGGGATTTAGATCCGGTGCAGGCCAGTCCAAACCTTTAATTCCCTGTCTTCACGACATTGGCTGTATGGGGGGGGGGGGGCATTATCATCCATCGAAAGAACCCATTACCAATTGCACCAGCATTCAACCTTACCTGGGTGTTTATGATCTCATCTCGATACCTCTGGGCAGTCAATGTGCCTCTGTCGATGACAATGAGGTCGGTATGTCCATCCCAGCTGATTCAATCCGGATCATTATTGATCCGCCGCCATAGCGCTTGTGTTCCGCAATGTTTGCTATATTGAACCGTTCCACTGACCATCGCCATACTCTAGCACGCCTATCTGTGTAGTCCAGGCAGTAATTTGACTCGTCGGTGAAGAGGACAGGCCGTCAGTTCATCCTGCTCCAACCAACATGGTCAATGGCCCAATCTTATCGGAGCCGGCAGTGGTCTATAGACAGCGGGATCCGTATACATGGTCTTCTCGATCGCACGTCACTTTCATGCAAACGGGTACTTTATATGGTTTGTGTTGACACACGCACCCCTGAAGCATTTTTTAGGTCAGAACGAAGTTGGGTTGCAGCTGCAAAACGGTTTCTTCCTGCCTGGATGACCAGAAAACGATCCTCAGCCTCAAAAGTTACCCTTGTTCTGCCACAACCACGTCGTCTAACAGGTGTACCATGCTGTTGGAACCTCTCCCAGGCTCGGATGATAACCGTATGGTCCACACCAAACACCTCATCAACCTCACGATTTCGAGCCCCTTGCTCACCATACCAACTGCCCGCCACAACTCTGCTTCTAACATTTGCATTCGCCATTATTCAATCTTAAATGTTCAATATTTCAATGAAAATGAAAATTGAACACCCTACACGTGTCGGTACGTACGTGTATGCTGTGTCTAATAAACATTATCAAAATATAGGGCTTGCACTAATTGCACGTGGAAATAGCCTGTCATTCAAGGTTATGTGTACACAGGGTACACTCTCGATACATTACTATGTAAATATCTTAACATTATATGATGTAGAATGCACGATGCTATATATGTGGAAAACTTGGTGTTTAGCAAACTTTGAGTAGTATAATATAATCACTGTTTGAGTACACTGGTATTGTAGGTTTGTCATTGGCACAATATTGCACAAACAACACTCTTGTAATATTGAAGGAGTTTATATAGTAAGCCTACAAGCTGGACTGTAAGTCGGAAGTTCGAAAAATATGGATTATGATGGAGGGCAGCTAACGAGTGTGTTTACACAATCATGATGCTCATGGAATTTGGAATTTGATTTTCAAAGGTAGAAATGAATAAAACCCTACTGAAAAAGGTACATTCAAACCCAGCCTACAACATTTTAAGTACACACAAGAAATATAATAGTTTCTTAATCGATTCTTGAATTCAAGCTCTATATATGTCCCTGACTTATTCAGTCAATTTAGATATTCTTTATGTAAAAAAAATCATCAATAGAATCAGTTGACAACAAAATATTAAGAATTGAAAGATGCTTTACACGAAAAACGTGTAGGAAACACGGGATATAATTGTTGTTTTTCTTTTAATGGTTAAGGCTCTATTCTTCAAAATTTTGAACAACAACGATTATTAAATACGAAAAACAGGTCTTAATCCGTGCTTTTTGAGCATTTTCTTTAAAAAGTGGATAATATCGATATCTCCACTTCGAGTTTCAGATTGTTGTTGTTTTCTTGTGTATTGTTTTTTTTTTTATTATTATTATTTAACAAAAATGTATCTAACTGATCTGAGGTAGCTGTGGTGTTGTATCTGCCATCTATTTCCATTATTGATTGATGCTCCTTTAGATAATATTGAATTAATTGTGCTGCAGCTGTCTTACGTGAATGCTAGCGTGTTTTATTATGTCGGGAAAACTTACATCGTAATCAATTAAGAAAAAAAATTGAAATGGATTTTTTTTAAAAGCTATGTTACACTACAGATGAGAATGAAATAAAATGCTGTGAATATAAACATTGCAAAATTATGAACTTGCAATTTCAGTTTATAATTTATTTATTAATTTTTCAATTATATCAATGGTTTCACAGCCTACATAAACATTGTAATATATCTGAATTTTCTCTTTAATAAATTATTTATAGAACACTAATAGAAGTCGTCATTATGAATAATATAAAATATAAAAAATTAGGAATAATGTAAAATTTCCATGAAAGAGTTTTAGTTCGCTTTTACTTACTAAACATTTATTTTATGCACAATAGTTAACTGTAAATATTATTATTCTAACAAATATCATTTAATTGTAAATGAGGTTCAGTAGAGGTGATTGTGAGGAAAAATACTAAACTAAAAAGTCTCGTTATTATCTGCACTTCTTTCGTTGACTTTATTACTCCCAGTATCATAACTCTAGCAACAATTAGAAAACATTATTTGATCGGACATTATGCCTACTACAGTAGTTTCTGTAGACAAAATTGCACATTGTAAAATACATTTTATGTAGTGAAAATAAAGAATTGAATTATATAACATTTTAATATTTTATATGCACTTCTAAACAAATTTTTGTTTCCTAATCTTGCATTTGACCTCCTGGGAATTCTGTAAAAACTGTAGAAATAAAAAAAAAAAACTACTGGAAAAAATGGAATATGAAAGGATTGAAAGCAGATAAAAGTATAAAATGTAATGAATTACAAAATTCATTCCGTTCATATTCCATGACAAAATGCCGAGGCCTGATTTATTATTGTTGTAAGTATATCTAAAATGTTCCCCCGCTATTTTTGCATGCACTCGTCCTGGTTAAGAGGGGTCTAATTATTTAATCTTTCCGGCATTTAAAAACTGATTGGGTTTAATTCTTAAAAAATTCAAAATGGCTGACGAAGGTACAAAATATGTCAATGGTAAGACAGAATTAGAAGTTTTAACATTAAATTCCTAGGAATAAGCCTGTAAATTTATGCAGTAGGAAAATCTGCAGTTTTGACATATATGTTGGCAAATTAAAATTTGAAGGAAGAGAAAGTTGTAATTTTATTGTGTGTCTGAAAAAGATTTTTTTAAATCAAGGGAGATAAATTTGGGCCCTAATATGAAAAAGGCAAAGCCTCAAAGCGAGCTCGATGTACTTTTAACGTGAAATAGTATGAAATAATCGCTCATTTTTATTTCAAATGCAGTGACGAGTGCGTGTGACGTCACACGTACTGTGTTAAATATGGCTCCGCCCCTGTCATTAAATGAATAACAGAGTTTTTAAAACGTTGATAAAACTTTGTTTGTTTATTTTATTTCACTCTATAATTTTTCAAGTGAAATAAAGATTATTAAAAGTGAAATAAATTTTAAACGTTTGCGACATTATAATAGCGTACTTGATTTGATTGTTTTGCACGTGCTGTTTGGCGCTACATTGTGACGTCACGTAAACAATACTTTAAACGTCTGTACAGCGTTAACGACTGAATAAAAGATATTGGTGTTCGGATTCATTTTCTTAGTTAGACCATTTTCTTTCATTCTAGATAGTTTTCACAACAAAATTCGACAAAAAAATTGTTTTTATTTATCAGATTTTTCAAACAAAATGGCGCCTTCAATTTTCATTTTAAAACTGTCATTCGATATTTTATACACAGCTTCCGTTATTCTGGTTCCCTGTCCAATTATGGTTCCCATAGACGTGCGCGGGTGACCAGTCTACACATCCGTTTTCAGTCAGAATTCCTCAGTTTTTATCGTTATCTTTAAATTCGAAAAGTTGCGATGTGTCCAATTCGGTACTTCGGACGAAAGTTTTCAAAACCATCACTTAGCAGGTACTCGCGTTACCGTAAAGCTCGCTTTGCGAGCAGGCCCTTCGGGCCAGCTCGTCGAGCTCGCTACTAAACACTGCTAAGGAATAAAGGATTTCTAGGGAGGCACAAAGGACCTTTAAATACCCCTAAGGTCATTCTTATAATATATTGTAGTATGTTTAGTGACAAAAAAATTATTATTTTAAGAAAAAAATATAAATTTGGTAATAAAATTTAAACTTTCGATTAGTTGCCACAGACGTTTAGACGTTGACTGGTGAAAATCAGGAAATGCACAAATTTGACACGTGATAAAATCTGCACAAGAGTCAATTTGCGACATGGGATTCTCAGCTATGCAATAATAATTACCTTAAATCCACCCCTTATTACCTATCAAATCCTACATAATATTATGTTCAATTGAAACTTAATAAAAATGTCAACAGGTAGTAAAAGCCGTGTATGAAGTGCTACACAGCTTGTGCACTGAAGTGCGACATCAGTGAATGCAATTTGACAGCGCTAAAAATACTCTACACAAATGATGAGAATTACATACTTGAGGTGTCAATTATTGATTGCTTTTAAAGGATTATAAATTAATATAATACGACTTTGATTTACTTGTAGTACCTGTACATTTGTTATTTCTTTTTCCATTAAATATTCCTAGAACAGTTTGGTAGATAATTTTTTATACTTTATACATTTAATCAGAAAAGCTGCTGCTTATTTTATTTTTTCACAGTAAAGACGCAATTCATTTTTTTTTTATTTGTTTTGTTTTTTTCTTTTGTTGTTGGTTTTTTTTTTGGGGGGGGAATATGACCAGGGCTGCAGGTAACATGCATATTTGAGTAATTACCCATTTAAAATGTAAAAAAAAAAACGCAATAGAAATAATAACTAAGGGTAAGAAAAAGTAAATAAATTCTTATTTATGCAAACTACACTGGAACTGGTGGGTAAAGACTAAAGACGTAAGTTATACTTAACGCTGTACATCAGGCAGATCATACTGTTTCAGACTGTTTTAACCTTAAAATTATATCAGGCAGCTTGGAAATCTCCTAGGACAATACACCATAAAGTATAGTAGTAAGTAGCTTTTTTATTACTATACAAAACCTACAACAGTCTACAATTAAGGTCAGAAATTCTGGGTATAAAAAAGAAATTGTGACAATGTGCTTTAAAACCCATATTGGTTAGAGAGGGTAGGGTAAAAATACAGAAATAACTCTAAGAAAATAGAAAAAACCCAAAAGACCACAAAACATGGGGTAATTACCCAATATATACAAAATGTTATCTGTAGCCCTGTATGACATTTATAACTAGGCATTTTTTCTGTGGTAAATATTATCAATTTAGACCTGAGAATCTACACAAAATGACCTTCAAATTGTTCAATACAGTAATTATTGGAACACAAAAATGATTCATGTAGTCAAATGACACTTGAAAAAAATGATTTGACTCGTGAAAATTTTGGCCAAAGAGTCTTTGACTCGTGAACTTCTGACCTTACTGAGAGCCCTGACTGGTTTTCACATTTTTACATATCTGAAAAAAATACCCTTTACTATCAAGTCTCAATAAAGTAAAGATTGCAGACTCCAAAATGGAACACAATGACTAACAGATTGACAAACAGTTGGACATGTAACTAAAGATGTAAAAGTAATTCTTTTGATTGTCATCCATCTAACATAGTTTCAATTTTCTCAGTTTCTACTCAGCAGGGTCTACAGCTGATAATAATGTTAGTCCACAGAAACGTAAAGCTGAGGTTCTGGAGAACACAGATGCCCCAAACAAAAAAGCCACCAAAGTTGCACCAGCAGTGCTTGGCAGTGGAAAGATTTCAATGACACTGGGAAAGAAACCAGGAATAAATATGAACATTGGAGGGACGAAAAAATTAGGAGCTGCTCCAATCAAGATGTCATTAGCCACACAGGTATTTCTTGTAACCCTGCTGCATTTTTTTAGCTCACCTGTCACAAAGTGACAGGGTGAGCTTTTGTGATCGCTTTTCGTCCGTCGTCCGTCCGTCGTCCGTCCGTAAACTTTTACTTTAAATGACATCTCCTCATAAACCACTAAGCCAATTTCATCCAAACTTCACAGGAATGTTCCTTTGGTGGTCACCTTAAAAAATTGTTCATAGAATTTAATTCCATGCAGAACTCTGGTTGCCATGGCAACCAAAAAAAAAACTTTAAATATCTTCTTTTAAAAAACCCAAAGAGCTAGAGCTTAGATATTTGGCATGAAACATCTCTAGTGAGTGTCTACCAACTTTGTTCAAATAAAAGCCCTGGGGTCAAAATTGGCCCCGCCCCATGGGGTCATTGATTTTCCCTATATGCATATAGTTAAAACTTAAAAAATCTTCTTTTAAGAACCGCTAGAGCTAAGATATTTAGCATGAAACATCTTCTAATAGGTGTCTACCAAGTTTGTTCAAATAAAAGTCCTGGGGTCAAAATTGGCCCCGCCCCAGGGGTCATTGATTTTCCCTATTTGCCTATAGTAAAAACTTAAAAAATCTTCTTTTAAAGAACCCAAAGAGCTAGAGCTAAGATATTTAGCCTGAAACATGTTCTAATGGGTGTTTACAAAGTTTGTTCAAACAAAAGCCCTGGGGTCAAAATTGGACCCACCCTGGGGGTCATTGATTTTCCTGATATGTGTATAGCAAAAACTTAAAAAACTTCTTTGAAAAAACCCATATAGCTAGAGTTTAGATATTAAGCATGAAACATCTTCTAGTGAGTGTCTACAAAGTTTGTTCAAATAAAAGCCCTGGGGTCAAAATTGGCCCGCCCCAGGGGGTCATTTATTTTCCCTATATGCATATATAGTAAAAACTTAAAAAATCTTCTTTTAAAGAACCCAAAGAGCTAGAGCTAAGATATTTAGCATGAAACATGTTCTAATGGGTGTCTACAAAGTTTGTTCAAATAAAAGCCCTTGGGTCAAAATTGGCCCCGCCCCGGGGGTCATTGATTTTCCTTATATGTGTATGGCAAAAACTTAAAAATCTTCTTTGAAAAAACCCAAATAGCTAGAGTTTAGATATTAAGAATGAAACATCTTCTAGTAAGTGTCTACAAAGTTTGTTCAAATAAAAGCCCTGGGGTTAAAACTGGCCCCGCCCCAGAGGTGTCATTGTTTTTAACTTTACATGTATGTGTATAGTAAAAACTTAAAAAATCTTCTTTTAAAAAACCCAATGAGCTAGAGGTTAGATTTTAAGCAGGAAACATCTTTTTGTTGGTGTCTACCAAGTTTGTCCAAACAAAAGCACTTGGGTTTAAATTGGCACTGCCAAAGGGGGGGGGGGGGGGGCGGAGGTCGTTGTTTTTCATTATATGTGTGTAGTAAAAACTTAACATCATGAAACATCTTCTAATAGGTGTCTTCCAAGTTTGCTCAAATAAAAGCCCTGGGGTTTAAACTGGCCCCGCTCCGGGGGCCTATATACAGGTGAGCGACCTCAGGGCCATCATGGCCCTCTTGTGTTATTGTATATTTGGCTTACCTTGCTTGACTTTGTTATGTTCTCATGAGTGTTTGAGCAGTGGCGGCACCAAGGGATTAACGCATCTGATAATTGCTGGTGGCATGGGTTCAAACCTCTTCAGGGGCGATTTGTTGTTTCCTTCAGCAAGATTTAACTTTACCCTCATTGCTCAGTACTGGTAAGGTTGGTTTCCAGGTACAGATTTGACAGTGTGTCTATAAGCTTATAGCTTCCTAAACACAGTCACAATCTTTATCAAACTAAAATAAATTCTTTATAAGGTTTGAGCAAACAACAGTGTAAGAACCATGTGAGGCTGTAATGATTTGTAAACTGGCATGACTTGCTCTGATGGCAATTTGGCTAGGAGTTATGATTGCTAATAATCCTAACATTCAGAAAGACTTTGTTGTTTATCCTGTACAAGTTTGTAGGGTTTTATACACAAGAAGGTCCAAGGTCTGATTACATATTTTTTCACCAGGGCTTTGAAATAAGACAGCTTCAATGTTTTGAAGTTTGATTATTAACCAACTGAACTAATGTTGTTTTTTTTGGTGGGGGCGTTACATGTTGCAAATTAGTTAGAGGTAATATGGTGACTTCCAGCTTTACTGATGGCAAGTGGGGGTATGAATCACATTTAGTGATAGCTCTATTTGTATATTTCCAATGAAAATCTTGCAAAGTATATTTATAGTAGTGGGATGCCTCAACCCCACATCTATGACTAGGGAAATAAAGTTACATGTGCATGCAATTAAAAAAAAATTGTGTTAATTTTCTTAATGTGTAATTCAATAATTTCAATAGAGCACATAAGAAGTGAAGATTATCATAATGTGTAACAAGTTTCATATTTCTGTTCATTTCAGCCTACCAAGGAGGCATTACCAGTGGTGGAAAAAGCTAAACATGTAGCATCTGTGTTCAATGAAGAGAGTGAGGTATACAAGGAATACTGAATAATTTTTTTTCCATTTGTACCTTACCAGTAAAGGATGACCTCGGATGCACCTCTTTGCATTATTTCAGACACAAACTGGCACCTGAGTAGAACCAGCAACATTCCATAAGCAATATGTAGCTGGATAGCTTCCGCACATGAAAGAATACATAGTCTCTTTCAGGATTCAAACTAACAGCTGTAGAGGTGTGGTTTGAAGTCAACGACCTCTTACCACAAGGCCCCAGAATGATGCCCATTTATTCTTGCTAGGAAATCATTCAAAATTAGCCTCTGTAAAATTTAATTTTGACTAAAATAGCTTTAAATTTCTGGATGTAAAGAATGCCCTTGCCTGTCTCAGTTTGATGATTATTTTGTCAGAGTTTATAAAGGCATTCTATTGTGTAATCCGCTTCATGAAATAGGAATTTGAATTCTGGTTTTATCAAAGACCAGAAATAGAATAACTCAGTTTTCTAAATCACTTATTCTTACTAAGGCGAGTTATCAAACCTTGAACTTATTCACTTATCAATACATGTTCATATTTCATTTGATTTGAGGATAAAACATATATTTGCTACATGTTTGTTATATGACTTTTAAGCCGTAGCCTGCTGAATTTCTTAAATGGACTTGTTCAGCTTCCATTTTTGGAACTGAGTCCCATTATCAATTTTGGGGATATTAAGATGAAAATCTGAGTTTGTCAGTCAACAGTTTAGAGCCTGTTCAGACTTCATAGGGAGTTCAGGCTGGCCTAGCTCTATGCTAGTGGCAAAGAGTAATTGCTTTGGATGCCAGAAAGATTATGGATTAAGCACTGATATGCTCCAAGAAACAGATTCAAGAGTGATTCAGTCAAGCTAGAATAAGCTACATGCATGTGACAACTAAAATGGGCCAGAACTGGATTATTTTCTGGAATGAGGGGCTCAAAACTGGATTTTTTACCGACTGGAAATTCAACGCATATTTGGCACATTTGGCATAAAGAATTTATTTTAATCCGGTCGGGATATCACATGTACATCTTACCTATCATCAAAATGGTTTCATCGAAATGGAGTCAACTTTTAAATATATGCCTAGATTTATTTATCACATTTCTACATGAATTATAATCAATTATTTACAGAAGACATTATTTTATTTTGTATTTATAGAGTGATGAAGAAGAGATGCCAATGGAGGCAAAGATGAGGATGAGAAATGTGGGAAGGTAAATTTACCCATGAGGCTCTGCTGCATTGTTTTGACACCCTTATACACATTTCATACCAGTTCTTGTTCAATACTTGTATTATCTTAAGATCAGATGTATCACATTCATATAAACACATCAAATACAAATATGACAATTTGTATCATCAACAAACACAATCAAAATAGTTTTGTCTACCCATATGCTACATGTAGCACAATAATCATTACAGTAGTAATTAATATTTAATTATCATCAAGCAAATATTCAAACATTAAGGTAATATTACCTATATGAAAACATTATTGTACAATTACATATACAAATAACACACAAATTGAGAGGGTTGGGAGGGTAAATTTCAAACTCAACATGAGATCTACTTGTCACCCATATACAGAATTAACAAAAATATAAATAAATAAAGAGAGGTGGAAAAAAGACAAAAATGTTATAGCCAAAGATATAAGCGACCAATAGAAAGTTGTTCATTGCCTACATAGACAATAAACTAAAATCAACTAATGAGTTATAAAGGTCAACTTCATTCAACCATATAATTAAGTTATTTTTAGTTAAAAAAAAAATGATGAGAATATTGTCTGTTTTCCAAATAAGATGGAATATATTTCACTGAGTGGACACCAGATACAGTATTTTCATGAGTGGCTAGGCCTGTGTTCACTAGTGAAATGTATTTCAGTCTTACATGCAAAAGAAACAAATTTTCTATTTATTTCATGCTTTTTAGTGATTTTGAGTCATTTTTAGCTCACCTGTCACATAGTGACAGGGTGAGCTTTTGTGATCGCTTTTCGTCCGGCGTCCGTCCGTCTGTCGTCCGTCCGTAAACTTTTACTTTAAATGACATCTCCTCATAAACCAGTAAGCCAATTCCATCCAAACTTCACAGGAATGTTCCTTTGGTGGTCACCTTTAAAAATTGTTCAAAGAATTTAATTCCATGCAGAACTCTGGTTGCCATGGCAACCAAAAGAAAAAACTTTAAATATCTTCTTTTAAAAAACCCTATGAGCTACAGCTTAGATATTTGTCATGAAACATCTTCTAATGAGTGTCTACCAAGTTTGTTCAAATAAAAGCCCTGGGGTGAAAATTGGCCCCGCCCCAGGGGGTCATTGAATTTCCCTATATGCATATAGTAAAAACTTAAAAAATCTTCTTTTAAAGAACCCAAAGAGCTAGAGCTAAGAAATGTAGCATGAAACATCTTCTAATGAGTGTCTACCAAGTTTGTTCAAATAAAAGCCCTGGGGTCAAAATTGGCCCCGCCCCAGGGGGTCATTGATTTTCCCTATATGCATATAGTAAAAACTTAAAAAATCTTCTTTTAAAGAACTCAAAGAGCTAGAGCTAAGATATTTAGCATGAAACATGTTCTAATGGGTGTCTACCAAGTTTGTTCAAATAAAAGCCCTGGGGTCAAAATTGGCCCCGCCCCCGGGGGTCATTGATTTTCCTTATATGTGTATAGCAAAAACTTAAAAAATCTTCTTTGAAAAAACCCAAATAGCTAGAGTTTAGATATTAAGCATGAAACATCTTCTAGTGAGTGTCTACCAAGTTTGTTCAAATAAAAGCCCTTGGGTCAAAATTGGCCCCGACCCAGGGGGTCATTGATTTTCCCTATATGCATATAGTAAAAACTTTAAAAAATCTTCTTTTAAAGAACTCACAGAGCTAGAGCTAAGATATTTAGCATGAAACATGTTCTAATTGGTGTCTACCAAGTTTGTTCAAATAAAAGCCCTGGGGTCAAAATTGGCCCTGCCCAAGGGGTGTCATTGGTTTTAACTATATGTGTATAGTAAAAACTTGAAAAATCTTCTTTGAAAAAAACCCAATGAGCTAGAGCTTAGATGTTTAGCATGAAACATCTTCTTATCGGCGTCTACCAAGTTTGTTCAAATAAAAGCCCTTGGGTTAAAATTTGCCCTGCGGGGGGGGGGGGGGGGGTGGGGGGGGGGCGGAAGGAGGGGGGCGGGTAGATTGTTGTTTTTCATTATATGTGTGTAGTAAAAACTTAACATTGTGAAGCATCTTTTAATGGGTGTCTACCAAGTTTGTTCAAATAAAAGCCCTGGGGTTTAAACTGGTCCCGCTGCGGGTGCCTTTATACAGGTGAGCGACCTCAGGGCCATCATGGCCCTCTTGTTACTTGTTTTACCGTGTAATGTATGCGTTCTTCTTCATGATGTCATCACATGATGACATCATCATACCAATGTTGAAAGTTAGTTCAATAAAATTTCAGCATTTTGTTACATTTTTAGTTCGACTATTCGCAGAATAATCCAGCTAATAGAGTCACCCATTTGTCGGCGTCTATGTGGTTAAGTTTTTTGTGTGTAAGCTAGTATCTCCATAACTACTAAAGGCTATGGATTGAAACTTCACACACTTGTTCTCTGTGATTATCTAACATGATTGGCACAAGTCCCATAACTCTGGTAGCTTTTTTGCATAATTATGCCCCTTTTTTGACTTAGAAATTATTGGTTAAGTTTTTGTGTGTAAGCTGTTATCTCCATAACTACTTAAAAGTTTTTGAATTTTATTGTGACACTTGTATGCATTCATAATAACCAAGCAATCAAGTGATTTATTGATAAAACATCTTAATATCAAGCTTTGTACCTTTTCGGACAATTTTATGTTTTCATATAGGTAAGCATTATTATACTCAATGAAACACCCTTGTGACAACTTTTTCGAATAGTCGAGCGTCGCTGTCCTCTGACAGTTCTTGTTAACATAATGTATGCAGTTATTTACTTGCTTCTCCTAAAGAAGCAAAATTTACATACAATGGAATTTATTCCTGTTGATAAATCTATTTTAACATGAAATATTATTTTCATCCGTCCGCATTCAAATATAGTCTGGCTACAGTGAAAATTATCAAATATAATTTCACTGTGAAAATTAACAAATATAATTTCACTTTCCACTGCAAAGCATGTAATAAAAGATTTATTATGAAATACATGGAGAAGAAAAATTAATTTGTATTTAAAAGAATTATCTTTTTTTACTTTTTTGTTTCAGAGAAACCAAAACTGCTGCTGGACCAAATTCATTTGGAAAGGGAAATTTAGGTTTTTGTGACAGAACTAGAATGATAGAGAGAGAGTTGAAAAAACAAATGGAAGAATTAGGGGAGCAAGCCGATTCTAAAGGATAGTGAAAACACGATCGTCTATAGAGATTGGTTTTAACAGCAGAGCTATTTTTGTGTACAGCGATCAAATCTCGTTATTGCTTATTCTAAGGGATATACAAGTGTTCACTGTTTAGTAGTTAATTGATTCTCTTGGAGATAATTCAAGTTTAAGGAGGTCAATGATCACATAGGTTATTTATTTACTCTTTAGCTGGTTAAGTTACGATGTGGAAATACTGGCGAATTTCGCAAATTGACGAAAAAAATCGCAAAACTTTCCTCAATCGTAAATATCAACCAACCTGTCATTAAATTCTACCCTTGCAAGATTCGCTAATATTTTTTCTTTCTGGAATATCTGGAATTTATTTTAAATTCGCTAAGTTTTCGGTACGCATAAATATTGATTTATACAGTATACATTGAAATGTAACAGATTTTGTTATTGTGACACCAAAATTTAGAATTATTAGTTACATGTATTTTCACTGAGACAGTTTCAGCACAGAAGTAGTTTGCATGTTAAGCAATGAGTTATGTTAAGTCTTTGCCAAAATTGAATTCACTAGAATTGTTAAGCTTTAGATTTTAATTGTGACATTAATAGTTTTGAAGGATGGCTCAAAGCTTGTGTTCAAAGATGAGGTGACAGTATTTATTTAGTGAACTACTGCTGTATGTAAAATAGTGATAAAACAAACATAAAATCCTTAGCCTGCTGACTGGCTACAGAATCTATCCCTGTGACTAGTGCAGACCAAGATCAGCCAGCACATTCCTGACATCTGATCATGGTGAGCACTATTCAGTCAGTACTTATTCTGAAATTTCCCTAAAAAAAGATTTTTGGGTCAATTTTCAAAAATATAATAATTATTCTGGAAATAATGCAGTGAGCAAATGACCTGAAATTTTGCATATAAGTTATTGTTCTAGACCTACATCAAATGGAACATTATTCTTGAAAAATTCTTTCCATTCCTGACACGTAAAAAAAACACTGTCATTGGAATCGTTTTAAGAAAAGTAAATATTCTTAGGTTCCGAGTGTTTAAATTTTCTCTGTCTATATGACTCTTAATGCATTTTTTGCAAAAATACTAATGAATAATTCTTTTTTCATCATTATATTTCTACTCTATACAAGCAATATGAAGGCTATGTTGGCATATTTAAACTTTTAATAATTTTGTCGGAAAGTTTGTTGTTGACCAGCCTCATTCAATTCACACAATATTTACTGATTGAAACTATTAATTGAATTTTAATCAAAACATTGAAATAAATCCCGAAACGGTTGCTTTAAAGAAATAGGATTGAAAATATATGTATTTTACTGGAAAGAATTTTTTTCCTTTGAAAAAGAAATTTCTGATTAACAGAACTATTTAAGTTGGTGTGTACACACCTGTCATTGTTAATGAACTTGGGTTTATTTTGCAATTGGAAGCATTTTTTATATGAGCCATATTGGCTTGATGTTAATTTATGTATTTTATTTTACTTGTGTTTTTGTAGATCAAATAAATAAGTGAAATATATTTGAACTTATTATTTTTACTTTTATAATTCATTGAATTTATTAGAACCAAATATTCAGGTCATTCTATTCAGCGTGCAGGCAACACCTGATATTACATTAACCCTTGTGATCAATGCAGACCAAGATCAGCTATATAATCATGGTCTGCACTGTTCGCTTTTTAGTCAAGATAATTTTTAGCTCACCTGAGCATATGCTCAGGGTGAGCTATTAGGATCACTCTTCGTCCGTCGTCTGTCGTCCGTTGTCCGTTCACACTTTTAAAATGACATCTCCTCTGAAACCATAAGGCAGATCATAATGAAACTTCACAGGGATGTTCCTTGTGTGAAGCCTTAACAAAGTTGTTCAAAGAATTCCATTTCATGCAGAACTCTGGTTGCCATGGCAACCAAAAGAAAAAACTTTAAATATCTTCTTCTATAAAACCCAAAGAGCTAGAGCTTAGATATTTGGCATGAAACATCTTCTAGTGAGTTTCTACTAAGTTTGTTCAAATAAAAGCTCTAGGGTCAAAATTCGCCCTGCCCCAGGGGGTCATTGATTTTCCCTATATGCATATAGTAAAAACTTGAAAAATCTTCTTTTAAAGAACCCAAAGAGCTAGAGCTAAGATATTTGGCATGAAACATCTTCTAATGGGTGTCTACCAAGTTTGTTCAAATAAAAGCCCTGGGGTCAAAATTAGCCCCGCCCCAGGGGGTCATTGGTTTTCCCTATATGCATATAGTAAAAACTTAAAAAAATTTCTTTTAAAGAATGCAAAGAGCTAGAGCTAAGATATTTAGCATGAAACATGTTCTAATGGATGTCTACCAAGTTCGTTCAAATAAAAGCCCTGGGGTCAAAATTGGTCCCGCCCCGGGGGTCATTCATTTTCCTTATATGTTAATATAACAAAAACTTAAAAGATCTTTTTTGAAAAAAAAACAAATAGCTAGAGTTTAGATACTTAGCATGAAACATCTTCTAGTGAGTGTCTACCAAGTTCGTTCAAATAAAAGCCCTGGGGTCAAAATTGGCCCCGCCCCGGGGGTCATTCATTTTCCTTATATGTGTATGACAAAAACTTACAAAATCTTCTTTGAAAAAACTCAAATAGCTAGAGTTTAGATATTAAGCACAAGGCATCTTCTAGTGAGTGTCTACAAAGTTTGTTCAAATAAAAGCCCTGGGGTCAAAATTGGCCCCGTCCCAGGGGACAGTGATTTTCCTTATATGTGTATAGCAAAAACTTAAAAATCTTCTTTGAAAAAACCTGAATAGCTAGAGTTCAGATATTAAGCATGAAACATTGTCTAGTAAGTGTCTATAAAGATTGTTCAAATAAAAGCCCTGGGGTCAAAACTGGCCCTGCCCCAGGTGTCATTATTTTTAACTATATGTGTAAAGAAAAAAACTTGAAAAAATCTTCTTTTAAAAAACCCAACAAGCTAGACCTTAGATGTTTAGCATGAAACATCTTCTAATAGTGTCTATCAAGTTTGTTCAAATAAAAGCCCTGGGGTTTAAACTGGCCCCGCTCCGGGGGCCTATATACAGGTGAGCAACTTTAGGGCCATCATGGCCCTCTTTTTTAAAAATACCCTTAAAATTATGAATGATTGCGTCCAGATTTAAAGATGGACAAGTCCATTAAAGATACCTAGGGTGGTAAGGGTGAGGATAGGGCAAGTGTTGTATTTTTAGCTCACCTGTCACAAAGTGACATGGTAAGCTTTTGTGATCCCTTTTCGTCCGGCGTAAATCAATAAACTTTTACTTCAAACGACATCTCTTCATAAACTGCTAAGCCAATTTCATCCAAACTTCACAGGAATGTTCCTTTGGTAGTCAACTTTAGAAATTGTTCAAAGGATTGAATTTCATACAGAACTCTGGTTGCCATGGCAACCGAAAGAAAAAACTTAGAATATCTTCTTTTAGAAAACCGAATGAGCTAGAGGTTAAATATTTGGCATAAAACACCATCTAGTCAGTGTCAACCAAGTTTGTACAAATAAATGCCCTGGGGTAAAAATTGGCCCGCCCCAGGGGGTCATTGTTTTTCCCTTTTTGTATATAGTAAAAACTTTAAAAATTCTTCTTTTAAAAACCCCAAAGAGCTAGAGCTAAGATATTTAGCATGAAACATCTTCTAATGGGTGTCGACTAAGTTTGTTCAAATAAGAGCCCTTGGGTTTAAATTGGGCCGTCCCAGGGGTCTTTGATTTTCCTTATATGTGCATAATAAAAACTTAAAAAATCTTCTTATAAAAAACCCAAAGAGCTAGAGTTTAGATACTAAGCATGAAACATCTTCTAATGAGTGTCTACCAAGTGTGTTCAAATAAAAGCCCTGGTCAAAATTGGCCCCACCCAGGGGGGAGTCATTGTTTTTCCCTATATGTATATAATAAAAACTTAAAAAATCTTCTTATAAAAACGCCAAAGAGCTAGAGCTTAGATATTTATCATGAAACATCTTCTAATGGGTGTCTACCAAGTTTGTTCAAATAAAAGCACTTGGTTTAAAATTGGCCTTCGCACAGGGGCCTTTATACAGGTGAGCGATTTCAGGGCCATCATGTCCCTGTTGTTATATATAATCAGTAAACAACATTATGGTCATTTTTCACTGCCAAGTTGATCCGCATTTGACTATATAAATTCCGATGGATATTGATAGAAATTTCATTTGGCCACGTGAGTTATTTATAGTTCATGCCGGTGATTTTAGGGTAATTAAATTATCCCTTTGTATCATATGAATTAAACAAAACTGACAGTAGAGATGTTTATCGTTTGTCCCACCAATTAGACCCAGATGTTGATTATGCGAAATTTTGGCCTTGCAAAAATAGTTGACTTAACAGAACAGAAATTAATGCACTAGTGAACATTAGTCACCTGCAGGTATACCAGATGTCTCTATGCAATGGGCGAAAATGATCACATGAAATGTCTCTATGCAATGGGCGAAAATGATCACATGAAATGTCTCTATGCAATGGACGAAAATGATCACATGAAATGTCTCTATGCAATGGGCGAAAATGATCACATGAAATGTCTCTATGCAATGGACGAAAATGATCACATGAAATGTCTCTATGCAATGGACGAAAATGATCACATGAAATGTCTCTATGCAATGGACGAAAATGATCACATGAAATGTCTCTATGCGGTAGACGAAAATGATCACATGAAATGTCTCTATGCGGTAGACGAAAATGATCACATGAAATGTCTCTATGCGGTAGACGAAAATGATCACATGAAATGTCTCTATGCGGTAGACGAAAATGATCACATGAAATGTCTCTATGCTGTAGACGAAAATGATCACATGAAATGTCTCTATGCGGTAGACGAAAATGATCACATGAAATGTCTCTATGCGGTAGACGAAAATGATCACATGAAATGTCTCTATGCGGTAGACAAAATGATCACATGAAATGTCTCTTAAGCGGTAGACGAAAATGATTACATGAAATGTCTCTATGCAATGGACGAAAATGATCACATGAAATGTCTCTTAAGCGGTAGACGAAAATGATTACATGAAATGTCTATGCAATGGACGAAAATGATCACATGAATTTTTTTTAGAGTTTGAATTTTACGCTTTGTTACTGTCTGAAAGCAAGAGAAAAAGTAATTCTTACCCATCCTTACTTGCACACCGTGGTAAGGCACAGGGCACCAGCCGAAGATTTGAGCTTCGTCGGAGTTTGCTTCACCAAGGTTACGCTAGCAGGTTAAGACCCGATTGGGTCAAACTACCACCACAATGCATTTTGGAGTTAAGCTACTCTCGCGTTCTACGGACCAGTTGCCGATGCTCTGTCTGAAATCAAGGAGAGTGGCCATGGACGGCGAGGGGATAGGTACTAAGATGAGCTCCTAGTTCGCAGGCAGGCCATTTGCTTTATGTTACTGTATGTTATGTTGCCCATTGACCGCTGTACTAGTGACCTACCTTCGGCTCAAAATTCATATTTTTTGGCTAATATTCTAAGCTTTTTGTAGATGTAGACCCTCATTAAACATAAATTCATTCAGGGAAGAAAAAAAATCAAACCCACTAAATAAAAATCTTGTCGCCAGAGGCTCGCTTCAAACTGTCTTATTCAACTCGTTTAATAAATTCGATACAGAATCAAAAGTCATTTAATTTTCTCTATTTATCAATATTGGGCAATCACGTTTAATCATCTTGGTTGCAAAAATGTCACATGAATCGTGACAAATTCAAGGGGGAAATTTGCTGTAAAATATTAGAAAGAAGTTCTCCAATCTTTGCAAACAATGAAGGGGAGATTATTTCGAGAAGATTGTCATGATGCGTCGTTAAAATAACCAACAACGTCATTTCAATTACGTACTAACGTTTATGACGTCATTACGTTAACAACCAAATCATTTAACGACGCCAGTTTGTGAAGAACTGCAGCTAACTTCAGCTGTCATCCTTTATTATTGAAAAATATCAGAATGGACACTGTATATCAGCCTTCATTTATCTTTTCGCAGAACGGAACTCTGATGTAAGTTTATCTTAATTTAATTATTGCCGATCATAAAGTAAATGGAGAATTTATGGGGAAAATATATTTCTTTGCTGCCTAATTGAGGCTAATGTTTTAAGATCATTTATTTAGGCTTGATCCATTCCGTATTGCACCCACTGCCCTTTTTGTATCTTTCTTTTTTAAACACCTTGAATGACATTTGGTCTTTTTTAATCTTTCTCATGATATAAATGCATAAAGTATTCATGACAAGAGGTGCAACTCTTAAATGGATATCATTTTTAAGATAGTAGGAGTTGTTTCCCTTGAATTAATGACATTTTTTTTTTCAATATAAGTTCAATGTAAAATTGGAATTTCTCCTTTATGTCAAATAAGTTCTGTAATATTGTAAAGTAAAGTTTCCGAAAATGAATCTTTGGCTTATGTTATACTAAAATAAGTCTGGTATTAAAAACTTGTCAATTCTGTTAAAATACTATTGAATTATTGTCTTTATTATATTTATAAACTTTGTAGATTCTAAAAAGTAATCTCTTATTCCTACTTATACATGTACATATATCTCATATATTGTATGTATATGCATAAATGTTTTGTATTGTGTAAAAAAAATTGAAAAAAAAAAAAAAAAAAAAAAAAAAAAGTAAATGGAGAAATTTACAGATGGCATTGTGAAAACTAGGAAAGAACCATAGTAACGTATTTTAACTTTTAAAACGTAAAGCAGCACGCCAAAAAAATTCATGCTAATTTTCATTAAAATTTTGAAAATGTATTTGAATGTGTAATATTGTGAAGTAACCAAAAGGAAGCAATTTACACATTATCAATGGCACTTACAAACCACGTAAATTCCTAAAAAAAATGACCAAAATTTGCATATATAGCCTTAACTGCGTAAGTAACGCAGTAGAAATATAGTTGTAAATACTGAAAAATCAGTCATTAATCGCACATTATATGTAAAATATTACTTAAAATTGAAACTTTTTTACTTTTCCTTACATCTTAGTACATTTTTCTCAAGTTTGATTTTATTGAAATATTTTGACTCATCTGTAGGCATGTAGTTTTAAGTTGTTCACTTCAAATAGTTACAAATAATTAATGTAACTGTCGTTAGATGATGTTCTTAAATATGTTGGATCGATTATAATTTGTTCAATTACTTTAATTTACAGAACCAATCGATTTGTTGAGTTTCGGAAGCTGTGTGAATTATTTGCTGACGAAATTATAAAAGGACGAGATCCTTCAGCAATGATATTAACCAAGATCACAAAATTCCCGCCTCTTAGAGGTAATAAATATTTACCATTTTATTTGTGTGTTTTACTATTTTTAAATGTAGATTAATCTTGAGTGTATTGTTTAGAGTGTATTTTCTTGATTATGTATTAATTAATATAGAGTATATCCATGCATACTCAATATTGATTAATAAATCAAGTGTATATGCATGCATGTGAACATCCTTTTTTCAATATTGATTTATTGATCTAGAGGTTATTCCTGTATGCATACTTCCTTTATCAAATATTGATTTATCAACAGTTTATCCGTGCACGTGTTTTTCTTTTTATTTTCTTTTATAAATTTATATTGATTAATCGAGGGTATGTATATTCGTGAATGGTTTTTATTCTTTATTGAATATTGATTATTACAAAAATGTATTCGTGTATAGTTTCTTTAGTAAAAATATTCCTGTACACATAAGTTATTTAATAAGTTTTGATTAAACCAATTCGGATGTGCATTTATTTTCAATATTATCATCTGTCGAGTATATTAATGTACACTTTCTTTATTCAATATTTGTATGACTTTCTGTCTGTGTTGTCAAATCAAATTTCTCTCTTAATTTTTCTTTGTGACAAAATGTTTCTAAGCAATGATGTTCAGCTCAATTGTCCAAATATATTTCTTTTCATATAGTTTCATAGTGGTACTATTATTGTTACTTTAATAACTACTGAAGTTTCATTCTATTGCATTTTTCTATGCAATCATTATAGGCACATTATGGCTCAGAAGTAAATTTTATTCTTTAGAAATGTCAAACATGTGTTTAATAATGTTTAAATAATATTATTTGCATGCAGATCATGTTAGATGTTTAACAGCTGACGAAATTATCTCTGAATGTGTAGTAACGTGTCGTAAACATAGCAAAATGTAAATAAAGTAGTATTTTTACTTCCATACAAAATACTATTTCACTTTAATTGTTCCAATTGCCGACAAAGCAAAAGAAGCAAAGATAGTTAATCTATATGGTAATTGAGTATTTTTGGAAACTATGACAAGATACCAAAAAAATAAAGATTTTGTGATAACAAATTGTAGCATTTTTGAGACATAATGGGCCTTTAAGATTGAGATAATGTGCATAGTGAAATGTACATAGTGTATTTCAAACCATATTTCTTAAAAGTAAACGATCAGAAGTAAACTTTTTTTCTTAACTTGTGACTTATGTTACAGATGTTCCACTGTTGAACGAGGCTTTTGATCTATTAAAAGATTCTGCGTTTGAATATCATATATCTCGTGAGAAAGGTAATTTAGATTATTGGCCTGAAGATGACCCACAAAATGACCAAGGGGATTCAAATAGGTCCAACTCTTCAACTGATAGGTTGAGAAGAACAAGACAGACATATAATACGTAAGTTAAAAACCTATATACACGTACTTCCGTGACCTTTAATTCTTTAAAAGCTCAAGTGAGGTCAAAAAGTCTAAAAACATAAAAATTAAATTATAATATATATCAAGTGAGGTACTTAAAATAATTAAATTTGCTGAGGCTAAAAAAGAAATATACTTTGTGTCAAATTGAATATCCGCTTATGTGCGATTCTTAGCACGATATATTGAGTGAAAAGCGTTGCAACGCTTTTCATTGTTTGGGTCATTTATAAAACTTTTTTTTCTTGAAAAACGTGATTACGAATTGATCTGAAAAATGTGCAAAGCATCTATTGGTCTAGGCCTACATCGAATGGTTCACAAATGTAGGGAAAATATTTCCAGTCATCTCGTGTCAAAAACCCTCAGTGGAGTCACTTTAAATTTAACATATAACAGTGTAATATAACTGTTTAAATTAACATTATAAAAATAACAACTACACTGAATAACACTGTGTTCATGCAACAATTTAGAAAATATGATACTAGCTAGCCGTTTGCATTTGCTCTTCATTTTATATAGGTTTTTACCAAAAGAAGAAATGGCTGCATGTAAGAAATTGTTCCGGAAATTATCGCAAGTATGCCATAAACACCAGCAAGCACTTGAATCCTTACAAGAAGCTATTTCGGTAAATTTTAGTTTTATATTCTGAAATGAAATGCTGACACTTCTTATGTATTATATTATAGTTTAAAATACTTTATAAACTGCAATAAGTTTAGTTTTATCAACTGTAATGATGTCACGTTAATCAGAGGCTGTTTTAATTTTATTCAGAGTTTACACCTCCTTGTATATGTTATTTTTAATAAAATGTCTTCCGGAAGTTTGAAGAGCTCTTCATAAAGATTTTGTGACGTTAGTACAAATGACAATTCATCAAACCATTTTCCAATGAAATAATAATACCCATCATTTATAAGAGCATTCTAACATTAAAGTGACGAATGAGTTAGTCCAAAACACTAAACGGACAGTAACACATTCGAAATATAAAACATCAAAACTAGTACAGAGTACATATTTCATGAAAGAAAAAAAAATAATATAAGAAACGCTTAACACGTTTGAATTTTATGTATAAACTTTTTATAATTAGGCATACAAAGAACTGGACAAGAAATGTTTTGATGCATACACACAGATGAATATTGCATCTGACAACTTCAACGAATATGCTAACGTTGATGTAGATGACCAAAATGAATTCAAAGAGGCTAGCTATGAAGCCCATAAGGTTTACATACAGCGGACGAAAGAATACATCATGTACAAAGATAAGTCTAAGATGGCTTTTGAGAAGATGTACCCCAGGTACAAAACAGAGAAACAAATCAGAGAGGAGCGGATAAATAAGGTACAAATATACTTCTAAAATACCTAACAATAAAATGAAATACAACTTATTTTCATTACCTGTAAAAAAATTCCAACGTAATACGAGTGAGTAGCTGTAGCTTAAAATGCCTTTCAGAGATCAATGATTAAAGTCTATCATTAGATTTAACGTCGCTTTTTTAGAATTAAACAGTGGTCTTTCTGGAATAAATATGCTCTTACCTAGATAAAAGAAAAAAAAACTTTGATTCATAGTGGAAGTTTATTGTTCTTTTGAAACTGTTTTATACTTTTAGTCAAGTATTATACACGTATGATTTTATGTTGCTACAGCTGGACAATGACTTGAAAATCATCATAGAGACAGAGATGAGGGAAATACTGACAGAGGGAATGAAAACATTGATGAAAATAGCTACAGCATGCCGATTCTCTCCGTAAGTTTATTTTGTCATTTTTTTCTCTTAATAGTTAATAACAATTATCTCACCGTCCGTTTGTCTGTCATAATGTGTGACTGTATCATTATCCAACCAATTATTACAAAAAATAACAGTTTTTCCTTTAAGTAGATAAAACTGATTGTGCTGTTATTTCAAGGGTTGTAAAGATAGCTTCTACCACATACCTGTAATTAGTTACATGTTTAAGTCGTTTACTATTTTTTGGATCTAGTCATTTATTGTTGTTGCTGCAGTCACGTGTGATTGGTTTAATCTTGATTCATTTGAATCCTTAACGTAATGGATTAACCAAACTTTGAATTCGGAACAGTTCAACCAAAGTTAAAGAGATCCTCCCAGCTTTAAGTTTTAAGGATTAATTTAAAAATAAAATAACTTTAGCTAGCAACAATTATAGAGCCTAGTCAGACTGTATGGTTGTTCAGATTGGTCTGGCTCTATACTGGGGGGCAAAGGATAATAAGTTTTGGTTCCAGCAGGTTCATGCTTTTCTTTTCTGCTTCAGAGATGTCATAGATAGAATTGGAAACTTTGATTGTGCCATCACTGCTGTAAAGCTTTACAGAGATGTTTGCTTGAAGTACTGCCACCCTGCCGTTAATGAGGTCAGATTCTTGCTATACTCAAATTTAACTGATTAAAGTATTAGTATATGCTACCCCATTACCTGTATTACTAGTATACATATAGCATATGCTACCCCATTACCTTTATTACTAGATCTAGTATACATATAGTATATGCTACCCAATTACCTTTATTACAAGATCTAGTATAGATATAGTATATGCTACCCAATTACCTTTATTACTAGATTTAGTATACATATAGTATATGCTACCCAATTACCTTTATTACTAGATTTAGTATACATATAGTATATGCTACCCCATTACCTTTATTACTAGATCTAGTATACATATAGCATATGCTACCCCATTACCTTTATTACTAGATTTAGTATACATATAGTATATGCTACCCCATTACCTTCATTACTAGATCTAGTATACATATAGTATATGCTACCCATTACCTTCATTACTAGATCTAGTATACATATAGTATATGCTACCCCATTACCTTCATTACTAGATTTAGTATACATATAGTATATGCTACCCCATTACCTTTCATTACTAGATCTAGTATACATATAGTATATGCTACCCCATTACCTTCATTACTAGATCTAGTATACATATAGTATATGCTACCCCATTACCTTCATTACTAGATTTAGTATACATATAGTATATGCTACCCCATTACCTTCATTACTAGATCTAGTATACATATAGCATATGCTACCCCATTACCTTCATTACTAGATTTAGTATACATATAGCATATGCTACCCCATTACCTTCATTACTAGATCTAGTATACATATAGTATTATGCTACCCCATTACCTTCATTACTAGATTTAGTATACATATAGTATATGCTACCCCATTACCTTCATTACTAGATCTAGTATACATATAGTATATGCTACCCCATTACCTTCATTACTAGATCTAGTATACATATAGTATATGCTACCCCATTACCTTCATTACTAGATTTAGTATACATATAGTATATGCTACCCCATTACCTTCATTACTAGATCTAGTATACATATAGCATATGCTACCCCATTACCTTTATTACTAGATTTAGTATACATATAGCATATGCTACCCCATTACCTTCATTACTAGATCTAGTATACATATAGTATATGCTACCCCATTACCTTCATTACTAGATTTAGTATACATATAGTATATGCTACCCCATTACCTTTATTACTAGATCTAGTATACATATAGCATATGCTACCCCATTACCTGTATTACTAGTATACATATAGTATATGCTACCCCATTACCTGTATTACTAGTATACATATAGTATATGCTACCCCATTACCTGTATTACTAGTATACATATAGTATATGCTACCCCATTACCTTCATTACTAGATCTAGTATACATATAGTATATGCTACCCCATTACCTTCATTACTAGATCTAGTATACATATAGTATATGCTACCCCATTACCTTCATTACTAGATTTAGTATACATATAGTATATGCTACCCCATTACCTTCATTACTAGATCTAGTATACATATAGTATATGCTACCCCATTACCTTCATTACTAGATTTAGTATACATATAGTATATGCTACCCCATTACCTTTATTACTAGATCTAGTATACATATAGTATATGCTACCCCATTACCTTTATTACTAGTATACATATAGTATATGCTACCCCATTACCTTTATTACTAGATCTAGTATACATATAGTATATGCTACCCAATTACCTTTATTACAAGATCTAGTATAGATATAGTATATGCTACCCCATTACCTTTATTACTAGATTTAGTATACATATAGTATATGCTACCCCATTACCTGTATTACTAGTATACATATAGCATATGCTACCCCATTACCTTTATTACTAGTATACATATAGTATATGCTACCCCATTACCTTTATTACTAGATCTAGTATAGATATAGTATATGCTACCCAATTACCTTTATTACTAGAACTAGTATAGATTTTGTATATGCTGCCCCTTACCTTTATTACTAGATCTAGTATAGATATAGTATATGCTACCCAATTACCTTTATAACTAGATCTAGTATAGATATAGTATATGCTACTCCATTACCTTTCTTATTAAGACTCGATTTTTTAATGTTTATATATCAAGTATAACTAAAACACAAGAATATTACATAAGTATTTAGCATTATGTTTTAATGACACATATAAAACATAATTATCTTTTATTTAAATGTTAAATTAAGTTTTGTTCGTAAAGTTTCCATGTTTAAACATTGTCACTAGTTAAAACCATTGATAAAAAGGGTATACATACATTGTATTTTGTTTTCAAAGTAAAACTTATTTTCTTTTCAACAGAAACATCTGGGTAATGTACTTGGAAACAGTTTCTACATTTATCCATATTTTTATGTCATGGATAAAGATGAACGAAGATTTCGGCAGCATGAGAGTTGTATATCTCTACTCGATGGAGAATCAAAACGTAATTATTTTCATTTAAAATGTGGAGCCTTTTTTCATTGGCCCATTCGACCAGTGTAGACCAAAATTTAGCTTTGCTATCTGATCATGGTCGGCAAAGTACTCTAAAATTGTCCGCGAAAATGAAGAATGTTTCTTTCTTTTTTTTTTTTTTCAAGATAAAAAGATTTACAAGTCCATTTAAGCTACATGTATCTTGCTTAGTGAAGGATATTAAATTTTATTATAAAACTATTGTCTTAATATCGTTTAAGAATTGTATTATTTTGGTGGCATTTATTAACGAAATAAATGTTGAGCTTGATATAACATTTCTAGATCATACTATGTATACGATTATAGTGTAAGAGTATTTTTGACATCATTTATTATTGAAATATCAAACTTGCCGAAAAAAGGATGAAAAGTCCATGGTATACATGTTCTGTTATATTTTCAATACAGAATTTAGACGAGAAGAGCTGTATGTATGGGCAAATGCCACTTTAGATGTTAAAGGGGAAGATTGTTTGCTCAAGTTAAAACAAGGTGAGACAATGTCACGATTCATGTGAATAACCGCGTAATTTTTTCATCTTTATATAAAAAAAAACAAAACAAAAAACACAAACAAAACTAGCACAGACATTGTTATAAGTTTATCAGAATATCATGTAAAAGTTGGATAAAATTATAATCCTTTATTTAATTTTGTGCAACATATCCTAAGTATATTCTAAATTACAGTACAATTGTGTCTTAACATACGCTCCGTCATAAGAATATCGTATGTTTTAATTTTTGTTTTGTTTTTTGTTGTTGTTTTTTTGTGCTTTTTTATGTTATTTTTGCTTTTTTATTTTATTATTTAGTTTTATTTCCCTTAATTTAAACATACTATTTTGTATCAACTATTTATGCGGTTAGGTATTGAAAAAGAAATATCTAGGATTCGCTTAAATCATCACAGTTTTTGTTGTTCAGAATTAGAACCCAGGTTGTGTATCGTATTGTTAAATACTATAGGAAATATTTATAAATTGTAAATTTGTATTAAAAATCGTTATATGTTATCATATATTAACATGGGCCATATAAATATACTGTAATATTTTGTTTAAAAAATCCTTTTTTCTTCTTCAGATATTACCATTAAACAGAAATTTTGTTCTGCTGACGGCAGCCTTGCATTTGGTTGGACAAGAAAGTTTGGGTGCGGGAACAAGCATTATGGATTCTATCATACACATAATACAAGACTTGTCCAATGAAAATTCAACCAATATTTATTTACAAAAATATGCAAATATTTAATACATATTTATTTTGAAACATATTCAGTTTTTCTTATTTTTTCTTCAGCGTAAATATATTCAGTATTCAAATCGTTTTAGACCTACAATTGTAACCAATGACATTGATTTAAACCAAAATTTAAGAACAAACTGCCTCTAAGAACAAAGTTGTCGTACAACTTTAATCAGAACAACTCTTTTTAAAAGGTAAAGATGTACATTATGTATAATTAAAAATACATTTTCTTTTCAAATCGCCACCCTAGTCTATAAGTATCACATTGACTGAACACCTTTGTGTATAGGAAAATACAAGAACCAGGGCTACGTTTCAGTATGAAATCATTGTTAACAAAACTGAAGCAAATTTTGCATTTCAAATAAAATGTTCTAACCTATGATTCCTGTGTTATGACTTCTTGCTGAAATAGCAATGCGAATAAAAGAGTGTGTAATTGTATTTATTAACTTTTCTCGGGTGAATTAATATAGTCTACATTCTTTGACGGTCTAAAGTTTGTCAAAAATTAGTCCTAAGTTGTGGTTTTCTTTTTGTTCTAGGACTTAAGATACCCTTTCTATCAACCGCAGCCCTGAATATTATTGTTTTTTTTTAAATTGACATACAATTCTGTAATTTTCTACAACTTCCGAAGAAACCATTCAAACAAACTAGTCCCACTTTGCCCTCTATAATACGTACACAAATATTTTACCCAAGGTAACCTTTTGATATCATGTTGCTACCTTTCATGGCAAAGATGTAAGCTCGGCGTTAGAAACAACAGAATAATAAAACATATTCTATAACAAGGATTTAAACTTTAAATAAAATATCAAGGCATCCAACCTTAGCAACTGTCGTTAAAGCATGATCTTTGTTACAAATTTGGTTTTCATTTGGTTTGATCCCAACAGTGTTCTAACCAAACTTTAGGCAATGTTACTTGAATTGCAGCGTTAGGAAAATGCATTTTCTTTTTTTGGTTTTGCATAACACCAACATAGTTTATGTCATAAGGTGCCGAAAAAGGAGCTAATGTCGGGTGTTACAAAATTATAGCAACACCAGGGGTCAAAACCACCTCTCCTGCTGGAGCTAAGAGATGTTCAGACTCCAGTAATTCAAACCCATTAAGTCGCCTCTTACGATCATGCAGGGGGAAATGGATTAATTAACCCACTATCACTCTATTGTTGAAGCTTATATAATAGAGGTAACTAAAGCATTTTACAAACCAAACATTTTGTCAAACAAGAAGTAACAAGATTTCTTTTTAAAATTTTATTCTGCATTTCAATATACATGTTTAGAGTATAAAAAATCAACATAAAAAAACAACAGTAAAACAGACAAAACGGGACAAAATGTAGAAATAAAGTTGTTCTTTAAATAAGCAAAATATATTTATTTATATCAACAAATATAAAGTTCAAGAAAATGAACTAACCATTCAAAAAGTATCATTTAATTTTAGAACATGAAACTATAGTTGAAAACAATCTCAGACGTTGAATCTAAGATTCAAACCAATAAATAAAAACATTGACAAATCGCTTGATAACAGACCAGCTTCACAATAAGGATATGTTACAGGTAGGGACGGAACCTTTCAAGGGCTATGTGGCGAGGCAGGACAATATATACAAAATTTATTGTGTATTTTTTATAAACAATATTTGAATCACAAAAGACACGGGCCTTACCAACAACACAGAATAAAGTAGTTTCACTTATACAAAGGACGGAAAACAATGTAAAGGAAAACAATGTTTATTCAGTCTGTAAAGCAAACAAATGGACGGAATCATATTTTAGATGTACATTAAATCAATGGGAAAAAACCCAACACTTTGGCAAATTAACACAAAGACCAAAAATACTTCATCCATGTTAACTGTTGCATATTCATCACATCGACCTTTAAATCAGACACTGAAATTCATGCATGATTTGGACAGCTTTGTATGTTATACAAGTCATAGTTCAAGTGAAAAATCAAAATATGAATAGTGAATTATTCTAAGGTATATTCTGATAAAAGAAATACTCAAGTTTTCTTTTGACTCCTTTCCTTCATAATCAAGAAAATAAAAGTTCATGAAAATATTTAATATAAATTATTTTAAACTTACTGTACACTCTATATATCACAGATCAATACAAATCACAGTGTAATTACTAGTACTTAAAACAAAATACTATTTTTTGAACCTTAAAACATTTTCAAATGTCCATTTCAATCCGTTCTATACAAAAATATGTATAGCTGCATGTACATCATTCAAAACTAATTCTGATGATTCTAAAAATCTTAAATCAATTAAATACTCTGATACCATGCATATTTCAAACCAACATTTAACAAATAAATTAAACAAATAATAAATTTTCAACAATTAATATATTTGTATATATTCTTATTTACAGAAATTCACTAAACACGTTCTTTCATTCATGTGTCTAGACTATCTAATTTTAATTATCACAGTGTTTGAATTCAAAATTAAAATTATAAAAATATATTTAAGTACTAAAAGTGTCTATTGATTATTTCTTCTTTTTAGCAGACGGGCTCTTTTTGCCTTTAGCACTGCCCTTTTTGCCCTTCGGTGATTTAGCTGCTGCGTCTGCTTGCAATGCCGCCTCTTTAGCCTCGAGTTCTTCCAGTTTCTTGCGTTCTGCTTCTAAATAAGTCTGTCTAAATGCTTCCCTTGGTTTATTTATAGATTCTCTAGCTGCATCAAGCATTGCCTGTAAAAACAACATTTGTTTATCAATCATTAGTCTGAACATTACCATTTAACAAGCCAAGGTATGAAGTGTTCAAGCTCTATATTTTGGTGAAGGCTATGTTTCCTCATAATATGCTATAAGAACTGGTTGGTTCAAGGCAGCAGACTTGTGAGTTATTAAAATACATGTAAGTGGTTTACTATCATTACAATTACTGTCATTACAACTGAACTAAAAATGAAATATGCTTTAACTAAATAAGTAAGGAGAACAGCAGACTTGACTGTTACTTGATTGTTCTCCGTGCATAATTTTTCACGAAAACCTTGATAATGCAGGATTTTTTGAAGTTTCCAAAGGTAAAAGACATGTAATTCAGTAAAAATTCATGTTAGAGTTATTGCCCTTGGACAATGTCTTAAACTATGATCTTAAAAGAATGTATGATGATTCAAGAAATACCTTATGTGTTATATCTTAAAAATACCACATAATACCATATGATATTGCTTGCCAAACAATAACAAAATATTAATCTAATGCAATTGCACTGTAGATTACGATAATACCACCACTTAAATATGATTTGTTCTTTAAACAAAAGTGAATTTTAATGTCTTTAAAACCATAGGATAATTGAAACCTGATTCTTATTTTGCTCATTGACAGATAAAGCAAATAAGAAAGCTTAATAGATATCATCGTTTACATGATGTCACAGCTTATTTATCTTTTATTTATTAATTCAGGCCTCTTAGTACATCTGTAGACTGTGTTTTATTTTAATCTTAATTCATGTATCATTTTGGTAATGCTGGCAGATTTATTACAAAATTTGTAAATAAGCAAGTCTAGTAACCTTTCAAATTACATGTACAACTCATCCTAAAGGTGACCAACCAATCAAGTTAAGAGTAACAATTTGTTTGATGTATACATACCTGTAACTCCTCGCATTCTTGTATTTGTTTTTCTTTAGTCATATTGCGTAATTCTTTATCTTTCTTTCTCCATTCTTCCACCTGTTGTCTGAACGCCTTGTACTCTGCTATCTGTTTCTGCTGTTCCTGGAACCGTCTCTGAGTTTCCTCCTCATCCAGGTAGCGTGGTGAGTCAGTTGTATGTCTAAAACAAGGAGTGTAAAAAAAAAAAGAATTGTTTATTTCGAAATGTAAAACAGTTTCATTTCTCAAGTTATTTTTTCATCCCGTAAGTAATTTTTTAAATATTTTTTGAAGTAATACATTGCAATATTTTCAAAATGAAGGTTGACTATGTATGACCCATGGTGCATAGTTTCAAACATGAATAAAGTCTAGTGTAATGCCATGAACCATCTTTAAGAGCAAATAACACATTTTAAATTAATCCATATTATCCAATCCTACATTTGTATATTGGTCATGTTTAATTTTAAATTCAATGGAACCAATTAACAGATAGCAAGTATCACTATACATATACAGAAATTAGGTACTAACTAACCTTAAGAAAGGAGTAATATCAACTGGCTGTAACATTTCTTTGGGTGTGGGTGGGGGTGGTGGCTCCAGAGTAAGGTTACCATCATCATCACCGAGGAATGACCCTGGTGTTTGTGGTGGTACATAACCAGGTTGGTCACCACCCTCACCCTCCACCTTCTCCCCTTCTTCCTCGTCATCATTTAACTTGATTGTGTGTGTAGACAGGTACTTCAATCTGGACTGCATAGCCTGAAAGACATTAAACATTGATATAAATCCCTTTCTTAGAATGATGCACATGAAATAATATAGGCTTCCTTTTATCTATTTCTGGTTGAGGTTTAATAAGATATAATTAGTTCTATAAAAACAAACATTTTTCTTAGCTTTAGACATTTAGTGTACTTCAGAAATAAAAGTTGACATTTATAAAATAACAAATGACACACACATCCTTTTAACTGTATGCTAAACGAAACAATGATGTTAAAGCAGAAATAAAAGCTTTGCCAAGTAAAAACAGAATGTATCAATTAAAACAAATACATTACTACATTTTTCTTTGGGTTTGGGTTTAAAGCAAGGAGTAACTGCTGGCATGATTTGACTAACCATTGCAAATTTTACGACTATCTCATTGAAAACAAGTAACGTCATGTGATACATGTCATAATAAGACAATAATAAACACTATCATATAACACTAGGTATGTTACCTTGGCAGCTCTGCCCGGTTCAGCATCTTCCCAGGCTTTCTTCAGGGCTCGGATCTCGTCAGCTCTCTCTGTATCTTTCTTTATCTCTATATCCTCCTGTAAAAGTAATATATCAATTCATTATTCCAGTTCATGGTAATTATGGCAAACAAAAACCCTTCAAAAGAAAATGTTTTCCCATTATGTCAGTTTTATCACTGATTAAGCCTACTTTAACCTTGAATAAAACTAAATTCACTGACAGCAGAAAAGTCATACTTTCACATTCTTAAATAAAGAGACAAAGTATTTTCTTATTTTTTTCTTTCAGTAATAAGCAATTTTTTTAATTAATTCATTACAACATCAACAATGCAATAAATATTACTTTATGTCCATAAAATATCAAATATCTACTTAAAACTACACAAACGTACCACTGCATTGGCATCACTGACAACTCGGAGGGTCCAGTGGGGTTTACCAAGGTCAAATTGTTGTGATGGAGGTCGTGACCCCTTACCATCTTTGTCCTTGCCCTTATCTTTGCCACCTTTACCACCCTTACCTCCTTTAGCACCTTTATCAGCTGCTGCGGGAGCTTTCTCCGTCTTAGCTGGCTCCTCAACTGGTTTCTCTTTAAATGCCACTGTAAGGTCACAAAATATATGTTACACAGAAATATATGTATATGCTTGATTTAAAAAGAAAGGCAGCTGAAAAAGACTATACATTACAAAATAATACAGAAATATATGCTTGATTAAGACAGAGAGCTGAATAGATTTTATTCTGAAATTTTATCTCATGTAGGTACAAATATTAAATTGATGTACCAAACAAAATCTTACACTGTTGAGCAGTAAGATATTCAACAAGCTTGGCTTGTTTGGAACTTTCAATGGTGAACATAAGAATAACTTTGTTTGCATCTACCCTACAAAATATGAATAAAGTTCCAGATACTTATTGAAAAATATCAAAGTTCACAACATTAATTCACATAAATGTACAAATTAAAAAAAAAACACCTTATTATTTCATATTACACAGGAATATTTGTTACCTTTAAGCTCATTTTTCTCCATCTCTTTCAGCATCTGTACAAAATTCCAGCTAGATTCAGACAACGGCCAACTGTCCTTTAATACCTGTGCCTCTACAATATACTTGTGTGGCTGAAAATACAATTTAAATATTGACTGAAATCAATTTCCACCATGCTTTCTTCTGGCTAGTTCAACACTGTAAAGGTTGTATGGCAACTTCCCAGTTTCAGGCTACAGGTAGGGAAATTATACCTTTGAAAGGCCTCACCATACATTACTTTAAGGACAAGTAGGACCATCAATAATAATCCACAAATGTCACATGAGGACTTGAACCCATCTCAGTGGGGGCAAGTGATCAGCAGCTTTAAACACTCAGCCATATGGCTAAGCCCTAAGTTTTCCAATGGTTTGTCTGCAAATAACATCTGGCTGACATGATATAAGCTTTAAATAAAATGCACAAATTCTCAATAATCTAAGTTTATAATGTTAAATATAAAGTTATTAATGTACAAGATAAAAAAATAATTACTTGAATATCTATCAAACAGCATTTTGTTTTTTAAAGACAAAAGGAGGACAATTTTTTTGACACACATTAAACACACCAATTATAAAATATTCAAATTATAGAATTCAATTTAAGGAAGCTTGGTCAAGCAATATTTCACAATGATCAAAGTGAGACTAAAGCTTAATTTGAAATTGGATCAAGATCAATTACTAAACAATCTAGCATCCAACAGATAGAGCCAAGACAGATTGCAATGATGTAAATTCTAGGACTGACACTAAACACTGATAGCATTGGTCTTCTATAAATGGCATTAACACACAATGATGAGTTAACGACTTTTCCTAAACTTACTCTAAGATCCCTCTCTTCCAGATCTCCATCACTTAATCCTCCATCTGAATGATGATCTATCTGACTGCTTCTCTGTAAACAAATAAAACATTGGTAAAACAATGTGTAAAATACTAGTACCAGTCCATATCAAATAATATTGTTGATCCGTTTGCCAACTTTTTCTAAAATATACTATACATGTTTATTTCTCTTCAAGCGACAAACAAAAAGAATAAAAATTTAAACGGATTTTCATAAAAATATGTTTCTACTTTTTTAAACCTGTTTTTCAACATCATAGTTCCAGTCAAAATGGTTTGGTTTCTTTTTTTTATTTATTTTTTTCCTAAAACATATTTCTGCAAAAAAATTAAATGCAGTTTATACACAGAAAGTTCCTTATTTTATGTTTTGACATAATAAATGTTGATAAATTTCATAGTAACAGCCACATTGGTGATTTGTAGTAATTTAATTATTGTCCCAGGTAAAATACATGTACATGACAATGTGTATAATTAAAGCCAATAATTTGTGATATGGATAATGTCTGCAACAGTAAACTGACTTCACAAACAATAATCACATAATCATATGATATTAAATATATTTATTATTTATCTGTAACTAAATCTTCATCAAAATTGTCATCACTGGGGATCTACAAATAGCATAAAGCATTTTCTTGCAATTAAATATCTGAACTTCTTCTAGGAACACCCCCCTACCCCACCAGAAATTTAAGGTCTTTAAAATATTTTTTTCTATAACTATTAAACCTCTTTTTATGTAAGAAAAATTCAAAAAGAAAAAAAAACATACAATTTTCTTATCTTTCAAATTATAGCTAATGTTAACAGAAAAATAAAAAATACAGCTGATTTTTACTGAAACACATAAATATTTTATTTATTATTCACTCCTTTGTCACAGAAAAACAAGACTTCAGCAACTATTCTAAACACATGAAAGACAACTCCGCTCATATCATTAACATCTACACTCACACCTCTACCAAGAAAAAATACAGTCATTTATGAATTACTAGTTTTGTAAATTCATCAACCTCACTGTCAGAACCATGTTAATTCATTTCTAAATTTACTACAAAAACTAACAACTAAAATTTGACAAAGGAGAAAAGAAAACATCACTTTATTTTTTCACTGCATTCTGATAAAACAAAAAATAATATTTCAAGAAAAACACTTTGCCCTACATTTAAATGTTAACATTTCTAATATAGGCACAAGTCTTTGTTACAACAAAAATCATATTATTTTCACTTCTGAAACAAATTGTTACACAGTTATTTACCCTGGGACTTCTGCCACTAGCAGGCGGAGTTTGCTGAAAACAGTAGTCATGCATTCTTTCATTTCAATGTCTCAATTAATTCCAGATTAGAAAAATATTTGAAAAAGTTTTCATATAAGATTCATTGGTACTAAAAATTTAATGTGTTATTTCTTTAACAAAAAAATTCTGGCGTTAAATTATTATTATTTAATTTTATTAGAGACATAATAACATTAACTTTGCATATCATTATTTAATTTTGATGATTTCTAAAGAAAAACATACATTATTTATATCTAAAGTTTTGTACATTTGTACTTTGAAAAAAAACTACCCACTATCCAGTAAATGGTTACATAAGAAAATTCCACAGCACAGTTTTAAACATGCATCAAACTCAATGCAATAATTACTAAAGAAAACAACTAAAATCACAGGATTCCTTCCTTTACAGGAGTGGAGTGAAAACACACAGAAGCAAAATTCAGATTTTTTTCTGTATATTTTAACATTTTTAACACCAAAGGTACTTTTTCTCCATTTTTAAAGAACTAAACCCATCACCTAGAAAGCTACAAAAGTGTTTTGATGATTTCTTTTATAGATGAAGGAAATAGACAAGGGCCATTTAGGGGGAAAAAAATAAAAGAAAAATTGAAAAACTGCATTATCATGTGCAGGCAAAATGGATGGGTTCTTACTATTTTCAAACAATTCAATGACTTTCACAGCTTCAAATTCATTGTTATAAATTCAGTTTCAACATACATCAGTGACTTTTTGTGATTTGTAAGTACATAGAATAATATGAAAGGTTTAAAGACAATAAGCAAGTCATAGCTGAGTAACTCTGAAAAACAAGGTTCATTAATGTAATGCTAAAGTTTAAATACACATTTGTCTGATACTGAGTTTAACTGACTATGCTATCTATTTCTTGGGAACATAATTTTTCAAATATGAAGTTTTATTTTTGCTTACAAAATTACAATGACATTCTTCTATAAAACTCAAGAGCAATTGACCATTTATTCAAAGTTCATAGGAAATTCTTCTTTAGGTAAACTAAACTAGGACACTAATTCAAATACTTGGTGAATCACTAGTGTTCAAGGCAATTTCAAAAACACTCAAATAGAAAAACACTTGGTATTTAACCACTAGACTTGGTAATCAAATGAAACTCAGAGAAGTACAAATGGTCATTAGCAATAAAAGACACTCACTTCATTAATAAATTCCTCACAAACACAACTGACATAGCACTCACATAAACACATAAAAAGCCTTGAAAATCTGTCACAAAGGCAACTGACATAAGCTTGGAAAATCCATAATAAAAGCAATTGACAAAATACTAACATAGAACAATTGATAAAGGTAAGTCCCTCACAATGCAACGGACGTGAACACTCAAATAGAACACTTAATAAATCCCTCACAAACATACCTAACATAAACACTCACATATAGGACATTCAGGAAATCCCTATCAAATCCATCTGACATAAACACTCATACAGGACGTTCAGGAAATCCCTAACAAAAGCAACTGACATAAACACTCACATACAACACTTGAAAAACCCATCACAAAAGCAACTGACATAAACACTTGATAAATCCTTCACAAATGCAACTGACATACACACTCAATGAATACTTCACAAAAGCAACTGTTATAACACTATTACAAGGCAACCGACTTGTAAAGCTTGGTAAATCCCTCACAAGAGCGACTGACAGGACAAAAGCATAGAAACATTTGGGTGAATTCTGCGCATAACACTTACATAATCCCTCACAAAATTGTGCAATGGACAAGACACCCACATAGAACACTTGGTAAATAATTCACAAACAGATTTTTTTCTGAGTATAATGCATTTCACAGCAGTTTTAGTGTGGACATACAAGTTGTTTTTATTTTCCATAAATTTAAAACACAAGTACCATCACCAAAAATCCAATAATTTCAACAGGTGACCAAAATTTTTACCTTTCTTCTTCTGGCTGTACCAGTAGGGTTGGACTGAATTTGAACCATTATCAAGTTATTTAACTTGTCCTTCATTATTATCTTATAATAACATACTACATGCATACATTAATTTGGAAAAAAAAAATATATATAAGGCATTAATCACAATATAAAAAGACCTCATATTCACAAATTTGCCAAATGCAGGTAAATACTTCTTTTTAATTTTATTTTTGCTCCTGTTTTGCTATTGGTATGAAGATAAATAGATTTTTTATAATTTTTTTTTTAGGTTTTTTGTATCTTTTTTTTTAAAGTTTAAAATATTAATTACATGAAAATACATGTACTTCTTTTTTTATTAATTCTTTTTGCTCCTGTTTTCCTATAATTCATATCAATAAATATTTCAATCATTTTCTGCTTTTTTTTCAATTTTAATATATTATATTTTCTGTAATCAAAACTCTGTATTTTCACCTTAGTGCAGAAATGGGTCAACTCCTTATATGATTTAATAGGAGTTAACCCGATACTGCACTAAGGTGATGAAATGTGTCCTGACATAATCAAAAGATTATTGCCTTTCAACATTTAATTAAATGGATGATGCTATTTATTTAAGTTCATCTAAATATCAGAATTTCAATTTCTAAATGCTTTAATTAGTTAAATTATTATAAAATACTCAGATCAATATATTATTTAAATTGCCTGAAAACAAAATATATTGTGTTGTTACTAAGTATATTCACTTATAATCTACACATGCAATTAGAATCTGTTTACAAAATATACCACATAATAAACACAAAATGAGCATAAATATCATTTTAATTGGTATAATTAATTTACATACTATAATTAACTACTCTACATTAATAAACCACAACTTGGTTATTATATTATACATATATGATATATATATTTTGTTGAACTTCTATAAAATGTGTTTCTTTTCTGTATAAAAAACATGCAAGTATAAAGTATCTGATTAACACAACCATGTTACGTACCCTCGGACTACGAGAGGTGGGTGTTGGTGTCTGAAATATTCATCATTGTTATTTGAAAGCTTGGATTTTTACATGATCTTAACTAATAAAAAGCCTGGATTTTTTCCAATTTTATCATATCATATTTAATTAACTTAAATACATGATTAAAAACAATTAAATTTTTTATTGAACTTAAATTGCTATTAAAAAGCTTGTTTCATCATGGTAATTTAGACACTTGGAAAATTTACCGAGAATCAATTCATGTATTTGTCAGTATAATAAAAAATCTTGAATTTTAACATTTACTTCATTATTACTTTAAATTGTTTCAATTGAATCAATGATCATCATTAATTAAAAAAAAAAGCGACTTTTCAATTATCAAAAACACCAATATTTTTCACTTAAAACAAAAACTTTCTTTTTTAGTGTGTGTGAAAAAGTACTTATTATGTAATTAAGATAAATAGAAGTTTAAAAAAAAAGCAATGGATATAATAAGACATGCTTAGTTTCAAATTTAATCATTATTTTTTTTCACAACATCAATTTTATTATGAAAGAAAGTGTTGAATAGACAATTGCAGTCAAAATCATAATATAGTGTGTTCAAAATATATTCACTAGTATTAATATGTACAATTTTTTCTAATAATTCAATATTGGAAGAGAAATAGTAAATTCACAAAACGACAAGAAACCAAAAGTAAATTCATTAACGGCAAGAAACCAATTTTAACATTTTGATTATGAGAGCTTATTCGTCTATCAACTATTAAATGACATATGACAAAAATTTGTTTTTAATGCACTTTTTGGAAATTTCAATTTGTCAACTTTCTCAAATGAACTGAAGGAAAGTTTACAAATGTATATAATCAAAGATAAGGCAAAATAAATCAGATCTATTCTAGGAGCAGATATAGCGCTGAAAGACTATCTAAATTTATAAAACTACTCACCGAGCCTCTACCATCATTACTCTTGCCTGAACCTCCTCTCTTCCCACCTTTCTTAGCTTTACTGTCACCTTTGTTTGCTGTTAACGTAATAAATATAAAATATCATTTTATATCACATATTATCATGATTTATAATATATCAAAATGCATGCTGTATTAATCTAGTAATCTCCTATTATTAATTTTCTTTTTTTTTCTAGGTAGTTTTTTTTTTTTTTTTTCGTTCTTTTGTCATTTGTTTTTGTTGTTGTTGTTGTTGTTGTTTTTTTTTTGTTTTTTTTTTGGGGGGGGGGGGGGTGAGTTTTGAGGAGCTTACAGGGGGTAAGAGTCCATTGGTGTAGTGATGATATTGGAGGTTGAAATGAAGAATATCACCCTAGACTATAATAATTTTGATATTGTCTTCATCTCTGGTTGGTCAAATAAAATTAACTCAAGATATTCACAATAAAAAATTGTTCTCAAACTAATATGTCTCAGTAAATAACTTATGCATAACTGAAAATAGTAAGACTCAACAATGATAAAGCTCTAAATCTACCTTTAAACTCTTGTAAACACTCAAAATTATAACTCGTCTGAATATGTGAATGTTTGTAGATAGTTAAAATCAAATTAAGCAATCTTAATCTTATAAATTTACCTAGCCAAAGTAAAATGTTTAAAAAAAATACTAGTAGATCTACAGTCAAAAACATATTTCCTTCATAGTCTTAATTATCAAAATAACCAAAATTAAGAAGTAGACATAAAAATCCGAATGTGATAAGTAAGTTCCTTTTGAAGTATTTGAATTTTTATACCAATCCTTTTCTTTTACTTGTAATTTGTAGATAACAAATGGGAAAATAATTTTCTATAAAGGTAAAATTTCAGATATTTTATTAAGCTTAATTAAAATAATAAAGGATTAAATCAGAGTAGCAGCATCAAAACATTCTGCTAGCATTTCTAAGTCAAGAAACAAGCTGCCCTGCAATGAAAAAAAATTTAAGCAAAAAAAAATGTCATGAGAAAAACGTGCTTATGATTATTTACCAGCAACCCAAGATAATATACGAAAATGTTTATCCATCCACCGTTGTGCTTGAAATAACACCGCAATTACTGCAGCAAAGCAGCAACTTTTTACCAAAAGAATATTTTCACTTTGTACATTTTACGTACATTTATTTCCATAGATAGATTTTAAATCTTAAGGTTTCAAAAGAAAGATTGCCACCTTATGAATTTAAAGAACATTTTAAGGTATGTAGATTGTCAATTACAGTACTTGATGTAGAGATCTGTTTGTAAAGTTCCAAATTCTTTTTATCACAATCACAAACTGCTATTTAAATTTTCTATTTTCCAACTATATGCACATAATTCCACCTCCTGTGATATCTTAATTTGTTTTTTTTACTTTTTCTTTTTTGTTATGTGATTTAAGGTAAAACAAGAAACATGGCAATGCCATGAAACCAGGTTTTCAATTATCACCATTGTAGATAAATATGTTGTATTTGAAATACAAATACAAGCAACAAACAATGTAACTATGTGCAATGTAAAACATGAATAATGTAGGAGGAATTGCCACTGAAGAAGTGTTCACTATAATATTATGTATAAGGAAAAAAACAAAGGGCCATAATTAGGTCAAAAACTATCCAATCACAAAACCCCGACAATATGTGCCAGGGTGCTTGATGACAAAGCTTCTGTGAAAGTTTGAACAAAATCCGTTGAGAAATGTAGGACGAGTTCAGCACAGAAGAATTTGTTCACTATAATTAATATTGATAATTCTGTATAATGAAAAACAAGTTACAAAGTAGACATGAAATAATATATCATATCTTTTTTAAATTACCTCCAAAGATGATATGACCTTTGACTGCCAAATCAAGTTAAAATCATGTAAACAGGATTTTCAATGTTAATGTCACTGTGACCTTTGACCTTGGAGCCAGCCATGCGGAACATGCGTTCTGCACGTCATCTTGATGTGGTAAACATTTGTCTGAAGTTTCATCAAAATTCTTCAAAGGGTTGAAGAGTTACAGAGCGGACAGGATTTTCAATGTTAATGTCACTGTGACCTTGACCTTGGAGCCAGCCATGCGGAACATGCGTTCTGCACGTCATCTTGATGTGGTAAACATTTGTCTGAAGTTTCATCAAAATTCTTCAAAGGGTTGAAGAGTTACAGAGCGGACACAATTTCGTTTGACGCCCGAAGTTAAAATCATGTAAACAGGATTTTCAATGTTAATGTCACTGTGACCTTGACCTTGGAGCCAGCCATGCGGAACATGCGTTCTGCACGTCATCTTGATGTGGTAAACATTTTGTCTGAAGTTTCATCAAATTCTTCAAAGGGTTGAAGAGTTACAGAGCGGACAGGATTTTCAATGTTTAATGTCACTGTGACCTTGACCTTGGAGCCAGCCATGCGGAACATGCGTTCTGCACGTCATCTTGATGTGGTAAAACATTTGTCTGAAGTTTCATCAAAATTCTTCAAAGGGTTGAAGAGTTACAGAGCGGACACAATTTCGTTTGACGCCCGAAGTTAAAATCATGTAAACAGGATTTTCAATGTTAATGTCACTGTGACCTTGACCTTGGAGCCAGCCATGCGGAACATGCGTTCTGCACGTCATCTTGATGTGGTAAACATTTGTCTGAAGTTTCATCAAAATTCTTCAAAGGGTTGAAGAGTTACAGAGCGGACAGGATTTTCAATGTTAATGTCACTGTGACCTTGACCTTGGAGCCAGCCATGCGGAACATGCGTTCTGCACGTCATCTTGATGTGGTAAACATTTGTCTGAAGTTTCATCAAAATTCTTCAAAGGGTTGAAGAGTTACAGAGCGGACACAATTTCGTTTGACGCCCGCCCGCCCATCCGCCCATCCGCCCAGCCGCCCATCCGCCCATCCGCCCGCCATACCCCAATCTAATAACCAGGATTTTCAAAATTGAAAACCTGGTTAAAAAGTCATAATTCAGAATAAATTAAGCTTTTACAATACTTTATGCCCCCAAGTAACTGAGAAGTCAACTACTGGCATAAAGTATTGCAAAATGGTAGCATTGTCAAGCAATAGTATTGCAACATGATGAAAATAGTAAAGTCTTTGAAATTTTAATATGATAGTATTGCAAGGAAATTTAAGCTAAAACATGAAAAACATGTAGACTTTTAACATGATAGAATTGCAAAGTATAAAATATTGTAACATGATAGAATTGCAAATGTATATATCATATCAGGTAGTATTGCAAATGTATATGATATTGTATCAGGATAGTATTGCAAAGTACAGGACAGTATTGCAAATGTATATGATAATGTGATATGAAAGTATTGCAAATGTTTATAATATTGTAACATGATAGTTTTGCAAATGTACATATTGTAAATGGATAGTATTGCAAATTCTTATAATATTGTATCATGATAGTATTGCACATGTATATAATAATGTAACATGAAAAGTATTGCAACTGTTCATAACAATGTAACACAATAGTTTTGCCAAATGTTTATAATATGAAAATTTTTGCTAATGTATGTAAAATTGTGACATGAAAAGTATTGCAAATGTATATAATGGTGTAATATGCTAGTATTGCAAATGATTATAATATTGTAACATGATAATTTTACACTCTTGAAATATTGTTATTACTTTAACCCATACCCTGCTGAATTTGTGTACTGGATTTGCCCTGGTTTGAATTTGTAAAGTTCTTTTAAGGGCTTTTAAAAACAAAATACAAAAATTGGCATAGCAACAGTACAGGGTCAGTGTAGGCTGGCCTGACTCTACACTGGTAGCAAAAGCTGACACTTTTCTTTCCAGCAGGTTAAGGGTTTAAATGAGATCTGATGAACAAGAACTGCCAGTAAACATTGATCATGTGCTAAAAATATCTACAAGAAAGAGCAATGACAAATGCATCAGAACACCACAATCTATATGCCGTAAAAAACAGTTGCTATATATTCTTACAATGATCGTTGCCATGTACTGTAACATAAAATTATCATACAATTTGTAACATTTTGTAAGATTCAATACTTTTGATAAATATTTCTTGCACTAAGGGTCATAAAGTCAAACATAATGTAAGACATTACAAAATTGAATAGAAGATTTAAAAATCTTCTATTTTTTCATGGTGAAAACCTTCAAGTCCGCTGATGTGAACTTAAATAAAATATGGTTAATAGTTTAACTACAGTCTAACTTGTTCATTCGACCATGTGTTTTATTAAGCGACTTTTGCCTTATGCGACCACTGTAAAATATCATAAACAAATTTTGACTTTTTCTCATGCTTTGTCTTTAGAGACTATTGCAGTAAGCGACCATTTTTGGTGTTTCCCTTGCTTGACCAGTTTTGGTGTTTCCCTTGTGCGGTCGCTATATACATGTTTGACTGTATTTCATAATCAAACTTTCTTCTCCTGTTTTTATTGCTCTTAAATTGTCAGGCCTAAGAACTCAAATAAATACACAAGAAAGGTGTAAAAACAACACTTACATGCCCTGGAAGTTGACCTTTTTGGTTCCTCGTCCGGGTTTATGTCCTTGAGGAAGGTGAAGGCTGGGATAACAGCATGACCTTTCCCGAGGGTGCTTGCAACCTCCTCCTCATTGTTCAGTACCACAAGCTTGATGTGTACATCAGATTTAGAGGTGTTCATCTGTATACTGGTTAAATGGTCCTCTGTAACCTTAACTGCATATCTGAAAAACAATGTAACAATTTTTCACTATCAATTTACATTATTTCAAGTTGAAACATATTTGATACTTTAATGACTGTATATCTCCATTCTTAAATTTTACCAGCTATATATTTTATAGAATAATTTTCAAGGTAACACTAAATCTTATATCTATGCCAACTGGAGCTGTCTGTTAACCATATGCACTAACTTTCCATGTTAAAGCTGAAATAATTTTTGTGTGTGATTATTGAGGGAAAAACCCTTAACCAAATCAAAAGTAAATAATATAATTTAAAACAATGTACCTGAAGATGACATTTTTGCTGTTTGGAAGATAATAATCTTTGATCTCTTTCACAGAAAAGCTGCTGTTGACCTCCCCTCGTAGTGGGGCAGGAAGTGGAGACAGGGAACCAATCATTCTCATACGCCAGGTACCAGTCTGTAATGGCTGGTCCGTGGTACGAGCCTCGGCAACAAATGTGTAGCCTTTCTGCAAAATAACAAAAACATAATTTTTAATAAGACTTATATTATCACATGTTAAGAGTGTAATTGCAACACTTTTAATTCAAAGTTCCTAGGCTTTTCTAGTCAGCATAATAGTTGGCAATAATGTGTTCCAAAAACTTTCAAATGTTCAAATAATTTCATTAACAGAATAATAGAATGACTTCACAGTGTAAGTAATGGAAACTTTTCTCTTCATTTTTAATAGATATATAACTGATAAAAAATTAGCTTTTTTAGTCATGAATGAATTCTAAGGTAACAGTCCTATCGATGGGTTCTTAGTATCTAAAGTTACCAATCCCTTGAATAATGTTGGAAGAAAGTCTCCAAAACATGATACATCAAAATCTATCTAAATTCAGAGTCAAATCTTCCTATCTGGCAGCGGAAAGTTTTCTAAAATGAAAGAATCTAAATATACTTGCACGACTCAAACCTACAGTGGAGAGGGGCAACTGGTTTAAAGTCAATGACCTTTATGACTCAGTCATGGACGCCATTCATATGCATGCTGAAGTGACCCTTAACCTTTTATTTTTAAGTTCAACTAGAACTATCACTAAATGTGATTAATACCCCCACAAGACTGCTTCGGAAATGAGGATGTTACTAGTAACAGAATACCTTGTAAAAGAATTGAAATATAGAGTTATGGTTGTGGGCAATTAAAGATAGTTGTGGTTCTTATATGTTGCATTTCCTTTCAATGTGGTTGGCCATTGATGAAGTTTAATTGAATTACTCTGTAATAAGTCCAGAAAGACAAAGAAAAGGAACAAAGGGCAATAACTCTATAAATACTGAAGATAGAGTTATAGTTCTTGTGCACTGCACTTCCTCTTATTGTGCTTGACCATTGTATGAAGTTGTTTTAAATTCCAACCAATACGTTTTAAGTTATGCTCCTGACAAGGAAAAGTATCAAAGGGCAGTAACTCTGTATTTTTTTCAAAATGGAGTTATGGCTCTTGTGCACTGCACTTCCTTTTAATGTCCTTGACAACTGTATGAAGTTGTATTGAATTCCAAACAGTAGTTTTCAAGTTATGCTCTGGACAAGGAAAAGTAACAAAGGGCAATAACTCTGTAATTAGTCAAGATAGAGTTATGGTTCTTATGCACTGCACTTCCTCTCAATGTGCTTGACCATTGTATGTAGTTATATTGAATTCAAACTATTAGTCTTCAAGTTATGGTCCGGACAAAAAAAAAAAGCAATGGAAAAGTAACAAAGGGCAATAACTCTGTAATTACTTTAGATAGAGTTATGGTTCTTGTGCACTGCACTTCCCCTTATTATGTTTGACAATTGTATGAAGTTGTTTTGAATTCAAACCAGTAGTTTTCAAGTTATGCCCCGAACAAGGAAAAATAACAAAGGGCAATAACTCTGTAATTAGTCAAGATAGAGTTATGGTTCTTATGCACTGCACTTCCTCTCAATGTGCTTGACCATTGTATGTAGTTATATTGAATTCCAACCATAAGTCTTCAAGTTATGGTCCGGACAAAAAAATCAATGGAAAAGTAACAAAGGGCAATAACTCTGTAATTATTTTGGAAAGAGTTATGGTTCTTGTGCACTGCACTTCCCCTTATTGTGTTTGACAATTGTATGAAGTTGTTTTGAATTCCAACCAGTTGTTTTCAAGTTATGCCCCGAACAAGGAAAAGTAACAAAGGGCAATAACTCTGTAATTAGTCAAGATAGAGTTATGGTTCTTGTGCACTGCACTTCCTCTCAATGTGCTTGACCATTGTATGTAGTTATATTGAATTCCAACCATTAGTCTTCAAGTTATGCTCCGGACAAGGAAAATGCAACGGACGTCTGGACCGACGGACCGACCGACCGACCGACCACTGGGTGACTCCTATATACCCCCCCAAACTTCGTTTTTGGGGGTATAATTACAATTTTATTTTAAATCTGAAGTTGATTAATACCACATGAAATTTTACATTTGCTGACAAATGAATATATCACATCAATAAAAAGAAATTCTTTATGAAGTTAAAAACTTACTCTGTTTTTCTTGTACACATAGGGTGCCACTTTTTGAAAGACTCTGGGTATCTCTTCACCAGTATCGTTGTTTATCACGCGTAACATACATGTACTGATTGGCACATATAATTTCGGAACAGCTAACATTTCTTCCATTACATGGAACACCTCTCTATAATAAAAAAAGCATTTTCATTTTAATGCCAATTTGTCATAGAATATAATTTTAAGCAGAATTTAAACAAGAGGGCCATGATGGCCCTGAGGTCGCTCACCTGTATATAGGCACCCGGAGCGGGGCCAGTTTAAACCCCAGGGCTTTTATTTGAACAAACTTGGAAGACACCCATTAGAAGATGTTTCATGATGTTAAGTTTTTACTACACACATATAATGAAAAACAATGACCTCTGCACTCTCCCCCCCCCCCCCGGCAGGGCCAATTTTAACCCAAGGGCTTTTATTTGAACAAACTTGGTAGACACCCACAAGAAGATGTTTCATGTTAAACATCTTACCTTTAGCTCATTGGGTTTTTTAAAAGAAGATTTTTTAAGTTTTTACTATACACATATAATTAAAAACAATGACACCTCTGGGGCGGGGCCAGTTTTGACCCCAGGGCTTTTATTTGAACAAACTTTGTAGACACTTACTAGAAGATGTTTCATGCTTAATATCTAAACTCTAGCTATTTGGGTTTTTTCAAAGAAGATTTTTAAGTTTTTTCTATACACATATAAGGAAAATCAATGACCCCCGGGGCGGGACCAATTTTGACCCCAGGGCTTTTATTTGAACAAACTTTGTAGACACCCACAAGAACATGTTTCATGCTAAATATCTTAGCTCTAGCTCTTTGAGTTCTTTAAAAGAAGATTTTTAAGTTTTTACTATATGCATATAGGGAAAATCAATGACCCCCTGGGGCGGGGCCAATTTTGACCCCAGGGCTTTTATTTGAACAAACTTGGTAGACACTCATTAGAAGATGTTTCATGCTAAATATCTTAGCTCTAGCTCTTTGGGTTCTTTAAAAGAAGATTTTTTAAGTTTTTACTATAAGCATATAGGGAAAATCAATGACCCCCTGGGGCGGGGCCAATTTTGACCCCGGGGTTTTTATTTGAACAAACTTGGTAGACACTCACTTGAAGATGTTTCATGCCAAATATTTAAGCTCTAGCTCTTTGGGTTTTTTAAAAGAAGATATTTAAAGTTTTTTCTTTGCCATGGTAACCAGAGTTCTGCATGGAATTAAATTCTTTGAACAATTTTTAAAGGTGACCACCAAAGGAACATTCCTGTGAAGTTTGGATGAAATTGGCTTAGTGGTTTATGAGGAGATGTCATGTAAAGTAAAAGTTTACGGACGGACGGACGACAGACGGATGAAAAGCGATCACAAAAGCTCACCCCGTCACTGTGTGACAGGTGAGCTAAAAATAACAACCACCAAAAACAAGAGCTGTCAGTGTGCTCAACTTTTCTTAGTGCTTGATAGTAAAAACAAGAGCTTAAGTAATGTTGATTTTTCAAAGTTTAAAAAGGACCATAACTCTATCAAAATCCATGTTAAAAAATATTGGCCTTGGTAAGTGACCTCTTATTATACTCTTAAACAAGTGCGAAGTTTCAACCCATTTGGAGATAGCAACTTTCACACAAAAGCTTCAACAAAGTGGACACCAATGCCTGGTTAGAATAGTCGTGAATAATCAAGCTTAAAACTGAGTGATTTCTAAAATCTAGAATCAAATTTGCAGGGGCCAGATCTTTTACCACTCAGCAGTGGAGGCTCTCAATTTATAAGTTAGACTGGTAACCTGCTAAAATCTGGGATGCCTCTCATAGAAAGTATTAAGTCTGAAATCAGTCTGAAGAACAAAACTAAGACAATTTTGTGTTTTAAAGAAAATGTCCTAACTTCTGACTCCTATATTACGACTCTTTAATTTCTAAATAGCAATGTTGATAGGCATTTACACATTGCAAATAAAAGGGATTTAAAAATTGTGAGTATATAGAATATAAATGAGCCATGTCACCACAAAACCAACATAATGGGTTTGTGACCAGCATGGATCCAGACCAGCCTGTGCATTCGAGCAGTCTGATCAGGATCCATGCTGTTCCCTTACAAACAATATTACAAGTAGAGAAACTGATAGCGAACAGCATGGATCCTGATCAGACTGCGCGGATGCGCAGGCTGGTCTGGATCCAAGCTGGTCGCAAACCCATTATGTTGGTTTTGTCATGACGTGGCTCAAATAATCAACGTAATCTAGAACGTACCTGAAGACAACAAACCAGTTATTTGGCGGCTGGTCTGGAAATTGTCCTTTATAATCATTGTATGATATCTTATTCCACTCGTCCTTATAAAACGGATATTTTACCATCAAATCCGGCTCTATCTTAAACATTTGTCTGAAAATAAACAATAACAAGTGTTATTTATAAATACAACATTGTATATAAAACAAAAATTGCTTACATAAAGTTTAAAGTCCCAATTACATGTATAAGCTTAAATTTTTCCAAAAAGTTGGCCAATTACCTGAACCCTCTTTTGCTTTTGACACTTTTTTTTTAATGAGTGCATTTATACTGTTTTAATACTTTGTATGGAAGTCAAAATGCTATTTTGTTTACATTTTCCTAATTTTATGACAAATAATTTTACATTCAGCATGATAAGCATCTAACCTGCTCTAAAACCATCAATGCCATGTTATAAGACCAATCTTTACCCACTGTCAATACTCCTTTATTATAAACTATTTTCAAACATAACAAACAATACCTTGGAAAATTTAACAAATATCTTTCAAAGTATCTTTTTAGTGCAAATATATTTGGAACTATCAAAGATTATAAAAATTTCTCTGGTTTAAATGAAATAAAACCTATATATAACTGAGTGTTTACCTAAACAAGAACAGGCCTGGATGGTCTGGATTGTTGGGGTCAAGGTTTTGTTCTATGATAGCCCAACATTTCTGTAGATTCTGTAACACCTTTTGATTCTCTTCTGAACCTACAAACAACAACAAACAAATATAATACATAAAATAACTGGCCATTTTTGTCAACAAAATACAGTGTTTATCATAAAATATCTGATTTAATAATAATTTCTATGCAGAACATAGCTACCAGTACTAGTTGCCTTTACTTTCGCAGCTATTCTTCATACGACAGAGCCAGTATGACATAATATCCAACACAGAAAAATATATCATTCAGCAAAAGGCTTTATGGAAATAAAACCATTGAAATCATTTTTGCATTTTTGTACTTTTGAGAATGGCTTTTTACTTAGAGATAACACAAATCACATACCTGGGGTTCTGGCAGCTCGTATTTTTCTGACCCAGTAACCTTTCCATTGTTTCTGTAGCTTCACTGTGGCAACTTGTTCTTCTGTTGTTGCTTGTCTGAAAAAGAGAATTCAAGTCTGATTTATAAAGAAATAGGTTGGTGTCAGTGTAATGGTATCAGATAGAATAATGTGGGGGTGGGGGTCCAGGGGGAGGTGGGGGATTATAACAAATCTTATTGATGTACAAGGTAATCTGAATGCCAAGAGCTATGTAGATCAGATTTTGTGACCTGAATGGGTTAAATCTCTGCAGGAACAAGGATCTTCCATTCTGACAGGCATTATAATGCTTGCCCACATGTTGCACACATCACTAAACAATTCATCAATCATTCTCTAACAAGCAATGTACCCTAGTGAGCATTTCTGATACAGGCTTGGTCGGTGGGTTAGGTCAATAGCTGGTATTTATAATGTGAGAGACCTTAAAAATGCTCATACCAGGAATAGAATAACATTCCTCATGATGTCATTTTTTGTTATGTCAAATCTAAGTGTTATATCAACGCAGAGGTGGGCAGTTATAGTACTGAATGAAATTAACCTTTATTTAGTCAACTAAAATACCAAAAACACTCATTTTAACTTTTGTTTTATTTATTATATAGTGACTTTTGTTTTTTGACCTTCAGCAAATTAGCCAGCAAATATGCCCATATATGGCAATTATTTTGGAATTCAAAGATCACAGAGTATTTGCCGATCTTTTCTAAAAACATTGATACTAAATATCATGTTTCCATAACTAACAATACAGTTTCTTTCATAAAACACAATAGTGCACACTTTTTATTGCAGTGAAGTATATTTACATGAAATCTTCTTACCTATTCTCCCATGAAGAACTGGTTTTTTCAGGTTGCTCTGGAAATAAGAAATACAAACATCAAGTTTTTACTATCCCTATCTCCTTTTTGAAGAGTATTCACATAATAAAAAGGTTTAAAATAGAAATTAAAACTACTGTGAAGATTCTTGAAAGCTCTGTGAAAACAAAGTCCTATATAAGCGTATCAAGCATTTCTTCTTTAAAGAAAAAATAAAATCAAACAAGATAAAACTAGAACTGTATTGTGATTCTAGCAAAATATTAAACCTGAAAAATTGAAACAGAAAATCGAATTATTGTATTAAAAAATTTTAATATTCTTATCAAATGTTATCAAATGTATTTTTTTAAACAGGTTATTAGCACCAAATAGATTGATAATGAAAAATAAATCTTGACTATATAATTTATTAGCTCTTGATCTTAATTTTGCAGGGCCAGAAAAAATCCAATTTTGACTTGGATATTTGCATTTATAAAAAGTGTATGTCAGTCCTGTGATCAGCAGAAAATTTCAATGAAATAAGGGGTAATCATCTTTGAAGTTATTTTTCAAAAAATTTGGTTGGCTACCACTATATAACAGGAACATTTTTATGTGTCAGGCATTTCATTCTGATAGATAAATCACCTCTTTAGCATGAAAACTCAATTTTAAGTAATAGATATACCATTGCTGCGTTGACATTGCCTAAACCTCACGAGACGAAGTCGAGTCAGGTTGCATAAGAAAGGTCACGTGATTATGGTATAATTTACGCAAACCCAGAAATCGTCAACGCACCAATGGTGTATCTGTTTTAACCTATAGCTCCGCCCAGAAACACTTACTCCTTCGATCTTCAAAACTGAAAATTATACTATAGTCTGGGTATGGTATAATTTACGGTTATTGGAAATAATACTTGGACGAATTTTACGTAAGAAGCGCTGAAGAGCTATAGGTTAAGGTAGGATTAGTGACCATTTCTTATAATATAAGTCTATGGGAAAGTCAATGTGAGTGTCTGACCTTGAAGAAGGCATACAGTGATATGGTACACTTTTTCCAAGATGTTTAGTTTTGAAACAACACAGAATTGTTTTCCCAATGGACTGCTTTGATATCTGGTCATAGAAGCTGATGAATCATCATGTCAAGATTTATTTTCCTCTACGAAATTATTAACATATGTTTCTTTTTTTTTTATTTCCATTTTTACAATGTCTACAGAATGTGTAATACTACATGACATAGAAAAAAACAGAAATATATACAATGTAAATATATATATTTATATATGTATCTATCTTTACATACCCTCTGGTTGGGCGACAGTCTCTATACAGGGGGGACATGCAGGGTAGAAAAATAACAGAATATAAATCATGGTGATTACATAGGTTGTACTGTTATTACATTAAATACGGTAATAATTTCTTTTGATAGTTATTAATATACATTATAGTATTTTACGGTAATTACTAATTCAAAATTACTCAAAATTAATTCATCTACTGCTACTTTTCATTGAGTTATATTCAATCTAAAAATCATCTTTTAACAATTAATATCTTAATATAAATATTTACTTCAAGAAATAAAGAAATACTCATGCATTTATAGAAAAGAAGTTAATTTTCAATGTTTGATTTGAATATAAAAGTGAAATATTTATGGAAATAAAAACTTTAAGTTTTAAAAGTCTCTTTAATATGAGATAGTAATATTATTTATATTTAAAATTTACTAACCCTTAACCTGCTGAATTTGTAAAATGGATTCACCCAGATTTGAATTTAGAACAATCCATTCAAAGTTAACGGGATTTCACCATCAAAAACAAAAATTGAGCAACAAACAGTATCGCTGACCTAGCCTCAAGATTACAATTTTTTTCCGAGTTCTGTCTCAAATCTCATGATTTTCATTGGTTAGAATAAATTCTGTGGCAATTTCTGACCAATCAAATGCCTGAGATCTGAGCTATAATATTTTTTTATAACCTCGGACCCAGGTCAGAATGCATGGATGTGCCGGCTGGCCTGGCACTTAAAACTGGCTTAATGACTAATAACTTTGGGCTTCAGCAGATTAAAGGTTAAATAAAATATCATTTTAGTAAAAATATATAATGATGCATTTTTAGTAAAATTTATCATGTATCTAAAAGAAAATCTACTAGAGGAACTATGCTAATTTGCTGGTCTATTACCGAAGCGCTAATTGCCTAATCTATGTTCAAAAAGAAGCCAGCCCAAGATGGATAAGTTGAAAATCAAAGCTTTATCACCAGGTTAAAAAGCTTTTTGCAACAAACCAATAAAAAAAAAAGCAAAAAACAATAATATTAATATATTTCGAAACATTTAGTTTTTTTTAATAGAAGCTTTTCCAGTTAGAAAATTCCCACATCAAGTTAAACATAAGATTACTATCATTTTACCTTTTTTTCAAGTGTTTTATTTATCTTATATTTATCTTTTAATTTGCTCCTTCTTAACATACTAATTTGTACAAGAATGTAATTCTTTTTTATTTTCCCTCCTTAACAAACTTATTAATTTTGTACGAACAGAAAATTTAATGCCTTTCGAGGAACAAACACCCTACTTTAATGAAAATGCTTTAATACTTGACAGTAACGTAAACCTTTGAATGCTACCAGCTTTAATTATCTGGCAATGCCAAGGTTATTATACATATTCAAAAATAGCCTTACAGCCAACAACCTTGACCATGATGCTACAAATATATATATACTTTTATGTCTAGAATCATATATCTTCACCTTAGTGATGTAACGTATTAACTCCTATTAAATTACATAAGGAGTTAACCCATTATTGCACTAAGATGACGATATAATCAGATGGAAAACATTACAAATTAAACATTATGAACCTTGACTTCAAATTTGGGACCTATATCAAGCAGACCAAAAATATCCTATTTAAGTCAAGGTAGATTAAAAATCAGACAGATCACTTTTCAACTTGAAATTGTAGTTTAATCATGCTGGTTATGAAAATTTAGAGCTTATTTGTCAGAGCCACTCACAAGTTTGCTTCCTGGAACTAGCCTGTACTGGTGCCATATGTAGGAACAAGGTCATGACCCTAGTAGGGTTCAAACCCATGATCTCCGGACTTAGAGACAAACACCTTAACTACCAGACCATCTCTCTCCTTAACCCTTCATGTAGCCCATGCTTCATATATGTTTTTAACCTTTTTATGCACAGCCACATGCCAATACAGGAGAGAATTATTATTAATATCTTGGGTGACAGAAAAAGGATATTCTAGTTTGAAAATATATACCCTGAAAAGACATTAGAAATATTTCTTGCAGAAAAATGCATTTTTGTTACCAATTTAATATATGACATAAAACAAATAAAAATATCAATTTTGAATACAGGGTATTTAAAAAAAATATTTAATGTGACAGGGATCTGAATTTTTTCTACAAACTGGTAGAAATATTTATAATCTCATAATATCATTTCATATTCATAGGGTCATAATTATTCAACAATTATAATGACAAAGAAAGCACAAAAATGCATTTTTTAAAACAAGGTTTCACAAAGTAAAATCATATAAACACTGCTTTTCTACTTGCTAAAAAAAAAAAACAAGATTGCATTTGAGAAAAATGCTATGCCACCGCATTAATACAACACTAAATAGTAATGTAGGAACAGATTTTCTTTGTTTCTATACAATTTTGAAGATTGTCATAATGCATAGATCCCTGACCTATCTAATTCTTATTATCAGATTAGTGGTTAAATCTGTTGTTAACTCGATAAAAGATCAGAGTAGGAATATATCAATGCACTTGAGTCTAGTGAATTTGGTGGTGAAGGTCATATTTCACACAGCCTAAATTTCATGACTACATCAAAGGACAACATAGTAAGACACTTTGTCAAAATCTAGGTCAGCTGAAATCAAAGTTCACTTAACATCTTAATCTGTACACATGGTTCAAATTTCATAGCTGTACATCAAAGGACAAGAAAGTAGGTCACATCATCAAAATCTAGTTCACCTGATATCAAAGTTCAATTTTACAACTAAAACTGTGCACATGGTCAAAATTTCATTGCTGTACATTAAAGGACAAGAAAGTAGGTCACTGTCCCCTTGGGCAAGGCAAAATTTTGGACCCAAGGGTTTAATTCAAAACAATCTTGATACAGGTCCACCAAACAACATTTCAAGTCAAATATCTAAGCTGTAGCTTTCTCCTATTCAGAAAAGATTTGTTTTATTTTCTGTTTTTACTATGTGAACATAATGAGAATCACTGCCCCTGGGCAGGGCCAATTTTAACACTAGGGGCATAATTAAAACAACTTTAGTAGAGAACCCATAGAATATATTATAGAGCAAACATCAAAGCTCTATGCCTTGTACCTTCAGACAAAAATATTTCTTTTTTTTTTTTTACTATATGTACATAGTAAAAAACAATGACTCCTGGGGGTGGGGCCAATTTTGACCCCAGGGCTATAATGTGTACAATCTTGCTAGAGGTTCACTACATAATGTTTCATGCAAAATATCTTAACTCTAGCCTTTGTAAATTTAGAGAAGGTGATTTTTAAAGTTTTTACTATATACATATAAGGAAAACCTATGGCCCATGGGGCGGGGCTAATTTTGACACAAGAGGCAAAATTTGAACAACTTTGGTAGCTATAGATGATATCATTTAACAAATATTCAAGCTCTAAGCCTTGTACCTTCAGACAATAAGATTTTTTTATTTTTTACTATATGTATATATTGAAAATCAATGACCCCGGGGCAGGGGCAATTTTGACCCCAGGGCTATAATTTGAACAATCTTGCTAGAAGTTCACTTCACAATGTTTCATGCAAAATATCTAACCTCTAGCATTTGCTAGAAGAAATTTTTTTACTATAAAGTTTTTTCTATATACATATAAGGAAAACCAATGACCCCAGGGGCAGGGCCGATTTTGACCCCAGGGCTATAATTTGAACAATCTGAGTAGAGGTCTACCAGACAATGCCTTATGCAAAATATCTAAGCTCTAGGCCTTTTGGGTCTTTACAAGAAGGTATTTTAAGTTTTTACTATATGTACATATAGTGAAAATCAATGACCCCCGGGGCGGAGCTGATTTTGACCCAAGGGCTATAATTTGAACAATCTTGGTAAGGGTCTATCAGACAATGCCTTATGCAAAATATCTAAGCTCTAGGCCTTTTGGGTCTTTACAAGAAGTTATTTTAAGTTTTTACTATATGTACATATAGTGAAAATCAATGACCCCCGGGGCGGGGCCGATTTTGACCCCAGGGTTATTATTTGAATAATCTTCGTAGAGGTCTACCAGACAATGCCTTATGCAAAATATCTAAGCTCTAGGCCTTTTGGGTCTTTACAAGAAGTTATTTTAAGTTTTTACTATATGTACATATAGTGAAAATCAATGACCCCCAGGGCGGGGCCGATTTTGACCCCAGGGTTATAATTTGAACAATCTTGGTAGAGGTCTACCAGACAATGCCTTATGCAAAATATCTAAGCTCTAGGCCTTTTGGGTCTTTACAAGAAGATTTTTTAAATTTATTCTTATAATTCCTTTTGGTTGCCATGGCAACCAGATTTCTGCATGGAATGAAATTCTTTGAACAACTTTGGAAGCCCTTCACCCAAGGATCAATCCTGCCAAGTTTGGTTGAAATTGGACAAGTGGTTTTTCACAAGAAGATTTTTTAAGTTCACTATATAATCTATATAACACACACACACACACACAAACAAACACACAGGTGAATCGCTATATGCCACCGCATCGCAGATGCTGCGGTGGCATAAAAATCTAGAGCATGCACGTGTTATATGAAAATGACAACAAAGATCTGCCCAAATCACCACAGCTGCTAGTGTACCTAAAGCATGCCACCAACTGAAAGACAAATGAGCCATGTTATGACAAAACCACCATAATGGGTTTGCGACCAGCATGGATCCAGACCAGCCTGCGCATCCGCGCAGTCTGATCAGGATCCATGCTGTTCGCTATCGGTTTCTCTACTTGTAATAGGTTGGTAAGCGAACAGCATGGATCCTGATCAGACTGCGCGGATGCGCAGGCTGGTCTGGATCCAAGCTGGTCGCAAACCCATTATGTTGGTTTTGTCATGACGTGGCTCAAATTAGCTATGAAGCATGAAAGCTAAGAAGCATGCATTGCGGAGACTAAACTTACGCTTTGCCCCCTTAGTGGCGGCCGGTTTGGCAGAGCCACGGTGACTGGTGTGTCCGGTAGCTAAAAACATTACATAACAACGTAGATACAAAATACTGGACAGCGTGTAATGTGAAACTGTGAGTAAGAGACAGCCTTATTGTGCAAAATTTAGAAATTAACGAAAAGCAATGATCAAAAATTTAATACTCTGTGTGTTATAGTGTTTTAGTTTGTTTATTACAATATATCATCATATTCTAGATTCTGACACAGTATGACAGGTAACTGCCAACTACTTCACATTTATAACCACTGGCCTTGGTTAAAACATGTTTTATTTCAAATATTTTGCACAAACAAAATTTACATACAATAATGAATAAGACAATAGAATGCTGAACAAGAGCTGTCACAGGAGACAGCGAAGCTCGACTAATAAAATACTGGACGCAGTAAAGACAAAACTATGAAAGAAAAATCAATTATGTATAATTATGTATTAAGTTATAGTAAAAAATAATATTTGTTAACATAACTTCCAAGATAAAGGGGAATAATTCTAGAAATAATGCTAGAGTTATGGACCTTGTCACACAACATTTGAGTAATGATAAGAAATATATATTTGAAGTTTGAAGTAGATACCTTAAAAAGTAAAGTTCAAAGAGAGATAAATGTGTAAATATTGCTTCAAGGGTTATGAACATTCTCACATAAAATGTAATTGATAATAAGGAATAAGTATTTGAAGTTTGAGGTAGATACCTTTAAAAATAAAAAAGTTATAATAAAAAATAACATTTTTTAGTAAAAAAATCTAAGTTTATAGGGAGATAATTCTTGCAATATTGGTGCTATAGTTATGAACCTTGTCACATAAGATGTGGATGATGATAACGTAATTATATTTGAAGTATGAAGTTGTTCCCTTTAGAAATAAATAAGTAACAGTAAAAAATAATATTTTTTATGGAAAATTCTAAGTTCAAAGCGAGATAAATCTGAAAATATTTGTGCTAGAGTTATGAACCTTGTCACATAAGATGGGGATGATGATAACGTAAATATATTTGAAGTATGAGGTTGATCCCTTAAGGAATGAAGAAGAAACAGTAAGCAATAGTACTTTTTGAGGAAAATTCTAAGTTCAAGGGGAGATAAATCTGAAAATATTGGTGCTAGAGTTATGAACCTTGTCACATAAGATGGGGATGATGATAAGGTACATATATTTGAAGTATGATGTTGATCCCTTAAGAAATAAAGAATTAACAGTAAAAAATAGTATTTTTTAAGGAAAATTCTAAGTTCAAGGGGAGATAAATCTGAAAATATTGGTGCTAGAGTTATGAACCTTAACACATAAGATGTGGTTGATGATAAGGAACATATATTTGAAGTTTCAAGTTGATACCTTAAGAAATGACAAAGTTATAGTGAAAAATATTTTACTGCACCAAAACTTTAATCTAAAATCTGGACGCGGACGCCGGGGCGAGTAGGACAGCTCTCCATATACTTTGTATAGTCGAGCTAAAAAGGATCAGATCTGAAACATATGAAGGCACCTTTTCCTAACATATGATTTATTACTTTATAATCGACTGGCCTTAGACGAAACATTCTAAGACCGGGTGTTAACAGACCTCCCAAATTCCAGACACTTTAATTCAGCAACCAAAAATAAAAACAACCCTACAGCTGAGATTAGGACCACCTTTTTTTACAAATATTTCAAAGAACTAGTACATGTATACTGAACCAAAAAAGAAACTTTCGCAAAGTATGTGCCAGTTGTTCAAAGGTACCACTTAGATGTACACACTTATATACATGTAGTAGCTTGTAAAACTCGTTTTGTTTTGCAAAATCGGTCAGCTAATCCACGTATAAAAGCCCGATATGTTTATCCAACGTAAAAATCGAGTTTCAAAAGGATTGAAAAACTGTACTAACATATCTACATTCAAACTTGGAGAAAGTTTCTTTTTTGTTTCAGTATATATTATATGTAATCCCTTCAATATAAACCTTAAAAAAAAATGAATATTGGACCATGAAAATTATTTCGCAGGGAAAAGGCTGAAGTCAACATAAAATACATAAATATTGTCTGTTTCACACTGATCCCATTGGAAAAAAGGCCCCCCCCCCCCCCTCCATAATCAACAACACTTTACAGCTAGAAAGTTAAGATAATTAAAATGTTTAAAACCCCCTTTAATTACCTGGTCTGCTACCAGCTGGTATACTGAGTATATTTTTTGACGTTGCATCGAACATGAAAGCTCGCCAGGCAAATGCAATCTCCGGGCTGGCTATATCTCGAAGCACCTTACGTAGAGTTGTGTACAGAGCTTCACTGAACACCTGTAATAAAATAATCGTAACATTACAAAATTATAGACACTTTATACATGTACATTGATGGTTGTCTGACTTGTACATGCAATTAGTTAAAATCTAACGAATGATACTTAAAACAAGAACATACATATATGTCTGAAAAAAAATGTATGTGATTTACATATGACATTGACTGTATTGATATTTCTTTGAATTATTTTCTAAGGATATCTCTGTTAAAAATTGTAAATGTTGTAACACCATAACAAATGTGATAAAAGTAACTCAAAGATATAATCTTTACTAGATAATTTAGTGACTACCTTTATTCTTTATAGTACAGTGATGTCTGAATAAAAATAAGCTAACTATGATTTTTCATAAAATTTGTAATGACATCATCAAGATCAATATGACATCATCAAGGTTGTAATCATAATTGCCAAGATTATTATGACATCATCAATATCAAGGTTGTTATGACATCATCAAGGTCAATATGACATCATCAAGGTCAATATGACATCATCAAAGCTGTTATGACATTGCCAAGGTAATTAAGACATCAAAAAGGTCATGGAATTTATTAAAGGTGAAAAATGGAAAATGTTGCGCATCAATTTTTAATGATTCTGTGATGTCATTTTTGTTATGAGGATATTTAAATGGTAAAAATTTATTTTGTGTGTGATAAGCTGATGAATGATGATTTCAAACAGTGACAACTTTTACAGTGAAGAGATGATTTTTGTAGATCTCAGAGTAAACACTGTAATTTCCAATTAAGTGACATCATACAAACAAACCTTGAAGAAGCTTTGAAATTTTATGTCAAAATTTTGACATAACCTTTTATGAATATCATAATTGTTACAAAATTTCAATACAAAAACAGTTATGTGCTCAAGGAATATTTCAGTAAAACCTAGATTAATGATGTTATGGCAATCTGGTACATTACCTTCATACTATGTGCCTTTGCTTTATTACCCTTGAAATTAATTCATTATGGCATTTAAAACAAAAATACTTCATAAAATCTAATTCCATATCTCAAATAAACAGTTTTGTAGGGACTTAATACAGGTCCTAAGAAATTTCAAACTGACCCAAAATGAAGGAAATTTTTTAATTTTAAATACTGATATCCCTTTTAGGGTATTATTATTTACAAGGGCTTATCTAAATTAAAGCTGCATGCCTCCAGATGAGCCAAAATAATTCAAAAGAAATCAAACCCGAGATTTTATGAAAAGTAAAAAGATTCAAGATAAAAGTAATAACTTCCATGTAATGTCGGATTAATGACTGATTTTGCAGTATTTTTTACCATATATTATTACTGTTACTAATGCAGTAAAAGTTTTGGGGGTTTTTTTTGTTTTTTTTGTCTATACAGTCATGTACTATGGATCAGGGTCCTGCCAGCCTACACTTAAGTGCAGTTGTACCAACTTTAAAACTTAAAATTGATTGATAGCTCAATTATATCATTATGATATATATTAAAGCATAATGTATATCAGGAAGTTCATTTTTCACAGCTTGATAAACCTAGTATGGTAAAGAATATAGTTTTTTTACCTTGAAATGATTTTGTTTGGACATTTGTTTGTCATTTTGGTATGGGCAGTGAGCCAGCGTTAGTTCCTTCCATGCCTTGACAAACTCTTCCTGGTCACCAAACGCATTGATACATTTCCCTATACAAGTAATCACCTGGTTAGCATTATCCACAAATATACAACTTTCCTGTAAATAAATATTACATAACATTAAAAATTGTACATTGACTTACAATACTGCAACATTATTTCACTTAGTTTTCTGTACAAGTGGTTTAAGTTAGCGATATGGAAATATTGGCGAATTTCACGAATTGATAAAAATCGCTAAAATTTTATCTAGCGTAAATATCAACCAACCTGTCATTAAATTCTACCCTTGCACGATATGCTTATATTTCATCGCGCAAAATGTCTGAAATTTTAATTTCTCTTACTTTTTGACAAGTGTAAAAATCCACTTTTACAGTTTAACAAGTATGATATCTAGAGTTCCCATAACAACAATACATGTATTACAATACCTTTGTAAGCTGTGCCATCACAGTTTCCTCATCACCAAACACAAACTGTGTGGAGGAACATAGGTGTACATGGTATCCTAATGGTCCTGACATCATAAACTTTAATACATGACGTCTGAAAATATAGGAAAAGTACATGTATAACAAGAGCTGTCGGTAGGACAGCACGCTCGACTATTCTAAGTGCTTGATAGTAAAAGAGCCTTGATAATGTTAAATTTTCTTAGTTCACAAAAGGGCTAATTTTTTTTTATAAATTCATGTTATAGGCCTTAGAGAGAGTCTAATTATACAGTATTGGCTTGACTATTTGGAAGTAATGTCACAAGGGTGTTTAATTGAGTATAATAATACTAAATACCTATGAATACATAAAATTGACAGAAAACGTACAAAGGCTTGTTATTAAGATGTTTTATCAAGTAAATCACTGCTTTATTATAATGAATGCATAAAATTGTCCCAAAAAAGGCATAAACCCTTCAGTAGTTATGGAGATAACAGCTTACAAGCAAAACTTTACCAATGAATTTCTAAGTTGAAAAAGGGAAGAAAAATCAGCCTAAATGCAAAGATAGAATTACGGATCTTTGTCAGTGACCTACAATTCTGACCCTTAATACATATGTGAAGTTTTAAATAAATATCTTTAATAGTTATTGAGATATGTAAAACTTGCATGTAAACATTAACCAAGAGACTAAGTAGAAAAGGGGATATGAATCAGCCTTAATGCAAGATAGAGTTATGGAACATGGTCAGTGACATATAATTATGACCCTCAAATTATGACCCTAAGTACATGTGTAAAGTTTCAAGAAAATATCTTTGAAGACCTTTAACCAAAATTTCTAAGTTTCAAAGGGGCAAATAATTCTGCAAATATTGCAGACAGAGTTATGCAATTTTGCAAAATGATGTACATTGTTACTATAAAAAAGTATTTTTAATTTCAATTGAATATCTCAAGCAATAATTGAGATATTTGACTTTACAAAAAAAACTTTAACCAAAATTTCTAAGTTTCAAAGGGGCATAATTCTGTCAATATTGTAGGCAGAGTTATCCAACTTGTCAATCTGATGTACCTTGTTACTATAAATAAGTATTGTAAATTTCAATTGAATATCTCAAGCAATAATTGAGATATTTGACTTTACAAAAAACTTTAACCAAAATTTGTAAGTTAAAAAGGGGCATAATTCTGTCAATATTGTAGGCAGAGTTATCCAACTTGTCAATCTGATGTACCTTATTACTATAAATATGTATTGTAAGTTTCAATTGAATATCTCAAGCAATAATTAAGATATTTGACTTTACAAAAAACTTTAACCAAAATTTCTAAGTTAAAAAGGGGCATAATTCTGTCAATATTGTAGGTAGAGTTATCCAACTTGTCAATCTGATGTACCTTGTTACTATAAATAAGTATTGTAAGTTTCAATTGAATATCTCAAGCAATAATTGAGATATTTGACTTTACAAAAAACTTTAACCAACGCAGACGCCGACGCGGACGCTGACGCCGACGCCGACGCCGGGGCGACTACAATAGCTCTCATATTCTTCGAATAGTCGAGCTAAAAATGTAGAATAATAATTTTATTATGAATGTTTGTATGTTTGTTTTACATTTTTATGTCCAATAAACATGAAAATATTTTGAAGACATGCATATTTCACTTTTTCTTTTTCATTTACAAATAAAACAACTTTTTAACACTTTTCTAAAATCTTATTTCTATTTATCCTTTTTTCTTTTACTCCCACCCTCCTCTCTTCTTAAACACACTCTATAATTTCTGGCATGATAGTTTAGTCAATAGAACTTTAAAGGTAGAACTAATTGCAAAAGTTATGAAAGCCACACTACACACTATCTTGCCATTTACATTTATATAAAATTTGCACAATTTTGCAACAGGCATTTTCGAACAATATAAGTCTGAAATTTACCATTTAAGAAAAAAATTGTAGTTCCACAGAAGCCATCGTACATCAAAAAATTTCCAAATGACATCATAGTAATTTGAATGCAACAGTAAAATTTTAAATTTCTGATCATGTTTATAACTGAGTACTATACAACCATTCGCATTCAGTAATCTAGCTTAATGGTATTCTTATACAACAGAAACTTAAGTTTTTTCGAATAAGACTCCATTTGATGACATGACCAGTAATAAAAAAATTAAGAACAAATAAAATCAAATCCATCAAAGATAATTCACTATAGGTAAAACAAGGGAGATAAATTACCCTGCTGGTAAACACAGTACAGCAGCTCTGATGGCTGATGTTTTCAGTCTAAGTATTGGTTGACCAGTAACAAGACTCTTCCAAGAGTACGGTTCAGCCACAAGAGTTCCTGGTGTCACATTGGGAGGGGCTGCTTTCTCACTGGCTATAGATCCTAAAAAAAGATACAAGTCAATTTTCCAAGATATGGTAAGCCTTCAGATATATATTCTTAAATATTATACAATTTAGTCTTCTGTAAGTCTTCTATCATTTCATTTGAATTTTTGAAACAGATACTGTACAAGCCTTTTCAAGCCTTTTTTACAGCCTTTACAAGCCTTTTCACATCTTTTCAAGCCTTTGCACAACAGTAAGCAGAGCCCACATCATACTGATAGCATAGCCATAGACAACTCATAATCACTGCAAGCATTCAAAGAATTATAGCAAGAAGAATTCAAGTATTCTTTTTCTTTTTTCTTTGTGGTTTCTTAAAACAGCTAACCCTCCTTTTACCCTTAGACTGCTGACTGACATTGATACTACCCTTGGAACCAGTGCAGACCAAAATCAGTTGGCACAACCAGGCTGTTTGATCATGGTCTTGCACTACACATTAAAGCCTGAACATTTAAAATACATGTACTAGGAAACCTTGAATAGTTTTTGCTGATAATTTTACTAATATTAATTTAACTCTTTCATGAATAAAATAACTACATGTACATATAAAAATATAATGAAATTCATCCCCTATGTCTAGCTGGTTACAAAGTGACGTTTCTCTATATATTGGGAATGACCCTCAAAATGGCTGCCAGGGGAGGTAATAATTGCTATGTGAAAAGCATCTATGCAAGAATTTTGCAGAGTATTGCTTAACATTCAATAAATTAAGTAATTAAAAAGTTACCTTCTAGCACACTGCTGCTGGTCACATTGGTCATCTCCTTGTCATCAATTTTATCTTTTGCTCCTTTCAGGCTTGTGTGAGACTTCTTCTCCTCAACCGGGGCTGGTGGGGGCTCAGGCCAGCGTGACAGGGAAGAGAAGGAAACAACTATCTCAGTAGGCTGCAGATTGTCAACAACTTTGAAATAGTTAAGGATAGAACCCAGACATGAAATTTGAAGACACTGTATAAAGTTACACATACAGTATTTACCATAATTTCTTTCTGCTAATTTAACATATTATTTACCCAAACAGACTTCATATTTACCTAAAAAGACATTAAATTCACCCAAATACATCTAATTTACCCAAAAGAGACATTGCATTTATCGGAAGAGATATTTAATTCACTAAATGGATATTAATTTCGTAATAGTGTAATTTTTCCAAGTGACAAAACATTTACCCACTTAAATTTTTCATTTCAAATGCCAATTCAGTTTTTTTTTTCAAAAAGAAACTTTAAGAAATGTTACATACATTGTTTAGAGTTATGGGCCTTAGACAGTGACCTCCTAATATGCACTCAAATAAGTGTGTGAAGTTTCAACCCTTTCCCTTCAGTAGTTTAATAGTTACCAACTTGCACATCAAAAATAAATTAACCAAAGTGTGACACCGCAGTGAGTACAATAACTCTCCCTATACTTTTAATAGTTCGGCTAAAAAATTATCTAATTATCATTATTTTTGAAGAGTTTTACTGTAACTTTGAACAATAATAAAGGATACATAGATAATAAGGAGCCTTGTCATCATAGGTGCCCTGTGCTGCCTGCAAATGAGAGAATTAGATAAACTTATATTACAAATTTCCATGCTATACTTACAAAATATTTACATACATAATACATCATAAAATTTTCCTTAACATTGATATAAGACATTTGGCCATTTTTTGTTTTTAAAGATAATGCTTCTAAGCTAGGTCTATTAGCAAGGATTATGTTCATATAAGGCATTAAAAGGCACAAAGGTTAAACATGTTTGCACTATTGCATTTAATGCTAGGTTACAGGTTTACAAATTAATGAAACTGCATTTTCACGCTTATATTGTTTAACATAGTTTTACATTTATAACAATTACAATTAAGTTAAAGCCTTTCTTATTAAAACATATCTAAATATTATTAAACTACAATCAGCAAACTTGACTAGAATCAAATATCTCAAACAATTACAGCTTCCAATAATTCAAGACTATATGGCTGGGAAATGTGGGGATAAGGATTAATTAGGAAGGGATATGAATTAAACATGCAAAAAAATAAGCCTTTTCACCACAGCAAGCAAACCAGTCCAATATATATAAACAAAATAATGCGGACAAAAATCCAGAAAAAAACTAAACTTTTGATAAAAAAGCGAAAGGCACACTATGGTTATTTCACTATTTTTTCTGTCACAAAACATCTAGTTAATGTGATTTCCGTGTGAAACAAGTTAACCCATTATCCAGTGATGCGAGTGACTTGTTAAATGCGTAATATTTGGCATGAACTGGGAAGGCTTGTTATACCAATATAAATATATATATCTAAATATCCCAACACCATGAATCTACATGAATCTACAGTACCTTTGCTGCTTTTTATGATACAAGAATAAACAGACTAGGACTATAAAATTATGGAGAGTTGACTGAAAAACTGCAGTAACTTATATGAAGTAAAGAAGGACAGGTTTGCAGTCAACCCTTGAAATGTACGTATACATATGGCATACATTTATATAAATATAAATTCCATAGCTACATAAAACACAGATTCTAGATTATACGAGAGACAAAAAAAAAAGATTAATATTGAATATAATAACAAAGGCTTAGCGCAAAATATTGGTATCTCTTTTACGGCACACAAGTTATGCATATTTTGCTCCTAACCTTTGTTGGGGTTAGGTAGGTGGGGTTGGGACCTTCATCTACAATATACCATTTTACAAGCTAAGCAACTAGATGGCCCAAAAATATTTTCTACAGGGACATTTCTTTCAACACGATTTAATCTTACTCCCAGGAAAATTTCAAATATGGAGATTTCTTCCAAGAAAAGAAGATTTCTATCTGTCTTTTTTAAGTTTAAATGTGAAGCCACAATACGAAGATATATATAAAAGAAACCTCAGACAAACTGTATTTAACCCTTAACCTGCTGAAATTATGTAATAAACTTGCCCTGATTTGAATTTGGAACAGTTCATTCTAAGTTTAAGGGATTTCAAAACACAAAAATTGAGCTGCCAACATTTAAGAGCCTGCGGTCAGAATACATGAATGTGCAGGCTGGCCTGGTTCAGGCTCTTTACTAGCGACATAGACTAATCACTTTAAGTTCAACCAGGTTAAGGGGTTAAATATAGTCAAATACATTGAAAACACTCAATTAAACAAGACAAACTGTGCATGTTATTCAAGTGGTATGAAAATTCAAATCATAACCAGGTTTTTTGTTTGTTTGTTTCTTTCTCTTTTTTTTAACTTTTTCTTATCCACTTTTTTTTAGTTTTGATTTAAGAATTAAGCAGGATGTTTTTCAATGCTTTCTGTTGAAGCTTACAATATTAACCATTAATAGACAATATTAATGTATAGATAATAGTATCCTGTCTGTATTAATCACAGAAAATATCGGTACAATTTATTTGGTACCACAAATTGCTGAATTTATCATAAAAGTTTACAAAAACAAAAATGCTTTATTTTAAATTACTTATGGCATTTTTTTTAAGTCAGCAATTAAGCACATTTTGTCTAACTTAATTGGTATTTTGATTTTTTGTTTATATGTGTATATTTATATAATTTATATACATTTTTCCAGAATCTGTAATAGTCACATAAAATAAAACAGGAACAATTTTTCAAACCATTTTAATGTACATGCATGGCTGTATTTTTTAGTTTTTTTATAAATAAAATATTTTTTTTTTAAATAGAAAAATGAAGTTTCAAGAAAAATATTATATAAAATTCTATCTAATAAAAAAACCATTGCAATAACTTCTTTTTTTTCTCTCAAAAGTACGGTTATGCCTTGACCTATTCTACTTTTTCATTTCAATAAAATTTTGAAATAAATCAAGAAATATGGTTGAAAAAGTGAAATTTTATAATATACATATCAATACTTCCATAATGCTTCATAACTGTTAAATTTTTGTAGATTATATTTTTATTAGTACCCCCCCCCCCCACAACAACCCCCAAAAACAACCAAATTTCTGACAAATAATATCATATCTTTCTTCTCATTGTTGGAAATATTGTTTTGTATATTATTTCTATAGCCATGTCTTAATAAGCACCTTCAAATTAAAAATTTTGACAAGATTTTTTATTTCCCAGTACATTTAACTTAGCACCTTTTCATACCAATTCTAATACAATATTTTGGATGGACCTATATCGAGACAAAAAGTCTTACATCCAAAAAATAAAGTTAAAAACAATTATCATGTCTTATTTATTTTAGAAATAAAATTGTCTCATTATGTTTTGGCATCATACAACTTTTCAGTATTAAAAATATTTCTTAGCATAACTATAATTTGGGCGAACATGCTTTTCAAAATCAATATTGGCAATTAATCATTCAAAACATTGAAGTTAAAATGTTCAAAAAAAAAAAAAAAAAAATCTATAATATTTCTTTCATTTTTTCTCCTTAGAGCAGTAACGGGTTAACTCCTATTAAATTACATAATGAGTTAACCTGTTTCTGCATTTAGTTGATGATTTGTCACTTCTTTCTTTTTTTAAAAATAAATTTGTCATATCTTGTTTTGTTTTGGTTATTACAAATTGTTGACACTTGTTAAGACATGTCTATAATCTGGTGATATATTAGCAACACAATACTCACACCCTGAGGAGAGTTATGTAGGAGGGGATTAGTAGTAGGGGAGGCCATCGCACTAGTGAATGTGTGCGATGGCGTCTGGACAGTCTTAGAGGGGGAGGTGTTTACCCCGCTAGCGTTGGGGGCCGACTTCTTGTCTCCTTTCGTAGGTGCTGGTGGCTGGGGTGCTACACTCTGTAAACAACATAATGCATGTTTTGTGTTAAAATAAGCCGTTAGACAACATTCAAACCAAAACAATCTTCCAAACTGTGTCTCTGTAATGAACTGCTAGCTAAATTTTCACTCAAATCTACTAAAGGAAATAAAGGACAATTTAAAGTGTTTAAATAAAATGTATAAACATGACATTTTCTGTAAATCACAATCAATGCTAATGCATATTAGTATTAGCATATCGTAACTAAATCACCAAATGCTGTTTTTTTTTCAAATATGGGCTTCAAATACAAGACTGTACAGTTAACCTCATGTACAAGAACAGCCCCACTCCTGCTCAACAATAACTAAATTAAATCTAGCAGTTCATCTTTCAAGTTAAAAGCATAATTAAAGTTAGGCTTGAAAATACAATTAACAACAAACTTTTAAGCAACAAATATCACTTTACCTTTAAAAAAACCCAAAAACTTTGGTTACAGACACAATTAAAACATTCAATTAAACATTCAATTTAATATCATTTTCTAAAGCACTTGAATCAGCTTTAAATAAACCACAATATCACATACATATTAGTTAATTAATATAGTTAATAAAAGTTAATGAAAGCAGACATTTTGAAAATGGGAGCCATTTAAACATTAATTAAGACGCCACTTATTCCTTATAATAATGGAAAATTTCTTTTATTGGTATTTCCTTACAGGAAAAATCTTTTAACATTGTATGATTTAAATAATTGATTTCATAACTGAATCACGAAATAGTCTACGCTACTTCACACAATAGCATGTAATATATATATAATACAGTAACTACAGAAAAGATAAATACAAAACACACAGTTATATAATATGAGGCTTCAAAATAAAGTATAATTTAATAACAGTATGAATTGTGTCCAATTTAACACACTCATTAAAAAATAATTTTATATTAGTTTATAAAAAACAAATTCTAACAATAACACCAATGGTAAAAATGGAAAAACAAAAATGAATATCAGAAATTTTGAAATATCTAAAGAAAAATTCAGAAAAAAAAATAATTTAGAAAAAGTTTTGAACAAAACCGTAACTATTTAAATCTTAACTAAATAAAGTCATGTAATACTCATATCAAATTTTCTAACAAATTAGCCAAATAACTTAACACAACAGATTTACCATCACTGTCTTATCCTGTGGGTGGGGTACATAGAAATTATTGAAAATCGCAGAAAACTGATTAATAATATATGCTATGACTGAAATAAGCAAAGAATGATGTTTAATGGATATAAATATAATGCAAATTATGATGGTGTACCAATTTTTCTCATGCCTAGTGTATATTTTGAAGTTTCCATGAAGTTTCTGTACTTCCTACCCGTACCCTCTTAAATTTATAAAATGGACATTATCCTACTTTGACTTTGGAACATACCATTATTAACAAAGGGGATTCTGAAACCAAAATTCTAAACTTATGCAGTTACAGTATACTCGCTGATGCCACTTCTTTCCAAAAATATATAAATATGTACTACCCAACACATATGTTTTTTTATTTCAGAATAAAAATATCAAATTTCGACTTTTGGTAAATTACCTCCCTTTAATTGGCACTGGGCATAAGAAAATAAAGTTAAGCCATTTTTCAAGAACTGCATGCAGTTGTTTTTGAAAACCACACTTTGTTCTATTTCCATGAGCTAAATCAATATTATAGTTAATAAGAAATAATTAATTTATACATGTATATAAAACCATCAACTTTATAAAATGTCGGCAAAACCTGCGGTGGCAGTACACTTGTTTTTTAAATTTTTGAAAACTTTTTTTGACATCTAAAAACAAAACTGCTTTAATGTTTATTATAACTGTAATATTATAGCTCCTGAAAATAGAAACAAATGGCTAACATGGTTATATATCATAATATTCAACAGTTCTCAATTAATTGCTAGATTTTTTTTTTTTTCGCAAACATTTTGACCAGTATTTTGTCTTCTAGTATCAAGTCTGATTTCCGTAAACATTTTCGCAATACTTCCATGTTATTAAATATGTTTTTAATTATTAAAATGACCTTAAAATCAACTGATCTTTTTCATCAAGTTCCATGTTTCACAAAAAAACATGCAATTTTATTTTTAAACTGAATATGTAGTTCTATTGACCAAAATTCAAATTCAGACACATGTACATGACTGTATTTAATATTAGATTTATAAATATCGACAATATATTAAAAAATTTGACGTAGACCTTCCATGCATGCTTTCAAGCATAAAAGGAAACCTCAGTAGAACCATCAACTTTCTGTAAGTTAGCTGAAAATAGCTTCTTGAAAGAATCTAAGTCCTTGGCAGAATTCAAACCCGCGGCTATGGGTGGCAATCAGTTCGAAGTCAATGAACTTATTTAATAACCTCTTGGTCAAAATGTCCGCAATCTTGTATATCAAGAAAAAGAAATTTTGAAAGAAACCAAGAAAATCTAGCAACTATTTGGGAACAGTGTGAGCAATATAGATTTTCTGGTTGATAAATAAACAGTGTGTCAATACCATGTGACTTGTACATTGATCAACAGGCAATATTAACCCATTACCTGCTCAATTTATATAATGTACTTTCGGGCTTTTAATTCAAAACGGTCCATTCAAAATTAAAGGGTTTACAAAATCAAAATGTCAAAATGCAAACATTGAGTTACCAACAGTATAGAACCTGGTCAGACTGTAGTGATGTGCAGGCTGGCCCAAAAAACTTAAACTTAGTGTTTCACAGATTATGAAGAGCTTTAAAATCATTATATAAATCCAAAAATACCCAAAACTCACTCCTTTCTAATGGACATTTTGTAAACTTTTTTTTTTAATGTTTTTACAAACAAGAGCTGTCGGTAGGACAGCAACGCTCGACTATTCTTAGTGCTTGATAGTAAAAAAAGCCTTGATTAAAAGGTAAAATTTTCTCAGTAAAGAAAAAGGCAAAATTTGTCTTTACTGACTACAGTAAAGACTACTGTCTACAGGTTGGGGTCATGATGGTGAACAAGTGTGCAAAATTTCAAAGCCATATGTCAATGGACTTTGAAAATATTTGAGGTATTACAAAAACTTTAACATAAGTGGTTACGCTGACGCCGACGCAGAAGCCGACGCTCGGGTGACTACAATAGCTCTACTTATTCTTATCAAATAGTCAAGCTAAAAAGAATACTGTAATTTACATGGTTCTCAGGTAGGTGTAAATTAAAGTAAAATGCAATGTTCATTGCCCTTTGCTCGTTATGTTACTAAAAATAGAAGTTACAAGTCACATGGGACAGACACGTGGTAATTTATACCGAACAAACCTGGTGAGGGTGATATTTAAACTCCAGTTTCTTCAATGAGTTATAAAATTATACACATGGTTAGCTAGTTAGAACTTTTTATACGTTGATAAAATAACTGTTATGGTGTAAATTTTGAAATAGTATGGGTTAAAATAAATATCTTTTTGTATACTGGGAACTGAGAAGAAAATAAAAAAGTGAAAAAGATATGTCTGGTATGAAAAACCTTATACATGAATATACACAAAAAAGAAATAAAAATAAATAAATAAAGATCTTCTGTCAGATATGAATGATGTAAGATTTAAATCAATGTCCTTTAAGAAGAAACATGGGCAACATTGTCTCAAATTATGCCCATCACAAAAGCTTTTGACAAAGATGTGGGCATTATAGATATGCATGTAGGAGATTTTCTCTACGCAAAATCTGGAAAATATCTGGATATTTTATCATCTCTAGTTACCTTGACCTTGCAAATATTAACCTAAATTACATGTGTCACACTTGTAGTCATGATAGTTATCAATGAAAGTAACGAAATCACATGTTTCACACCAGTAGTCATGATAATGACCATTTGTTTTTCAGTCCATTCATAAATGATGACTAAATGATCCGAATACACATTTTCATATTTTTATCTGAACTTTGACCCCTATGTGTGACCTTGACCTTGGTCGCAGGGACCAAATTTCTCACGCGCCTCTCCGACACTCTGCTTCTCATAGTGGTGAACATTTGTATGAAGTTTGATTAGAATCCCTCTATATGTGTAGGAGATATGCTCTGGACAATTTGCAATTTGGAAGCAGCCTGCCTGCCTGGGGGAACTATAATATGACTTTTTTTTTTCAAACGGGTGTATATGCCTATGAAAACATGCTCAAAAAGCCTAATAACATTGTTCTTTAGAATGAAATGTTAATCTGATATAGCATTAAAATCCTATACATCGATTGTATGTATATTGACTCTCTAAAAATGATAATATGTCCCTCGAAACAAGAAAATTAATTATTATTTCTAGAAAGGGGCAGTAACTCTGTAAAAAATAATTATTACTATCCTCCAACTTTTACAAACCTATAAATCTAGTGTGTCAATGATTTGTATATACAGAGTTATTCAAACACTGATTAAATTAAATTAAAGTTAATCCAAAACACAAACAGAGACACACACTTATATGGTCATAGACTGTGAAATGATTATCTCCCTTTGACAGGAATATTAAAGACTAAGCAAAAATCAGTTTGTTAGAAATATGGAAAGCATACTTTTCATTATAACACAATCAAAATTAGAAGAATGTATATGAATTTGTTGTTATAGTTTGTACAGCAGTAGTCTTACCTTGAGATCCGAGTGTTTCACAGAACATGGGTAGGTGTTTGGCTTATGATATATATACAGTGTCCTGAAATGTAAAATGTGATATCAATTAACTATAAGAAAAACAACATATAAATATTTGTTTTAACATGTTATCATATTTTTGCGGCTAAATGCCAAAATGTGTTTCACTTGTTTAACAAGTGTTTCATTATGACATCGCTTCTGGTAATTGTTTTGCACTTATTAGGCATCTAAACGAAACGTTTGCGACAAATAATTACTGGATGTTCGTATTTGTGTGGTTTGTTTGCTAATGTTAATCAATTAACTATCCTAGCCAAAAGAGTTTTAATGACTGTAAAGTTTAGTCAAAACAACCATATAACATGTTATCAGTACGCAATATTGCCAGATCAATACTGAAAGCCTGGTCAAAAAGGCCTTTTTTTAAAAAATATATAAAATTATGCAGAACATCACTTACTTGAAACATCTACAGAACTGATCAAAGTCCATCCATTTCTTTGTAGGTTTAGTAATTTCCTCCTGCACAGGCTCTTTCTCCGCTGTTTCTTCTTCGTGAACTGACCCGTCCCCTTCTCCGTTCTCTGGGGGTACGGCTAGACCACCTGCCTGATCCCCGGACCCAGGGGGTTCCAATTTGGTTGTCTGGGCAGATGGTGGTGCAGGCTTGGCTTCAGCTGAAAAAAGGAAACGCACACAAGAAGGATCAAACTTAAGTCTCCTAAAATTAATATTAATATATATGTATCCATAGGTGGCCATGAATTGCTACCCTAGGCATGTTTGTTTTTACAGTGCTCATTACTTTGTTACACTATATTTTCTAATAATCAAAGTGTATTATGTTGAAGAAATTCGGTAGATACATAAAATTTACTTTAATGTTTAAAAATATCCAATTGAGTTCTTTCTCAATGAACATGTGATGCAACTTTGTGACATAAACAGAAATGGTGTTGATTCTAGGACAGAGATGAATTTAGGGTACCCGCTGATATATTTTAATTTAATTGTCTGTGAAATACTATCATCCAACTTGACCTTTTACAATGCTGAATTTGTGTAATGAACTGGTCCTACTTTCAATTTTGAACAGTCTATTATTAATCTAAGGGAGAGCACTCAGTATGGACTAACTATATTGACATAAACCCATCAAACTAGATTGAAAGACAAATATCTTAATCATAAAGTCACCACTCTTTCTAAAAATACAGGAATAAAACTTTGACTGACCTTGTTTTTCAGGTTTTGGTGTTCCAGCTTCCTCGCGTTTTCCTTCACGAGAGCCTGGCTTAGATATAGACTTACTTCGTTCCTTCTCCTTGGCTGATCCAGCCTTACTACTCATCTTACGCTCCGCTTTTGGTGATGCCTGAAAAATGATAAAAATTTGAAACTGAGATCCAATTGTAAACAATTTTATTTGCAATAAATTAACATTTCATCTAAATGGAAAATGGTAAACAACATAAATCTATGAAATGAAATCTCATTCTTTCAAACTTAATTAAACAATAACACCAGTTATTTTAAAACATCATATTGTATTGCTTTTTATGATTGACCTAATTAGCGTATGTAAATTAAATGTACATTTAAAGATATATTTTTGAAAATAAATGAAACTTTTACAAATTAATAACTCTACAGAAGAGGGCAAATTTAATCGATAAACTATTTCAAGTAAAACAAGATACTTAAAAGTCCAAAGAAACAGCTCTTCCATGTGAGTTATTTTTTGTTTAGTTCTGCTTACATTTTCCAAACATCAAATTTCAACTTATATTTCAGGTATGCCAATATTTTATAGGTACTATGGCACATAAGAAACTACTAAACACTAAGAAGTCTGTCCATTGAAATACCTCCGTTTCCTTCTTGCCGGCAGATTTACGCGCACTCTTAGTTCCCTTGGACGGTGTTAATGGTTTCTCTTCCACAACCTCCACTGGTGTTAGCTACAGATACACACAACACAACATTGCATACAACACAACAGTTAATATCATTATACACACATTGCTTCAATGTTCACTTAATGTACTGTATAGACAGAAAAATCAATGGACTGAGACAGAATCCAAGACATACTGGTAATATTTGCTTTAATACTAGTTTTCTTTATTTAGACTTAAAAGTTCAACCATTAGAGCATGTTTGGCACATATGCCACCATCGTGTCATTAGAAACACTATTGGCTGCTAAATTTTAATGGTTTTATATCATGGAAATCTTGAAATTTACGAAATTAAATATCAAAAGAGGTCCGAAGTCCATTATGAATACAAAGATGACTAAAATGCAAGTTGAAATCTGAATTTCTTACAGAATAAGTTTAGCACTTTTTGCCATTTATTTCTATTTATGTAAAACACATATTTCATACATTTTCATCTTTGAATGATCTACAGTAAAACTGTGAAGCAATATGTATTGTAGTTTTTATGATTAAACACAAAAGCAGTTATTATTAAGCATAAAACAATGCAAAACTACATTATACATTTTTATTGGCTAATTACTACAATTATCATATTGCATGCATTAAGTACTATTAACAGAAAACAAGCAATATTTCATTTTTTTCTGTCCGTTTTCAAGTCACATTGACATTTCATATGTCATGGTATTCTACTCATTTATTTTGTTGAGTTTTAAGTTACACCAACAGTGTAAAGGTCATATGGCAAATTTTTAGTTTAGTAATGGAGGGAGACCTCAGGTGTCTTCCTGCATTATCTTGGTTGAGCACAAGGCAAGAAAAAACCTTGCAACTTTCTAGCTTTACTGGTGGACAAAGGTCTGAGCATCATCTCCAGAAAATGAGTATAACCATTGACCAGTAATTTGCTAGTATTCAGTTTTGTTTTTGACAAAATATATCACTGCTTTTATAGCTTGGACAAACTATGTAAGACTTCAATAGTTATAAATTAAATTAATATTAAATATATAACTTTCACACTTCATTACATAAGCAACAAACAACACATTTTCAATTCAATAATCATGAATATTACAAACCTTTTTATTATCATGCAAAGCTATTCTAATTCAAACAACATTTTATTTCAGCTTTTTCCACATAAAATTAGGCACATGCATTTAGTTTTTAAAAAAATGCAAAAAAAAATGTTGTTAAGAGTTACCTCCTCTACATGCTCTTCCTTTGGAGGTTCTTTAACTGTTTCTGGTTCAGGAGCATTTTCATCAGTTTCTTCAATAGAGGTCACATGACCGGTTCCTGGCCTTGACCTCGTTCCTCCTCGTTCCAGGGCCGACTTTGGTCTGTGACTACAAAAGCAAAATATTTATGGGGTTTTTTTAATTGGTTTTTACCGTATAGGCCCTATGACAACTTTCCAACTTTACTGGAGAAAGCCTCAGGTACCCCTTTGTGCATTATTTTAGACACAAACAGGCATCCGAGTAGAACCACCAACATTCTGTAAGTGAGTTGGATACAGCTTTCTCACATGAAATAATCAAAAGACGCTAGCGCCGCTCAAACCTACAGCAGTAAAAGGCAAGTGGTTTGAAGTCAAAGACCTTAACCATACCGCCACGACCCCCTTAATATTTGTCAAAATAAACAATGAGAATATCCCTCTTTCCCATTGAAAATGACTCTTATTTTAATTTTAATTGAATCATTCTCCAAACCCTACTTAGCACACTTTTGAATTAAAAGCATAGCTAGAATTCAAGTAAATCTAGCATTTCAATGAATTGTTTTTCATCTTCATTATCAAACATAAACAAGCATACTATTCAAATATTTTTGCATGAAACTTAAGTCAAACACAGATATAAAATGTAACTAAGTCTACAAAATAACACTTGCTCCCATACAGTAATTCTTGCAGTGGCAAGGGTAAAGAAACTCCAAAACAATGACTGCTGTATTCCAAAACATACATTTTTTGTTGTACTAAGTTAAATTCATACCTTATTATATATTTAATCAATTATTTAAGCAGTTAGAATTATACTAACTTCCAAAAATAATACTGTGTTAACTTACGTGTCAGTTGGTATCGGAACAGGGCTAACTTTGTAGTTGACAAAAGGGGAGGTAATCTCTAAACATTGTATGGGTTTCGGTGGCTCTGGATCGGCTGAAATAATTTGTAAATATCGTGTCTAACTTCACCTTCTCATTTTGATTATCATATACATTTCACATATAAAATATAAAAGCATTGATTAATACGGTTTCTATTTTGATAACATTTTGATAAATAAGGTAAAATCATTTTCAGTAACTTTGAACTTGTTTTAGTTAAATGTAAAACTTATAAAACACTAAATTGTAACAAAGATTGTACAAAAAAATCATTAGCATAAACTCAAAGTCAATAGAAATAAATAAGAAAAATAATCTTTACATAAAAAAGTCTTTGTAAACTATATTTGACAACAATTTACTATGATATAATGACCTGATTTCAGAGATTGTTAAATGTTTGAAATGTAGGGAGCTATAAAAAATAATCATAAACAATCAATAAATAATAAATAATCAATCTATTAAAACTATATCAGTATGTACTAAATGCAACACAAACATGACCAATGGTCAAAACACAAGTTTAAGAAGTCCAATATTCCAATTTCCAAGTTTAAGAAGTACATAATATTTAAAACTGTGTAAATGTATAGGACTCAAAAAGCCACAAGTCACTTACCAACAGGCTCATCTGAGGGTGTCGTCTTCTTTTTACGGGGTCTTATAGTTTTCCATGCAGGAATTTTCTCTGGCGGGGGTGGGGGCTCGAGGGGACATGCTCTTGTCTGTGTGATCAGGACAGGGTGAGGGTACATGTGTGACAGACCATTCTGACGGAGTCGTTCACTGGCATCGGCCTTTCAGAAATAATAGAAAATCACATTTTTGTCGACAAATAACTAATAAAGAACTTATCATATTAGAAAAATGTCACTTAAATGAAGCAAGCGAAATTCAAAAGAATACATGAACAAGAAATGTAATCAAAATTGATATATTCTACATCCAACTTGTTTGTGATCGCATTCTTATCAAGCATAAAGATTTTAAACTTTTTTTAAGCTCTAAGTTTCTATGTCTTAATGTATATACATTCTGTGCTGGGACTGACCAAGATCCGAGTTTGAGAACACATATAAAAAAAATTATATTCTTAGTCCAAGGTCATCTCTCAGAATAAAAAGAAAGAAAACTTCACTTACATTTTCACCAAGAACTGATATTTTGACCGGATATTTGGGGGTGGTTCGGTACGAGGCAAATATGACAACTTCAGGATTCTCTGGTATAGGTGTCTCATCTAAAGTCTTCTCTTCTATAATACACAAACAAGAAAAACTGTCTTAGTTCCTTGCAAATGTTTCCACATAATTTAAGTAACTGAAAGACTGAACTGAATGACTTATCCTGAAAACATGTATATTGTAACCATGGTGACCTGACCTCCGACCTTGAAAATAAAAGAAATTAAAGTATAACATGTTATTACTCCTGAAATATATAATGATCGTGTAAAAAATAAAATAAATATTATATACAGTACAATTGATTCAGCAAACAAATTACATGAAAAAGCCTGTGTCACACGACAGACTGGCTAATTTGGTAAAATTGTTTTATAATGCCACAATGCTAAAGAAATTTTTAATCGGATAGATATTCCTAGATTAATTTAGTATGCAAAAATTCTTCAAGTAACTATTTAATATATGCAGTTTGACTATTTTATTAAGCTAGTACATGTGAACTAAAGTGTGAATTTTTTTTTACATATAATTTAAAATATAATTTCAAAAATAAGTCAAAGTAACAGAAATAAAAATGAAATGCATCTTTAAAATATATGTATAATATAATTATTATAAACAAATGTTATAAAGTGTTTATAATATATATATCAAAATGTCATTTCTACAACTGAAGCCTACACTTAATGGGTTTTTTTTAATATCTACAAAATGTCTTAATTTATGAAGAAAAAAATTTAAATAGTTTTTCAACCAAACTGAAACATCACAGCTTACAACAAAAAACACCTACAGTAACATTCAGTGATTTTTACCCTACAGTACAATCACATGTGAAAAATTATGATGACCTAATAAAAGCATTCTCCTGTTTATAAATAAAATCTAAACGTAAAATCTCCATGTGCGTGTTAGTGTGTCCATTTTCATAAAAGAACAACAACAACAATTTTCCAAGCGTGTGAAACCATCAAGACAAGTATCTGTTGCCATGACAACACCATCGTTACCAAGACAACTGTCTTCCATAGCAACATCTTCATCTACATCTTCAACAACTGGCATGAAAGACTTTTTCAACAAAGCCCCAGAACTTTTTTTCTTCCCAGCTATGAAAGCAAAATTCATCACTAAAAAACATTCTTAGAAAAAATTAAGAAATTCTTAACATTTATGGGAGTGAAAAGAAAAGAAAACGAAAAAGACCCAAGTCTAACTTTTAGATTTAAAGCTCGCTTATAAAATACCAGTTAGCTAAGCTCCCATAAAACAAATGTAATATCTGGTCAAAGTCAAGGACATTTTATAGCCAGGTCTGAAACTGCACAACCATGCAGTCAGAAATATACTGGTGGCAAAGGGTAAGCACTTTTGTTCCCATAGGTTTTTTAATTTAACAATGATGTCTTTTATTCTCAACATTTACCAGTAATCTTTCATTAAATTATATCAAACCAAGCTAGACAATACAACATTTGAGAACGTATCATTTTCAAGTCTACTAGCCCCTCTAAGACGACTCGAACTTCTTTTAGGATCATCTTGTGTTATCAATGCAAGAAATATTTTTTATAGAGATAATGTACCAATAAAAATAAGTTTTTAATCTTATCAAGAAAAAAAATTAAAACTTTTTTTTCAATCTATTATCATAACATTTTCAAATAACATCTGTATTTTTTATGCAAACCATTAAAAAAATTGAGACTTCATTTTTCACGAAAGTGCCAACAGATTTACAGATTATGATGGTCTGTAAAAACTAATACAAATGTACAAACAATCCAAGTATTTCTGAAAATAATTTGAACTTACAATGGCAAAAAAAAAGTACTTCATAAGATGGAAACTGAAGGTTTTTTAACTTTTCATTGATACAAAAATTTTTGTTTTAAATAAAACAAAACATCTTTGAATAAATCTATTTTACTATCAAAGCACAAATTACACCAATTAAATAAACAATATCAAAATACCCAAAAGAGTTCCGAGACACCACTTATAAAATTATCTGAAAATATTGATTGATTCACAATTAAATACAGTGTAGACTCTGGATAACCAAACATGCTGACCTTGGATAATCAAACATGCTGACCTTGGATAATCAAACATGCTGACCTTGGATAATCAAACATGCTGACCTTGGATAATCAAACATGCTGACCTTAGATAATCAAACATGCTGACCTTGGATAATCAAACATGCTGACCTTGGATAATCAAACATGCTGACCTTGGATAATCAAACATGCTGACCTTGGATAATCAAACATGCTGACCTTGGATAATCAAACATGCTGACCTTGGATAATCAAACATGCTGACCTTGAATAATCAAACATGCTAACCTTGAATAATCAAACATGCTGACCTTAGATAATCAAACATGCTCACCTTGGATAATCAAACAGACTGACCTTGAATAATCAAACATGCTGACCTTGGATAATCAAACATGCTGACCTTGGATAATCAAACACGCTGACCTTGGATAATCAAACATGCTGACCTTGGATTATCAAACATGCTGACCTTGGATAATCAAACATGCTGACCTTGGATAATCAAACATGCTGACCTGGAATAATCAAACATGCTGACCTTAGATAATCAAACATGTTGACCTTGGATAATCAAACATGTTGACCTTGGATAATCAAACATGCTGACCTTGGATAATCAAACATGCTGACCTTGGATAATCAAACATGCTGACCTTGGATAATCAAACATGCTGACCTTGGATAATCAAACATGCTGACCTTGGATAATCAAACATGCTGACCTTGGATAATCAAACATGCTGACCTTGGATAATCAAACATGCTGACCTTGTCTATTCTGCTAGAATCAGCTACACCTACATCAGCTTAAAGTTCCATAGTAACATTAATTAGGCTGTCATAGTTACAAACACAACAAGAACACTCAGACAACAGATTTTGGTTACATGTACCATGCTTATCCTCTGATACAGTGTCCTTCACCTTTAACTGCAGTCTACTAACATTTCTCTTCAAGCTCGAGGCCTTTCCTTAAAAGTTTTATCTTTTTTACTTTACAATTTTTAAGTTCAATTACAACAAACATTAAAAGCAATGATATGTATATGTTTACGTACTTAAGCCCTTTGAACTTTGATATATATTTTCAAACAAATATCTTATGTTTTTAAAGCAACTAAACAGAACCGAATAAGAATTTAAATTTTCTTCAAACACTTGATAAGATGAAAAGACAAGCTAATTCACTGTGTTACAAGACGTTGAGACACTAAATTTCAACTGTAACACTGCTAAATCTCTTTTAAATTGCTCATCTTATAAACAATTTTAACATACATGTACATAAAAAATTTTTTAACTTTCGTCACAATAAGACTAAAAGCAAGTACAACGGGCAAGTGAAGATCCGTAACATACCAGTTTCCATACGACTTGGCCCAAATCTACTTTTGGTCCTATTTCCTGCCCAAACATATACAAAACTTAATCAACGGGAAAATAAATATGCAATTCAAATGATATTCCATTTTTCTTTTTTAGGGAATGGAACAAAAAGCTCATTTGAACTTATCTAAAATAGAACAGCATTGGCTTAAATAGCTCTTTTTCAGAACAGCATTAGGCAAAAAATCTTATCACTTGATATTTCAAATGCTAAAATTGTTAATTTTTGCTTTATGCATTTAATCTTATTAGGTAAACCTACGGATTGTTAGGAAAAGTTTAGCTGATATGTTCTTGCTAAGATTATACTTCATTCATAAAATATCTTATCATAAACTGTTAATTCTCAGCCATATTTTAATATGCTGTCTATTCTATTCAGACTATTGGAGTCTCAGGTCAGAGAAAATTCAATACTCCGATAATTTCAGGAATTATCAACACACTCTTCACAAATTATTTATATAAAATCCTACTTATTTTTACCCTAATACACACAATATATTAACTATATATAAACAAAGCTGACATAACTTTGTTGACCAATTACTTTAATGTGACACTTCGTACAATGTAAATACACATATCTATTGCACTTTTATATAAATACGTATATGCACAAAAATAAAACTACAAATGCATGATTATATATAAATTCATAATTACAATAGTTTCTGTTGTGAAAAATGAACACCACTAATGAAGCCAAAGGTGATGTAATGACTGAAAAGCGAAGCAAATCTACAGACAAGATAAAACAATCTAGTCAGGCTCTGATACATACAGATCACACATAGGCCAGAGTAATCACACACACACGTATATACGCAGAATGTACATATAACCCACAACTATATGCCACCTATATGTGTACATAAGCAAACTATCCTGTACAAATAATAAAAGAAGCCAAATTAGCCGCTTTTTACATTCAGCAAGGTTTTAAGTCACATTAACTTTATTAAGGTTATTACAGCTTTCTAGCCTAACTGATGGAGAATTTTTAGCCTTATAGATGGCCCTCCTTTCAGACGCAAGTATCATAATTATAATTATCAGCATGATATAAGCTGTAACTTTCTGGCAGATAGCATTTTTTGTTAAGTTTTCTTAGGCACAAGTTAAGGCACCTGAGAAGAAACATCAACCTTTGAAAGCTTGCTTACTACGAGACTAAGCTATCTGACAAATCCAAAGTCCATAACAGTATTCCAACCAAAAAACAGAGAGGGGCAAGTTAAGTTGGTATTCTTCCCTTGCATGTAAGATACCAACTAAGATACACTGGTGGGATTCAAACTCACAGCCACTTACTGCAGGCGATTCAAAGAAAGAAGTTTCAGCTATTTAGAAATAAGCACTGTGCAATGAGGAGCTATTTTCAGTAAAAGAATTGCTACCATCCTAAAGTTTTGTTAACTTTTTTTTTATTTTACAGCACACCAGCACAGTATAGGTCATATGGCGCAAAAACAGGAAAGATGATTTTGGTAAACCTTAGGTGTTACAATTTTCAAAGCAACACCAAGGGTCAAAACCACCTCACCTGCTGGAGCTAAGAGATGCACAGACTCAAGTTGTTGGGACCTGTTTAAGTCGCCTCTTACAATCACGCAAGGAGAAGCGGTGGCTGCGGTTCTTACTTTATGCCTCAACCATTAAAGGCAATGCCCTCAGCCATAAGGAAGTCAAACTTAATTTGCACACAGATGAAGAATGTTTTCTAGCTATAAATAAATGAGATACATCTAAAATAAATTAAAGTATTTTAATAATTACTCATACAGTATGTCTAGTATGAGTGACATGAAAAATGTTTTCATGATATAGAATATTTCCATGGTTTAGGTCACATAGACTCACCATAAAAAAATGGTATTTCATCCTTGACAGACAAAACATAATCATTTTCAGAAATCAAAGAATTAGATACTACAATCTAATACTAAATTTCATTACAACAAAACACATAATCTGAATAATCAGTAAAACTAAATATAAATCATGAAATAAAAATACTCCTAAAAACAAAATAAAACTGAGCATAATTAAAATGGAATCTGCGGGATAAAAACAAAAGCTAAGGAATCTGTTTGTAATAAATAAAGATCCATTTCCCACGCTACACTCAACAATACCTCCGTTAGCCTCGCTGCGACTATGTATAGACATACGACTCGAACCACGTATTCTAGAATCTTCTGAAAGGAAACACCATGACTTATTTGTTAATTAAAATATTACCATCTCGAAGAAAACTTAAAATAAAATCAAACATTCTGTGTGTCAAAATTCTGATCACCCTCTAGTCAACAGTTACACACACTTTCCACAGATTTTCTCTCGCTAAAAAGAAAACACAGCATTTTCTTTTTGTTTGTAAAAATGTATGCAGAAATTTTTAAACTAATGTACAGATGTATTTCTTTGAGGCCTCCGTTTGTGCAAATCTATATTATAAGTCACTGCATTATTAAATAGTTACAACAGAAGTCTGGCCTTAAAAGTAATTACATCAAATTTGGACAATCGATTCAAATTGTTTAAAGCTTTAAAAATAGATACGCCTGCAAATTAAAAAATCAGAAAATTTAGTCAACAGGTAGTCAAAATATTGTATTTTGTATGCATTTTTATAAGCAGATATATATGGGGTCATATACATATATAGCACCATGCATATATTTGCAATACTATATACTATAATGCTTTAAATAAGTAGGTCAATGCATTTTACAGTGCCACGGGCACATTCATTCATTTTACAGCTTTAACAGGTTTGTTATTGCCCTACTAGAAACCATCTAGTCTTTCAGTCCCCTTATGGAATAGAGAAAAACAGAATCCCTAAAGAAAGCCCAACACGGCAAAATTTAAAATGTTGCAGACTTGATTTGATTGAGCCTGTTCATGGACAGTAGTGGTAATTGCAAGCTACAGTCTATATTTTGGCACCATGGAATTATACTGCCAACTAAGGTACCCATTTAAACACAAGTGTAGTTAGCCAATGTAGAGAAAACTTCCTGCTTGTAAGGAAATTAGCACTGACCAATGAAAAGATTTGAACTTAGACTTCCCATTTCTGAAGGGAAAGTCTAACCACAGGACCAGTGCTTCCTAAAAACACTTAATAAAGAAGACTATAAACAATCTAATATGCAATACTGTCATTCATCAAATTAAACAATAACTTTTAACAAACAATCTAATATGCAATACTGTCATCAAGATATTTTATGACTAATTATTATCCTAAATTTGCCTTATAAACTTGATACTATCATTTTTGCAATGGGGAAAAACAAAAACAACAAATCCAATGAATTTACAAATCAGAAACAATAATACAAAATACATGTACACATAAAACTGGATTCTCTAATATTGGTGCATACACTCTATATTTTGATATTATAATATATTCACTTCAATATATATGCAAAACATACAAGAATATTCATGAATAAATTCAGGAATGCACTCTATATCTTAAATATGGGGTATTTGGCACTTAATATAATGATATAATATAAACAAATGCTTGCATGCAATTACTGGTCGCAAAAATATTATATAAAGAAACACGATTAACAAATAAGCCAGTTTTGCAGAATTTGAATGCATTTAATTCAGAACTTGGATGCATTTAAACAATGGAAAATAATCAGGCTCATTTTGATTTAACTGTAGAATATATAAGATAATTCTTTGTATTAGTAAGATGAAAAAAATACTAGTTAATACAATTTTTTTAACAACTGACATCGCAGTGAGTGAAAATGTAACTGCTTTTATTTTATGAATGAAATATAATACAATCTTCCATGTAGAATAAGCAAGTTTTTATTTATTCCATGTTTTTATTTTATTCCATGCTTTTATATAAATAAATAATCAATTCCATTTTACTAAACATTTATTCTGTCATCAAATAATGATGTCATTTCCTCAAATCCTGATGTCAAAACTTCGATGTTGAAAAATCATTTTGTGTTTCACTTTTATTTACATTTAGGACACTGATTGTCTTCTACTCAAATTTTAAACTATCTATGATCAGTATGCTTTTCTTTCAAATTTTCATCTGTATTTTTTTTTCAGTAAAGTGAAAAATATCAGAATTTTACTAGAAAACATGTTAAAATGTATTTATTTCTTAACATATAACCATTTAACACAATAAATTAACATAATTCCAACAAGAACATAAAAATTGAAACAAACAGCATCAACGTAAATACTTTTGGAATTGTTCTATATTGCCAATTTATTTCTTGACTTAAAACTGCGCTGTAGTTATTATTTAAAATTCTAAAATATACACCTAATTGTTTTAGTAAGATTTTTATTAATATGCAAAGAAAAACTAGGGACTGTATCAACATGTCACCATTACCATAAAAAAAATTATTTTGAATCCTTAAAAACTGAAAGAAACCCAAAGAAAAATAACTTTGCATAAAAATTATGCTTTTTGTAAGTCTAACTCACTAAATAACCCAAAGAATTTATATACCCTAAAGAATTGTGAAGAATCTAAAGAAAGAAAAATAGCATCAAAGTGAAGAGGATATATATATATGAATACACCATATGATATATAACTTTTCAGCGCAAACCTCTCTACATTTATTTACATACCAAAAGTATCGGTTGACGCAAACGTACGATTGCTTAACCGACTACTGGCACCGCGCTTCTCTCCTGCAAAATTAGGTCACCATCAATTAAAAGACTATTCCCTTATTTTTGTGTATCAGAAAATTACTGACACACCTTTCCTTAAATTTAAACACAGGTAAAAAAATTGGAGGATTTAAACTGACGTTGATGTCAACTTTTCATTCTGCCCTGAAAACTCGTCTTATCATTGTACAGATATTAAACTCCCTTTATGGTTCGATAACTAATTCTAACATGGTAAGTTTCTAAATTTCTTTCCATATAGGTTTCCATGCAGATATCCCCTCAAATAATATTACGACATAAAACATCAAAAGTTTTATTTTTTACAACAACACACCAACACTTGATCATATTACAATAATCAGACAGTTTACTGGCCACTTACACATTATGCAACAACAACACTATAACACTTATCATCCAAAATGTAATTTTTTATATTCAAGGGGGAGTAGGGGGTGCTTACTTTATTGTTTTCTTGTCATAAAAGAAGGTATCATTCTGTCTTTCAATGTTTGATCTTTATCAAAATAAGGGTACAATACATGCAGATAAGATGCTGCATGCTATCAAACTTTTAAAATAAAAAACTTTTGTTCAGAATATTTTTTCTTTTGTAATTCAATAATGATTTCCGTTTATTATTATTAATGCATACAGTATAGATATGTATCAATAATTAAACACAAGGACATTTTAACATTGTGCTTTTACTTATGAAAAAAAATTTACCACTGGGAAAAAAAAATTTGCTTAAAAAATGCACGAATCTTCATTTTTCGACCATTAAGCGCATTACCATGCATAGGAAGCGCACAATGCGATACTATGGTGCATTTGTTGTTTTTTTTTCTTACCATTATCAACATCAAGTCGACTGCCTATGGCCTTACGACTAGAGCCAAGTCGACTCTGACCTCGTTTAGAGCCAAAGTCTAAGTCTGCAACAACATTAGGTAAATATAGCGCTACTTTTATTTCAAGAGAAATACAGAGAAACACGTTAATGGTTCAACCTGTACCTGCTGAATTTGTGTAATGGATTAGCCCTGCTTTGAATTTGGATCAGTCCATTTTAAATTTCAAGGGATTTCCATATTACACCACAAAAATTAAGCTACCAATAGCATATCGCTTGGTCAGACTTCTTGAATGTGCAGGCTGGCCTGGCTCTATACTGGTGAAAAGGGCTAATCACTTTCAATTTCAGCAGGGAAAGGGTGAAACATGAAAATATCAATATCAAATTCCATTAGTTACAACAGTTTCATGCTGAAGATTTGGATAACATATGAAACAAAGCAACAATATTTGTAACCATATATCATATTTTTTTTAAAGACTTATATTGCTAAAATAATAAAATATTCATACACCTAGGAGGAAGCAAAAATGATTGTCTAAGAGAAAAAAATAGTTCTGGAGTTAAAGTAAAGAAGAAATAGTAAGGTTTTTGTTTCTTTTTTTTGTTTTTGATTCAAGAAAAATTTCATATTACTGCAGACAGTTGAAACTACAGTAGAGACATTTGGATAGTTAAAAAAATAGTTTAAGCTTAATGTCATCATCATTGTTTTCACTTTTTTCTTGACAGCAACATAGATTAATGTTATTTACAGTCATACGCTAGAATACTGACAATAATGACAGCCTGTAAGGTTGACCTGACCAAGATTTCACTTCTTTGAAGAGATTCAAACTTATTTATAGTCGACACGGCTAAACCATTCATCCTTACCATGCTAAATTTGATACACATCATTTGAGCCCCGGCACGACAAAACCAACATATTGGTTTTGCGACCAGCATGGATCCAGACCAGCCTGCGCATCTGTGCAGTCTGATCAGGATCCATGCTGTTCGCTATCAGTTTCTCTACTTGTTATAGGGTTTGTAAGCGAACAGCATGGATCCTGATCAGACTGTGCGGATGCGCAGGCTGGTCTGGATCCATGCTGGTCGCAAACCCACTATGTTGGTTTTGTCGTGACGCGGCTCATTTATAAATATACTATAAATTCACCTATCAAAAGAAGAAAAAAACCTAAACAATCAAAAATAATTTCTTGAGAAATGGTTTTTTAAAGAGAGTATCAAAATCTTATTTTTTTTTATAGAAAGTTTTTTTTTTTAGATTCTAAAGGGGAAATTCTGTTTAGTTATATTCATATCAAATCCATTTAGTAGCACAGCAAACAAACCTCCCAGTCATTATTTATAAAGATAATCAAGAAGATAACTCACTCTCTCCTTTTTTGTCCTTGTCCTTATCTCCCTTTTTGTCTTTCCCATCTTTCCCTTTTTCTGAAAGATAAAAAAGTCAATGATCACACATTGCTTGGTTTTGTATATAAAAATGATACATTAAAGTTACATAATGCCTCACAACCAAACAATTGTTTTTCTTTAAAATGCTCAAACTTTAGTTTTATAATGTTTGAATAATAGTTTTAGCCTATTAGACAGCTCATCACCTGAAAAAAGTAGTGCCGATTGTGAAATCATTGAATAAACAACATTTTCATTTCAGTACCCTAAGTAAAAGAAAATGAAATATTTCACCCATGTTGTGGTGAGATTTTTTTAAGAAAATAATTCCATAGATTCTATTATATAAATCAGTGAAGTTTTTTTGTTTGTTTTCTTTTTACACTGATTTTAACACATTTTTGGCCAGCATTCCTGGATAACTAACCAGTAAAACCAATTTCTCCACAAGTGACCTGCAACTTCTTCACACAACATATAATCGAATCTTATAACTTAAATAAAATCTCATGATGATCACTAATTGAGACCTCAAAAATTTCTTTCATTATAATACACTACTGAAAATTTGATTGTATTACCTTTTTCCTTGGCATCTTTTGCTCCTTTCTCCTTGCCACCATCTTTTCCCGCCGGTTTACCATCGGGTTTCTCCACTTTGCCATCTTTACTGGCAGAATCTTTATCTGACTTCTCTTCTTTTGTCCCATCCTGTACAATAAATGATGTCACATTTAACACTTTGAAGGATCTCAGTGATAATGCAAGTATACTATAGTATACCTTATGCTAGCAGTATAGAGCCAGGCCAGTCTGTGCATAAATGCAGCCTAGCATGACTATACATATACTGTTGGCTAACAGGACTGTTCCAGATACAGTACTGGGCAAGTCCTTCATGCAGGTTAAAAGATTAACAATTGCTTGTATGGTGTGACACATGAGTAAAAGCATTATTAACTGTTGCTTTGTTGGGGGTTTTTTTGTTTTTTTTTGGGTTTTTTTTATTACTATACTATGTATTACAAAGCTGTATATATATTTTTTTTCTAAATTGTTTAGCAAGAGTCAAATGAATGTCAAACAGACAAACAGATTAAGTCTCTGAAATACCAAGTAATAATCTGTAGAGTGTCTCTTAAATATATCTGCACCACAATTATAACTTTCTCATTTTTTGCTTTCAAACTCATGACATACAAAAATCTAAAATCACTAACCACTGAAGCGGTTTCATCCCTCTTGGCTTTCTCCTCCTCCAGCAAGGCTTTCTGCCATTCTTGTAATGGAAGCTTAAACTCGGGCAATACCCCTCGTAACAACTCCCAAACTTCACTTATATGTCCGTACCTAGAATAAATCCACAATTATCTATCTTCATTATACATAGAAATAAACTTATAAGTTCACATCCTTTTTCTCTTTTATATATTTGGAATCAAAAAAATATAATAATAAAACATCACAAATTCACAAATAAATCTAAAATATAAGCAGTTTTGCAAAAGAGAATTTACCACCAGAAAAACGAGAAGAAAATGGGCATGCAGAAATAATACGAAAAATTGCCCTTATAACAAAAGAAACTGAAGTTATCATTCTATGAAACAGAAGTGAAAAGTTTGTTAACGATAATAGCATAATAAGACACAATGCATGTTAAAACATAAATTTTCCATCACCATGCAGTATATAATAAAGCAATACATGTACATTTAAATAGGCCATTGTATCCAAAGTTATTTTTAGACACTCATGTAACTTAAATATACAAACTTGACAAAAACAATAACCATTTCCAATCTAAACACATATAAACAAAAAATTGACGATAAAAGTGCAAAGTAAAGTATGAGACTAAAAGAGTTTTCATGGAAATAAGGAGCGAATTTCAAAACTACTGCAAAATCATTATTATTTGTGGTATTCTTGGCTTAGGCTTAGTAGTTTCTTATTCAGAAACCTGCAATTAGTTACCAAGAAGTTTTCCTGATTCTGCACCAGTAAAAACTTACTTTCCCCACAAGTGATATTAAAATTCTCCACTGGAGGCAACAGTTTAAGTCAGGCAAATGGTGTATAACATTAAGACGAGGTGGGAATAACTTTATAAAACTTTAATACTCTAACGTGCAAAGCGAATATCTGGTTTCTTGGGCTAGACCAATATTTATTATTGACTATTTGACTTCATTAATTGCAAGGGAATGAAGCACATTCTGCAGTTCATATAAAAACAATATATATAAAGTTCTGCAACTCTGCCTAATCTTTTGCCAAACACAAACATGCATTAGAGAATATTTACTTGACCGGGATAAAAATACAAGCTCTTGTTTATACCATGCACAGATATTTTCTGGGGAAAACCCATTACTAAGACATGTTAACATAATGCCATAATGCAACAATATGGAACTGTTGAGAGACATAGATAGGCACATGTATGGATGGGAAAATGGGTCGGTCAATTATATGCTTTCTTTCTGGGTTGCCATTACAGGAAAGATAACCCGAATATATATCGTACAAACATAAATATTTCTATATAAATGCACTGTACAAGAACAAAAAAGAGCTACATAACTGCTAACACAGTTGTTATGCCCCATATTTATACCAAATTTTTAAAAAAATTGGTATGAAATAATTGGGTCATAACACAATCTACAGGTACATAAGCAGATAACATTGGAACTAGGGAAAGGAATGGAGAGTAAAGTTCACTTAATTTACTTTACAAGCTACCCATTTGTACATTCATAGCATATAGATATAGAGAATGAAGGCCTAGTGATAGTTTCACCAAAAGATTCATTTTTGTCAGCACTTCTTTTTTGTTAAGTATTTGTCTATAAATCAGACCAAAATGCATTAAAAAAAATCTACAACATAAAACATAGTTTAGAAAGCAAAGATTAAAAAAAAAACACTAAGAACAACAAAAGCACTGTTGCAGCAAAAAAGGTTAAATACACAGCCCAGAAAACCGAAGCAACAGAAATCATTCTATGTAATCAAAATGTAAACATGCAATTAAAAATCCAGAGTGATGTGAACAACTTTATAAAAAAACTTTTTATAGAACTACTAGTTTTGTAATCCCCTGGTACAAACAAACTTTTGTTATAGCTTCATGGTGAACTATCCGTCACAATAGATTAGTCAACCTCTTGCGCTTTTTTTCAAATCTGCAACTGTAAAAGTTTGTTTGTACCCCTGGACTAGCAATGAAAAACCCCAAATCTTCTTAATTGCAGAGTAAGTCTATTATGGGGATTTCAAAATTAAAAATTTTATAGCCTATACGGACAAGTGAAAATTTTCAAGACTTTAAAATATAAATATCATACAGACAAGATAATAAATGCTTCAGATAAAAACAGACAAGTTGGTCAAAATCAGATTTTGTCGGCCCTGCATAGTTAAGGCGGTGAATATAATCTGATACTAATTTTCGAAGTTAAAGTTGTTAACATCACTCTGATCTGACAAAAGGTTGAATTTCTCTATTCAAACATAAAACATAAACAAAAACAGTCACAGCAGCTCTCCTTGCCTGAGGTCATCATTAACTCCGATCTTTTTACGTGGTTTGATGGCCGAGTTCTCGCGACTCGGCTGATTACTCAATGAGATGAACTTATCGAGTACTTGGCCTGCAGTGACCAATGGGGAGGCCCGACCTGAGGTGGGCTTCTTCAGATGTAGTTTTGATTGGTTAGTACCCTGATCATCCAGGAGAAAACCCCTGCACAAATGTCAATATACAGGAAATGTGATTGGGAAATAAACTCATGTGAAAGGGGAAATATTTTCATCATTAAAACTATTACTTGAAATCCTAGGTTTCACAAAATACTATGCTTGTAAATTATTGCAATATTTAATTTTTGAAGATATATTTGAAAAAAAAAACATGCAATTATTTTTAAGAATTTTATAAAAAGAATTAATAATATATTTAAGCAGACACACTGAGGTATTCATTTAAAAAAATCTCAAGTTTGCTCAAAGACATTTTTGATCTTGCTTCAAACAATGTCTTAATACCTTGTTAAAGTTTTTTTCCATTACTGACAGTTTGGTTAAGATAATAATATCATATAAAATAAGAATGGTTAGTTAGTTGAAGAAGAAAAAAACGCCAAATGATATCAATAATAAAAACTTATACATGTAAGTGAATTAGTAGCATGCCATTTATTCAGCTCAAGTAAGTTATTATAAGTGACTCTCTAGTCTTGTAAAAGAAAAAAATGCAATACAAATATTTTTTTGAAACATAACATACGTAACATTAAATCATTTTAAAAATGAAAATATAATTTATATTTGAAGCAAAGAAAACTTAAATTGAACAACATCTCATGATTTATGCACAAGTTTCACAAAAAAAGATATCTGATTAAATTTTGTATTGCATATCAATTAAAATATTAATATATCAACGTCATGAAATGTAATGCTAAATCCATATCTTATTCAAGTATTTTAGCGAGATATTAGACATTTCTAGTTGATAAGTTATCACTCTTTCTAATTAAAGCTTCATAAAGCACCCACTCTGCATCATCCAATTGAAGCAAAACTTTATCTAATTATAAAAATGTCAATAAAACCATTTCATTAATGTAAAAAAATCTACTTAAAACTGATTACTTTGTCATGTCAAAATGAGCATAGAAGGTTATCAATGTTAAAAATCAACCTGAATTTGACACAGCTTTACAGTGGTTTCTAACTTTTACGTTATCATTTTGGAATACTACCGAAAGCTAGAACACATCTAGCTGTTATATTAAGGAATGTTATAATAACTCATAGCCAACTAGAGATTCAAACCTAAAACTTATATAACTTACTGTAGTGGTATAGCTTCAGGTAGCCAACCAGTCAGGCAGCTTACTATGCTCACATCTCCAAACTCACAGCTAGGGTTACCTCCGGTATAACTGATATAAAATACAACAAATAGCATTTAAATTAGGGTAATTTCTTAACATACAAGATGAAATTACAATCAAGAACTAAAAATCAAGAAATAACAAACAATTACATGTGTAGAACCAATATTAGTTCTATCTAACACAACTGAAGTTGTCTGTAATACTTTTGCAGTCAACTATTCTCAGTATATAGTTATGCAGTAAGAGGGTTTCTTAAAAATTGAAGTGAAATAAGAAAAAGTCTATTTAAACTCATGACATTAACACAAAAAAATGTACTTTAATTGAAATCACTTAAGTACAAGTCAACCTATTAATTCAAAACATTAGCATTTGATCACATAAAATATACCGCTGAAGTTTCAAAGCTATTTCTAGACATCATTTCAAACTTCACTTCATAAAAATTTTTACCAAGGAGTAAAGAAATGCTTCAGATAAAATGAGCATGTAACTCAAAACCAGATTTTTCTGACCCTGCATATTCTAACCCATAACGTACTGAATTTCTTAAAATGGACTTGTCCAGCCTCCATTTCTAGAACTGTCCTTAATCAATTCAGGGGATATCAAGTTAATATTTATAGTAAGCTGACAGTATAGAGCCTAGTCCGACTGCACGGAAGTACACGCTGGCCTGGCTTGATACTGGTGGCAAAATCTTATCACTATCAGTTCCAGCAAGGTAAAGGCTAAACCACTCAAATATGACACTAAACTTACTCTAGAGCAGCCACCTTGATGAGGGCTTTAGTCAACAGCATTGGCCAGACTTCATTCTGCATTGTGGTACATGGCAACATAAGACGATCATTTTCATCAAATGGCAAAGTATCGTCAACTATTATCTTCCTCCAACAACCCTGTCAATTTAAACATCAGCATGTGAACATATAAAATATACTACTGAAGACTTTTTAGAGTGTAATGCAAAACTGTCATAACATTTCCATTTTACGTGATCTGAGAAAGTATCTATTCCACAATTGTGAAATAAGATAAAAAAGATAAATCAAACAGTTATATCATATTGGAAAAGAGTGATCATGATCTTATGTATATTGTTTTGTTAACTTTAAAAACACTGACACTGTGAACATCATACTTTTCAGCTTAACTGGCAAAGGAAGACATCAAATGCCCCTCTAAGCATTATTTCACACATAAGCAGCCACCTATGTAGAGCCACCAACTTTCCGTAAGCTACCTGGATAGCTTCCTCACATGAAAGATTTCAATGATCCTTACAGGATTTGAACCCACAATGGTAAGGGGCAAGTGATTTGAAATCAGGGACTTTAACCACTCGACCATAGAGGCTCCACATATACTATAACCTCGAAATATTTTTTAAAAAACAAACAAAAAAAACAATCAAGTTACCATCCAGTATAGTCTGACAGCATATTTGCCGTATGGATTGTATGGTGGAATATGTGGCCCCTTCTGCACTTTATTCATTGTGTATATATGTTCCCATGGTTTCCATGTATGAGACACCTCCTCATATGGAACACCTGGGTCGGCTGGCATTTGATCCTGCGGGGGATTCTTCACCGCACAGATTTCCCATAATGCCATTATCTGACTGATAATATATCTCATCAGCTGAAATAAAAATGTTAAAGACTTTATTTTAAAATCTAATAAGTTTGTATGTCTTTTTAAACAATGAACTTTAAATAATTGTAACACTCTTGTTTCTTTTTTTAAACACAATCATAAAGACAAAATTTTGAACAATATTATTATTTTTTTTTTGCACTTTTTCAATTAGTTCATAATAAATTCATTTTCTGGAACAAACAAATATCTTTGGTAAACCAGTTTAATATACATGTATTTATAGACATTAGGTATAGCTTGTCAAATTCTTTATAACATATTGCACAGATGGCGCCTTCATAGATTAACCTTGAAACTGATGGATAAAGCTACCATAGCAGTGAACACAGGAATTATAAACATCACAACTGTCCAATGAAAATCTATGTTACAAACATGCAGTGCTCAATATAATATAATATAATTTTTGGTATTACATACCTCACTTTCATGGAGATGTTCATTGTTGGTTATAAGATTGAATGAGGACATTCCATCAGGATCTATCACTACCGGAGTCTGAAATAAAGACATACATACATTACTCACATACAATTAAATATATATTTACTCTACTTCTCATAAAAAGGCATTAAAGCTGCATGCCACCAGATGAGCCAAAATATTTCAAGAAAATAAAACTTGAATAACATGTCCTAAGATTTTAAGAAATATAAAAAGATTCAAGACTCCAGTTATAATTTGCATGTTATGTGTGATTAGAGATTGACTTTGCAGCATTTACTACCATATGTCTATACCACCACTTATGAAATATTTATTTTCATATCAATTGATGAAAATAAATCCTGTATTAACATAAAAAAATGAATTTTCTGTTCATTATAAACTTTTCAATCTTTTTCTTTCTTTCTTTTTTTTCTTTTTTTGGCCTTACGATTCCAAAGACTTCTTTAATTTTGTGTATTTGCTGAATTTAGAAGAAAGCAGTCCAGCATGACACCAGTGAAAGATACAAAAAAACATATTTTACTGCAGTGAAAAATAAATTGTTAACAATCATACTGAAAATGAAAATATGCATATTATTTCATGATTATTTTATTTATATAGAGGATATTTGTTTAGTTCAGTGTAAGATCGGAATATATTTCACCGAGTGAGCACCAAAAGGTATATTTCACGAGTGGCGCAGCCACGAGTGAAATATGAACTTTTGGTGTTCACAAGGTGAAATATATTTCGATCTTACACTAAACTAAACAAATTTTCTTTTTATTATATGCAAAGAAACGTTTTAAAAGACATTAAACCTAATATTTAATGAAAAGCGCGCCAAATAATAATACAACGTGACGTCATTTACGACGTCATGTCATGAAGTTGGTACCCAGTACTGTGCACGCTGGTATTTCACTGAAACAACATAAGGGGCTTAAATTCAAAACAGTGAAATTATCAAAGTGGTAATTTCACTGTTTCAAACAGTGAAATTACCAGTTTTATATCACTGATATATTTCTATAAACCACCGAAAAGCATGTAATAAAAGTATATAATACAATAAATTTGAATAAAACATACCTTTTCAGTAATATAATCTTGTGGTCGTTTCCAATGGTCCACTCTCATACCAGGAGGCATCTCAATCTTGCCCTCTGGATCATCAAATGAATGGGAGACAACTGGTGACTTCCCTTTGTCTTTCTCTTTGCCTTTATGGGCCATGTCCTAAATATAGCAAAATGAGAGCGTAAAACCAACAAGGGAGAGAATCTGGATTACCACAAGGGAGGCAAGTTGTTGAAATGTTTCCAGTATGTCAATGCCATTGGGTGATTTTTCACAAATTCTTGACGCCTCTTTAAACAAGAACTTTATACTCATGTAGAACATTTTAAACGTGCCCTGAACATTCACACATTTCATTGTAATTTCAAGAAGAAAAAAATTTTATTTCATATATTCAATATTTTGTTGCATTTACTGTTTGATACAAAACAAAATGGAATATTTAACAAATTTACAATTTAAAGGTCAATAGAATGAACTTTACAAAGGAAAAAATCAAACCAAAATCAGATATATCTCCACATTAACCAACATAAACTTTTCCATGCTTTTAACACTACATGTACATTTACCAACTTAAAAAAAAAAATATCTTGCAAAATGTGAGACTACCTACACAGATTCTACCAGTGGACTCCATTCACAAAAAAAAAAAAATACAACACAAAATTTCAGACTTCCATAACCAAACAGAGCTTTTTGTGCATAAAAGAGCATATAGTCCCATAGTTTGTACATTTCTCTGGAGTGGAAAAAAAAAAAGAAAAATCTTCTCACACAACATTACACTATTGTGATTTTGCCATACCTGTTGATTGACTCCCTAAATGCAAAAAAAAAAGAGAAATAACTTAGTCATTCAGAATAAGTTACTTAAATTGTCATTAATTTTCGCTTGATTTATGATGAAGACGGCTTGTGGAATATTAGAACACGCTTGGGACTTACCAGTGCTGGTGACCCTAGTTGGGCTCAAACCTATGATTCCTAGGTCGAGATGCAGAAACCTTAACCTCTAGGCCACCAAGATTTAATGGCTGTTTATTTTATAAACCAACAGTCTTTAACTATCATATCAGTCATTTGTAATTACAGCCTTCCCATCCCCGCGCAGGTGCATGGTATAGCAGAAGTAAAGAGCCTGGTTTCACCTTTGGCCAGTTCACACAATGCAAGGTCAAAGCCAAAGCTATGGCTTGTTTTTGTAGCAACAAAATGTTCAGTGATATGTTCAAATCTCAGTGCAAGAGCTTTTAACAAGGATTTTGCAATTTGACTGTCTTCAGAGATTTTGCTGGGGGTGGGGGGTAATATATCTTTTCAAAATAAACTATAACTTTTTTCGACTGCTAACATATAAAAGAATATCATGATGCAAAAGGGAAAACGTAAGTTAACAATTCTTTAACAGTACATTGTAAATTAAATAACAAAACTGACACAACAGTTCTTGCCTTACCAAGGGTGAGAGCTGAGGTTTTCAAGAATAACACCATCTTAAGTTATTGACACTATCAAATACATTGTATTTGTATTTATAAATAGAGAAAATAAAGAACTTATTCCACAAAATTCAATTTTGTTTAGAAGCATCTTTTATGAGTATTTCAGTAAATAATCAAGCCGGGTTTCATATTTGTACCCATCTGATCAGTGCCGGCTCATCCTAAAATTGATGAATGGTTTTGTCCAAATTGGAAGATGGACATGTCCATTGATGATATTAAAGGGTTTTTTTTATGTATTGATGGAGACACATTCATGTCCTCTATTTAATTTTTACTACATGTGTATATTACATAATTTGTCCCCTTAGTGCAGTAATGGGTTAAGTCCTTCTAAATTTAATACTAGTTAACCAGTGCAATCTAAATTTAATACTAGTTAACCAGTTAGTGCACAACAGTGACAATTTATCATTATTGCACAGTTCTATTTCTATTTATAATTACTGCATAACAACATTTTCATCTAGGTACACTGAATGCAGTTTTAAGCAATACAAAAAGATATTTATCTGGCTAATTGGCAATCTGCCATAATCGTCACAACAAAAAGATTTCTTTCTTTTTTTGTAATTTATCATTTCGCACTTGTGATTAAAAAAAGTAATCAATCATTGAAAGGTAAAGAAGACAAGCTTTTCTATGGCCAAGATTTCAATTACCTGTAATAGTAAATTTTTAAAAAGTAAATTTTTAAACAGTTATTTCAACTGGTTTGCATAAATTACTAACAAAGACTTAAGGCTATCAAATTTGTACAAATACATACTGCTCATGCACAAGGTTGAAAAAGGAATGTTGAAATGACATTATGAGGTCAGATATGAGAGAAAAAGACATTATCTGTGGGGTTTTCCCAGTTAATCCGTAGGTACAAACAAACTTTTAACTTTTTACTGCCCATAACAAAAGTTCAACCTGTTGCACTTATTTTGGAAGCTGTAACTGTAAAAGTTTGTTTGTACTACCTACAGATAAGCAAAATCCTTAAATATTCTTAATTCCAGAGTAAGTCTATTAACACATGCCTTTTTCATACAGCATATTTATGTCTATCAATTGTACTGACATTGTTTTATGTACTTGTCCTTCTTTGAGTTTGGAACAGTCTTTTGTAGGAGAAAAGGATATTATTATCTAAATCATAAACGAGAGCTGTCGGAGGTGTGGAGTGCTCCACTTTTCTTAGTTCCTGAACAGTTTTATAAAGCAAAGTAGAAATGGGGGCATAAATGTGCACATGTGCTTGGCAGAATTACCTGTCCTTGATATAAACTTAACCACAAAGATGCATGTACCTCTTGCAAAAGCGGCGCTAAAAACTGAACAGCCAACAGTTTATAACTTTGTCAGTAGAAAAACCATTATCACTGCTGGACTATTATATTTAGCTCTCAAAATGGTAATTAAATTTTTTTTTTAAAATGTATTCTTAGTTGCACCTTCACAAAGATCATTTTTGATAAACCTGCTTCTATCAAGATGTGAGACACGTGACATCATTATTTAAGATATTAAGAATATTTCTCACAGATAAATTCAAATGCAATTTGATTTCGCTGCCTAATAATTTCATTTCACTTCCATCTCATTCTCACAAATTTTTCAGAATTCTTATTCAAGTACCAGTATACCTGCACCAAGCTCTCAACTTGTACAATAAATTAAATAGATGAATAAATTACCCATTTTTCTGCATTAACATCAACATCATTCCACTCTGGCCAGATCACGAGCTTGGGTCTTTTGTCTGATGCACTCTGGGCTATAGATGCAGCTCTGTAAATAAACAGAAAAACTGGTTTGAAATCAATCTTTACAACACCTTAAAACTTTACACCTTCTAATCAATCTTGGTCAAAATGCTATCTTTTGCTCTCAACACAGCCTTCTATATTTAGATGGTCACCTGCTCTGTTTTTAACATGGAACAATTAGCATGCTTCATGCATTTCCTATGAAATGCAGAAAATTTTAAATATCTTTTTGAAGTTTTACCTAAGAAGGTAAAAAAAACTTTGATCAACAACTTTCATAAAGTTGGCTAACTTTTTCTGTTTTTCTTCACATATACATGTATTATTCATTTCCAAATGCCTTTCTAAACAAGTAACTTGCTGCCAATGGTCAAATTGAAATATATTTAATCTTTCTAGTTAATGCCCTTGTACAATTACAAAATATACAAATTTCTCACCAACTGACCATGCATTTATATATATAAAACTTCATCATTTAAATCAAATTCTATATTTTCATCAAATTTACTTCAAAAAAAAAATAAATCTTTCCATTAATCTTTCAATTACAAGGATATGGTATGCAAAGCTTTTCCAACAGAAACCCCTTTTTTAATCTTCTCTTGGCTTTCTATTTTTCATTACTTAAATAACTTTTCAATTGCATTACATTATTCATTTTCTTGTTTATTCTTACGGAAATTTCAATGCTGTTATTATACATGTAACATGATGTAGATTTAGCAAAAATTGAAAATTTTGTAAAATTTTGAATAAGACATGTAAAATGCATTTGAATTTGAAAATTTTATCAATTTTAACTGTATCATCAATAAAATTTTATTAGTTTATTTTGAAATAATACATTGTACTTGCTATTCTAGAAGAATTCAATTTTAAGCTGGAATCATTATAATGTTACATAAAATAATTTATGATCTAAATGCCAAATTTAGAAGGAAAAAAAAATTTTCATTCTCACCTTGCAGCTGTTGTCAAAGTTATAAACTTCATACTTCCTAACCAAATTTTTACTTAACTATGAAACTTATTTTGCAGTATCAATTCTATTTTAAGCACGATTTACCAACAACCAATCAAATTTTCACAGATTTTGTACCAGATTGTAACGACCCCCACTCAAGCACCAAACACGATAGATAAACGTGGAGAGGAAATAAATCGGTCCATTTAAAATTGATCCTACATCAGGGTGAATTCACTTCAGCGACAAATAACAACAATTGTGTACTATTTTCTCCGCTAATGATGCATTTCATATTGATTTTAGGCTTTAATTGCTATCATTCATTTATATTTATGTACTGTAGTTAAGAACCAATACAAGTTGACCTAGGGTACAAAACCATGATGAATCTCAAATCCATTATCAACAGCTCATTTACACTTTCCAGTCAATTTAGTAGACAATATTGACAGCAATTTGCTCCAAGAACATGGTGGAAAAACAATAACAACTTCATTTCAAGTTAGTTATAAGTGCATTGACTTTTTTTCCAAAAAGTCTTGTTTTTAAATGTTTTAAATGATTTAATTGCTTTCACATTTCTGCCAACAGTTCTAATGAATAACCAAAATAGAACATAAAAATAAATCAATGTAATTGTATTATAATAAAGATTGAACAAAAACTTTCACTTTTTATCTTTTTTTTTCTGTGCATTTTTCCCCCCAAATAATTCTTTAAACTAGAACTCCGCGAGTCAGATGTGTTGCCTTGTAAACAATATGGTTTAGGAAAAATGGCCAGGACAAAAATGAAATAAGAAAACTAACAAAGGGCAATAGCTCAAAAAATAATAAGTGAAGAGCAGCAGTTTCTATGCACTGCACTTCTTATCAATAAGATCTATCATTCTATGAAGTTTCAAGTCCATATCTTTTATAATTTATGAGAAATGGCATGGACAAAAGTAAAATATGAAAATATATAAAGGGTAATAACTCAAAAATAAGAAATGCAGAGTACCGGTTCTTGTACACTGTACTTTTTCTTAATGAGATATATCATCCTATGAAGTTTCATGTCTATAGCTTTCATACTTGAGGAGAAATGACCTGGACAAAAATAAAGTAAGAAAATTAACAAAGGGCAATTACTCAAAAAATAAGAAATGCAGAGTACCAGTTTCTGTGCACTGCACTTCTTCTTGATGAGATCTATCATCCTATGAAGTTTTAAGTCAATAACTTTTATACTTTTGGAGAAATGGCCTGGACAAAAATAAAGTATGAAAATTAACAAAGGGCAATAACTCAAAAAATAAGAAATGCAGAGTACCTGTTCTTGTGCACTGCACTTCTTCTTAATGAGATCTATCATCCTATGAAGTTTCAAGTACATAGCTGTTATACATTAGGAGAAATGGCCCGGACAAAAAATAAAGTATGAAAATTAACAAAGGGAAAAAACTCAAAAATCAGGAAGTGCAGAGTACCAATTCTTATGCACTGCACTTCTTTTTAATGAGATCTATCATCGTATGAAGTTTCAAGTCAATAGCTGTTATACATTAGGAGAAATGGCCCGGACAAAATTAAAGTATGAAAATTTACGAAGGGCAATAACTCAAAAATTAAGAAGTGCAGAGTACCGGTCCTTGTGCACTGCACTTCGTGTTATTGAAAGAAGCAGCATACCAAGTTTGAAGTCAATCCGACTTAAAGTGACTGAGTTATGCTCTGGACAAGCTTTAGGGGACGCCGACAACGACGCCGACACCGCCAACAAAAGTAATCCCTGTATGTCGCCTTTTCAAGGCGACACAAAAAGGCAGACAAAAGCACTTCAAACGTTGAAGTACATTTCTATAAAACATGATTAAACCTGGAAAGATGAAAGTGCTGGAATAGTATAACATGGTAAGTGCTGGAAAGGTGTATGTGCTGGAATGGTATAACATGGTATGTGCTGGAAAGGTGTAAGTGCTGGAATGGTATAACATGGAAAGTGCTGGAAAGGTGTCAGTGCTGGAAAAAGTATAACATGGTAAGTGCTAGAAAGGTATTAAGTGCTGGAATTGTATAACATGGTAAGTGCTGTAAAGGTGTAAGTGCTGGACTGGTATTACATGGTAAGGTGAAAGTGCTGTAATGGTATAACATGGTAAGTGCTGGAAAGGTATTAAGTGCTGGAATGGTATAACATGGCATGAAGGTTTAAGTGCTGGAATGGTATAACATGATAAATGCTGGAATGGTATAACATGGTAATTGCTGAAAACGTGTAAGTGCTGGAATGGTATAACATGGTAAATGCTGGAATGGTATAACATGGTAAGTGGTGAAAAGGTGTAAGTGCTGGAAATTGTATAACATGCTAAATGCCAGAACAGTATAACATGGTAAGTGCTGTCATGAGCACTATGTTTACAATCTTAAATCCTTAGCCTGCTGGCAGCAACAAATTCTACCCACATAACCAGTGGTTTACACTGTTTGCTTATAATTAGTCAGTACATGCCATTCATCCTTTTTAGGGAAGATGTCAAAATATGTTCGGACTTAACAACAAACAGTGCAGACCTTTTGTGATCAAATGGCACAAATCTTTTCTGGCTGATCTTGATCTTGGTAGATTCAACTGCCACCACCAGGCTTAGAGTATGAGCCAAGATTTTAGAAATACAATAACAACAACCTTCGTATTTATAGCACAAACAACGCTATTTATAGGCCTCTGCTCATTAAAAAAGACATTTAGCAGTTTTAGTTGTAACTAGCAATTGAGCATAGAAATTGATCTTGCGAGACACAAATTAAGAGCCAGAGGGTATGCATAATGGACCACACACACATTTTAGTAAAGTCACAGACTTTTAACAACCCTACTAGATTGCTTAATTCCAACAACAAATGAACAAGTATTCAAACACAATATTTTAGAACCAAGAGATGAAGGGTACATTGATATCTTGTTTTTACAGCAATTTTACCCAGGCAGACAATATTTCACAATATCAACATTAAAAAATAATGAAAAATAAGAAATTACAATTTGCCATAGATCAACCCCTTTAAAAAGAACAACAATAAAAACATTTACTTGGCATATTGGAACAAACAAATTTGGATAACACCCATATTTCTATCAATAAACACATTTTATTTCACAATTTTATTATTAACCAATGTGTATTTAGATTATCAATTGTCTTCATGTGCCCATTAAACACTTCAATTGTCTTCATGCAGCCATTAAACACTTCCTATATTCTTTCGTTCACACTTTTCCACACGGGTAATACTTTCATTGATATGTTGCGAAAGATTTCGGGTACGAAACAGTACATTTATCATATCTCTTGTTCACTTACAAGAAGTCTTTAGATAAAACGGTCGAATTATGACTGATTTTTTATTCAAAAGCATGCCACTGCTGATGTGACAATTCCTACTCAGAGTACAATGCTTTAAGGTTAAAACGGAAAAAATGTTACGAGCGGCCATGTTGTTTCTAATGACACTTTGTCATTTTAAGTTCGGTTACATTTTGAGGAAATACTTACTCTCTTGGAGTTGCAGAACTAACTCTATTGGTTGATGCATTTTTCTTGGCTCCTTTGGAAGCCATAATGTACTAATTTACTCCACAAACGACCAGAAAATACATTAAAATACAACGTTATTTACACTATATGGTTGCCACGCGAGGTCATACAGGTTCATCACGCATGCGAATAAATCCCGTTCCGGCCGTTTGATTGAACGCGGGAAACAATGTTACATTGATTGATTAATTCAATTGTTTATTAAACATCCTTTTCTAGCAGTATTTGTCCCAGAGAAACCCGCTAACGACACACTTAAACTTATCACTACGTATAAATCTTGTTAACCGCCATTACTCTATTTACATAATACCTGCCTAGCGGATTATTTTCTATGTAAGACGGGGGAGACGGTGCCCAATAATTTCTTCATTGTGCAATTAAGATCGATAGATTACCCGTGAATGGAAGATTAAAGTAAGGACAGGTAGTCTCGTGTATTTACTTTAATACCCTATGATTGTGAAAG